GAAGACTACACGGGAATACCCAGATATGTCACATTTTCATAGAAATTAAGATAGCGACGTTTAGCGAAACAACTTTATGGACAAATGTTAACGTCATTCGAGAAAAAAAGAAAGCAATAATACACTTAGTCCCAGAGATATTACAGCTTAGGGGAATATACTTGCCATGTCGTGAGAACGGTTTCCTTGGTCACTCGTCGCGTCCCCACTCTCTATCGGTAAACATAGCCCGAGTCAAGGCGGATTCTCACGACTGGCGTACTTGACAAGTACGCCAATATTTGCGTACTTGGCAAGTATCCCCACCAGTCCCCACTTTGTACTACATTGGCAATTGTACTTGGCAAGTACGCCAATATTTGCGTATTTGCCAAGTACCCCTACAATCCTTGGCAAGTAAACAGTATAGTCGCATTGATGGATACTGGTCGTCCGGAAATTGTCGTTCCTAGTGATTCATTTTTCTTTTTAAGTTCTTTTACTGTACACTGCAATACGATTTCTATGTTCTTTATGTTTGGCCATCCATATAAAGGGCTCATTTTCGTATAAATCCCTAAATTCCAAAACAACATCATTTGAAGACTACACGGGAAACCCAGTTTTGTCCATTTTAATTGAGCCGGGGAAAATGCAAATTAGTGTTTTAAAGAAATATATTTTCTGTTGAATAATTAGAAAAATATTTATATTACTACCAATTCTGAATTATTAATATTGTGAATTATCGCCATATTCTGAAATATTGAAATAAAAATCTAAATAGATAATCTAAAAAAAATAGTCAAATAATGCAAAACAAACAGGAGAAAACTTGAGAGAGATGTTCAATGAATTAAAGGTTGTATAAAACCTAAATCTAAACTATTATTTTTTTTGTTGAAAATTTATATTTAATTGGGTTTTTATTACAATATATAAATTTATAACCATATTGATAACGAAAAAAATATTCTGTATATACGTACATAAATTAATTACTTGTGTGTATACCTTTAAGATTGTTACATAAGGATAATATTTTTCTATCGATCGTGTCAGATATGTTTTTGAGAGATTTGTTGATTCATCTATGTTTTTCGGTCAGTCGAGATTATTGTTGTTTATTGTAAGCTTCGGCAAGTTTCGAGCGGAATACATTTGTTTGTGTTTTTGATTTTCAACCTTTATTTTCTGTAATATCCCTTGTTTTAATAATATAATACTAATTGCAAAGATGCATGCTTGTCGCCCATGCGCAATAAAGTACATCTCTGGTTTTTGCCATTTACGCGTGGACTACTCTGGTTTTCTTTTGTACGGCAAAATAACCAAGTTGTATCTCTGGGACTAAGCGTATTGTTGCTTTCTTTTTTCGAATAACGTTAACATTTGTCTATAAAGTTGTATCTTAGGTCTATGAAAATGTGACATATCTGGTTTTCCGTGTAGTCTTCTATTTTCCCTCCATTTATTGCTGTGAAAACGATTTAGGTATGCCGCCAATATTGAAGCTATTAATGTAAATTTGATATTACATAATCTATTATTGTTTTAACGTTTAAATTATCCACAATTAACTCGAAAAACACTACGATCCGGAAATAAATCGGACATACGCTATAACAATAACATTATTTGCGCAGTCGTTTTTTGCGCCTCACGGCAAGTGTAAACAAAGCTGGCTCCAGGCTGGCCAAGTATACTTGGCAAGTGTACGATTAATCGTTTGACTCGGGCTATATTTACCTATAGAGAGTGGGGACGCGACAAGTGACCAAGGAACCCGTTCTCACGACATGGCAAGTATATTCCAATATCAAATGTTTGTCAAGTACGCCAGTCGTGAGAATCCGCCTTCAAACGATTAATCGTACACTTGCCAAGTGTACTGGGCCAGCTTTGTTTACACTTGTCGAGGCGCAAAAAAACGACTGCGCAAATAATTGTACTGTTATAGCGTATGTCCGATTTATATCGGGATCGTAGTGTTTTTCGAGTTAATTGCGGATAATTTAAAACGTTAAAACAATAATAGATTATGTAATATCAAATTTACATTAATAACTTCAATATTGGCGGCATTTAAATCGTTCCCACAGCAATAAATGGAGTGGACAAATGAAGACTACACGGGAATACCCAGATATGTCACATTTTCATAGAAATTAAGATAGCGACGTTTAGCGAAACAACTTTATGGACAAATGTTAACGTCATTCGAGAAAAAAAGAAAGCAATAATACACTTAGTCCCAGAGATATTACAGCTTTGTTATTTTGCCGTACAAAGGAAAAACCAAAGTAGTCCACGCGTAAATGGCAAAAACCAGAGATGTACTGACGCATGGGCGACAAGCACGCATCTTGCAATTAGTATTATATATGTTATAAATTTATGTATTGTAATAAAAACCTACTTAAATATTAATTTTCTCCCTACAACAAAAAAATAATATTTTAGATTTAGGTTTTATACAACCTTTAATTGGACATCCCTGGTTTTCTCCTGTTTTGTTTTGCATTTTGACATTTTTATTTCGGTATTTCAGAATATGGCGATAATTCACAATATTAATAATTCAGAATTGGTAGTAATATATATTTGTCTAATTATTCAACCAAAAGTAACATATTTCTTTAAAAACACTAAATTGCATTTTTCTCGGCTCCAATTAAAATGGACAAAACCGGGTTTTCCCGTGTAGTCTTCAAATGATGTTATGGAATTAATGGATTTATACGAAAATGAGCCCTTCATATGGATGGCCAAACATAAAGAATATAGAAATCGTATTGCAGTGTACAGTAAAAGAACTTAAAAAGAAAAAATAATCACTAGCAACGACAATTTCGGGACGACCGGTATCCATCGATGCGACTAAACTGTTTACTTGCCAAGGATTTAAACAATGTTTGTGCTGGTGTACTTGTTGAAATGGACATGTCATGTGAGCGCCACACTTGCCGATGTTGTTTACAAAGTGGGGACTGGTGGGGATACTTGCCAAGTATGCAAAAATTGGCGTACTTGCCAAGTAGACCAGTCGTGAGAGTGCGCCTTTAGGTATTTACCCAAATACCTGGTACTTGTACTTGCCCATCACTGAACTCAGCCACAGCCACGCGTGGCCGGGTCTTCTAGTAATAATATAATTAATTATTAATTACTATTAACTACTTATTATTGCGAGACGACACTAAAACTCACGAAAACCTCGGAAGCATTCGGATCCTACACGGAGAGTTCGGTTTTGTTCGGCGAGAAGCGCGTTGCGGGAATTTTGAACATTATGAATAATCGAGAATCGAACAATAATCACAGACAATAATTTTATTATGCGAAATTGATAACAGTAGTTGACTGTTTTGGTTGTTCATTTTGTTTTTTATAATATGGCTATATTTAAAAACTGATCTGCATTCATATATTTTTAAAACATACAAATACCATTAAAGTTACAAGATGTAATTTGTCATTATTTTGCTCATTTTAAAGAAGAAAGGTGGTTAATGTTTATGGCTGATATTTGGTAATATACCTATATTGCCTGCATCAAGTGATTTTAGTCAAAGTTGCATTGATTATTGGTGTAAATTAAAAATTGTTTCATTTGCAGATTGCATGATCACTATCTAATTTGATGCATAAGTGAGAACCATAGCTTTACATGGAGAGAGCTCATTATTCTCAAATTCTACTCTCAAATCTTTTATTAAAATATCAGTTCTTAAATTGAATAACATTTTCATGGGGAAATAAACGTTTTGGGAAAATTTGTTAGCTTAATTACTGTAACATATTAGAAATAAAAAAACAAATTTATAATAGTTCTAATTTTATTAGAATGTTGCAGTTTCGATTACGGCCTATAAGAAGAAACTGCAAGAAACTTATGGCTGTTCTATGTCAAGAAAATACAATAATTACAACAATACAATACAATAATTTTAACAATAAATAATACCACATTGTACAGGTTAGTAGTAAGTAGTACAAAATAAATATAAAACCCTTAACCAACAGTCAATACATATTTACTTAAGTAAAACCAAAAACAAAATAAATAAAGCCTTAAACCAATAATCTCTTTCACTTTGTTGGGAATAATTCTTGCTTATCCATTTTCCTTTTATGGCTCATTATATGGTCTTTTTATTGAACTACTGGCCTTCTCTGTTCATTTAGAACAATAATTGCTGATGTGTCCTAAAAATAAAAAGAGACTATTTGGCATAGTGTTTTTTTTTCATTTCTATGTTACCTACCTGGCTGATTTACTATGATTACGATAATAATTGTAAGTTTTTTTCCACATAGTCATTATATTTTCTTGGCTTGGCGAATGCATAATTTATCTTGATCTTCTGTTTTTCATACCACAGTTTATAACTTTCCTTTGTAGCAAAGTTATGTGTTTCCATTTCCAATTTTACTTCATGGTGTTTATCTTCAAATATTGTTGCAATATACTGCAACTTCCACAAACTATACAGACTACCATATTTAGAGTACACAGTGGGCAAATAATACGCTTCTTCTTATTATAGTGTTTTTCACAAAATTAAGTGAAACAACACAAATTAAAAATAATCCAGTCTGTAATATTAATTATCAAAGTTCGTATGAATCGCTGGATCCCCAAAACGCATTCACAAATTGTAAATCTTCTTTAAATGCTTTTAGTATTTTTTGTATTGTTTAAAAATACAGGAATGCTGTTGAGTTTTTAACTTTGTTTTTAAATAGGGCCATATTTACTATGATATTTATAAAAGTGCCGTTGTTTACAAAGTCCATTAGCGGCAAAGTTCAGCTGAGTTTGACGTAGACCGCGGTTGCGCGGTTCAGCTTCCGAGTATTTTGTCCTTAGAGAAGGAAAGAGAGACTCTCTTTCCTTGTCTAGGGTATCGTGAGTTTTAGTGTCGTCTATTATTGCGTGACCATCTTCTGATGTGTATCAAATACTCATCAGCGAGTAATGGCAGTAGTAGAGTAATTAATTATATATAATTTTACAGCACGTAAGCGTAAATACGACATAGAACAAGACGTAAAAATAGCCTTAACAAGAGCGTTGTCCAAGTATTGTATTATTACATCACATTATACTTTAAATGAGCATCAAGTAAATATTATGAGAATTTTGTCAAGCCCGGATTACGACTTCAAGACTGATATAGATTACAATTTAGTAAGTATTTTTAAATATTTATTATTTTATTACAAGTCATACAAAAATTAACCCATTACTTTATATTTGCAGAGTTTAAGTTTTTTGGAGAACGTCAAGTTTGCAAAGCCGGGTGTTCTACCTGATGAAATAATCGAAAATATTTTAAACTGCCTCCAGGAGATTTGCGCAATTCGTTATCGGAATTATGAAAATGCCCTGGAAATATTGAGCATACTAAAAGGTTCGTCATTTTTTCTGTTATTTTACTTAGTTTTAATTTGTATATTTACTAATAAGTATTTTACTAAGGCTCGGAGTTATAAACGTCCAAGATATGAATATATCTAAGCCCACGGCCACACAGAAAGCGTTTTTAGCGTTTTGTGTTTTTTGCGTCTCAAGCGCTTTTTGCGATTTTACCGTTTTAAGCGGTTTTTTCGATTTGTGTCCATTAAAAACACGCAAAAGACGCGGCAGGTCTGCAGTTTCTATCAAGATGTCAATTAGTAACGTCACAAGCTCGTGGATTCCCGGCCCGTCCAACAATCAATCCTGTGAGAAAGAGATAGGCGAGATCGGCGCCGTTAGCGTTGAAGAGACGAAGATAAAAGATGCTGGGATTGAATTGTGGACGGGCCGGGGCATATATTCGGAGACAAATACAATCTACTGCTAGTGCCAGTGGTGTGTGTAAACATAATAATTATTATTTGCCATTTATTTTACTAATTTTAGTTTATATGTGTATACTTTTTTTTATGTTGTAGTGTTGTGATTAGTACTTATTATAATTATAATATAATATAATAAGTAATTATAATTTTATAATTGAATAGTAAATATTTCTAGTTGCTAATGCAATTTTAGGACATGATTTAGAAACATTTTGGAGTGAAACTTCTTTACGCGCGCTGGGAGTAAAAATTGAAGGCCGTGACATACGACCTAGTGAGACGGCCCTAATACACGAGCTCGTTGTAACGAAACGTGTTAACGGCTTAGAAATACGCAGTGACGCGACGTGTGTATTTGTGAGCAGTCCACGTGTCTATCAAAAATATTGATATTTTAATACAAATTTTGTAAAAGTGAATCAAATTATTACGTGTAAAAAAAAATTTTGTTACACGTAAAAAACTATTTTTATTATTTTACGCGAATAAAACTGTTACACGTAAAAAACTATTTTTTACGCGTATAAAACTATTTGTTACTGGTAAAAAACTATTTTTTACGCGTATAAAACTATTTGTTACGTGTAAAAATCTATTTGTTACACTTAAAAATTATTTTTTTACGCGTCAAAAACTTATTGTTTCTAGTAAAAAACCTTTAACTATGCAAAAAAAATATTTTTTATGGGTAAAAAACTATTTGTTACACGTAAAATTTTTACGCGTCAAAAACTTATTGTTTCTGGTAGAAAACCTTTCTTACCCAAAAAAAAATATCTTTTACGTGTAAAAAAACTATTTATTACACGTAAAAAACTAATTTTTACGCGTCAAAAACTTATTGTTTCTGGTAAAAAACTTTTTTATCCAAAAAAATATTTTTTACGTGTAAAAAACTATTTGTTACACGTAAAAAACTATTTTTTACGCGTCAAAAACTATTTGTTTCTGTTAAAAAAAAACTTTTTTACGCAGAAAAAGACAGTTTTTACGCATAAAAAAACTATTTTTTACCCGTAAGAAATTATTCCTTTAATTTATTACTTTTTCAGCATTTCAAACTGCACTTTTTACATACTACACAAACATTTCCTTCAAATTTTTGAATTGAATAGAATCTACCTAAACAGTAGATGTTCTTTATAAAAATATTTTTAGATAATACCCTAAAATGAAAAAAAAATGCATACTATTTAATTTATTTTTATTGTATTATTAAATATAACGTCCGTCTATGACGGGGTCATAGAAAACGCTAAAGACACTACAGAAAACAAACTGATTTGTTTTCATTTGGGTTTTTTGCGAGACACGCCGAACGCTACACGCTTTTGGTGTGGCAACTCCTATATAATCCTGTTATTTTGTTTTAGTCGCTAAAGACGCTTCACGCAAAAAACGCTTTCTGTGTAGCCGTGGGCTAAGGTACGGTAAAGTGGTTTAAAAATAAGACGTATTTTATTAAAAAATTAAACAATCAAATAAAACTACTGAAAACTTATATTCAGTCAGTTTTCTTGTTAGGAATATTTAACAATAATTGTAATATATGTATATATATAAGAGCTTATACCCATAATTTGTTTAATCTTTGTGGTATGAATCATGGAAAAACTGAAATTACAAATCCATTGTCTCGTTTTAAGGTTTAAAACTTTTGAAACGGACTACCAAACTTTTCAGTAATTGTACTAAGTAATAAGCGTTTGACTCCTGTCGTCGCGTACGTAGATAGGTACATACATGGCCTAGAATGGCCATTTATTTTTAAATTAAGTTTTTTTGGTATGAGAAGCTAGTTTTTGGAGGTTTAAATTTGAGACACACACAGGAGTAATAATAAGACAAAGGTTGGAGTCAATATGAAATAACTTAATAGCATCTATATTTTTACATTTTTGTAACAAAAAAAAAACAAAAAATATGTAAAGAAACCAAATAGTCTAAAAGCTATACGACATATTTAGGGAACATATTTTAGGCAAGTTAGAATAAGAAAAATGTATAGTTTATTAACTGGTGAACCCAGAACCCTAAGTCTGGCAGGGGGGTTGCGGTTTTTCGCTACTGCATAACCCATGACATTTGCAAACAAATAAATCCCAAAAATATCCTTTAGTCAACTTGAAATTTATTTATTCTTAAATTTTAGCATCTATTTAACACAGAAATAAGTATGCCCGACTTTTTTTCGGTTTTAAAGTGTAACCAGACCATCCCAAACATCTTTAATAATTATACCTAGAAAGCATACTTTAAGCATTCTGAAATTGTTATTTTTTCTAATTTTATTATAGCGTTTTTATTAGATAATAAAAAATATATGTGTTCATCGCCAGACGAATTCAACGATTTTTAATAATTGCCAGATGCGAATAGTGCCACTGTTAATTTAAGTTCTGCCATAAGTTCCTTCTAGATTTCTTCTTACAGTGCCATACTCTATACAGAGCGTCGGCTACCTCTCACTTATATTTGTGATGTGTGTCATCAGTATTTCACAAGTACACGGGACCTACAGTTTATCACCAAATCCGAACGGCACTATTTGAGAGGCTGTACAAGGCAAATATACTCAAGGTGGTTTGCTATTGCCTTCCTTGAGGTGGCGGCTCGCTGGTCGCTCTATTTAGATAAATATATATTTTTATTTAAATAAATAAAGCGACCGTACCTGGCTGAGGATCGAACCCAGTACCATCCCATCTCTTGCACCGCAGATCGACACACTACTGCTTGCTCTACGGCCGGCCACAAGACCCAGACACTTCTATATTTACTACCTTTAAACAACTATCAGTAATAGAATAAGTAATAAATAACATAAAATAAGTTCAGTAAAGACTGACAAATCCTCAAAATTTCAAATCAAATTCAAATGTGTCAAATTAATCGTCAAACAGAACTATCAAGGGTCCCCACTCTAGGGCCCTCTCTCCGTCTATCATGCATGAATACATGTTAAGTATTATTATACTCCTTTAATCTTTTTATTCAAAGAATTTTTGTCCTAGTCGCATATTTACTCCAGCGTTTAATATAAACGATAGCAGGGCCTTTAAACGTGCATTTTATGAATGTCATGTATTAAACCCAGCATGTCTCATGTTTAGACTTTTTATGGGTTAAATATGAGGCACACTTTGCTGCGTGCTGGCTTTTTAGGGGTCATTTTGGAATAAAGTTACTATAGCAATAGTACCCTTATCACCAAATGTCTTTTATAGAATTGTGTTGTATTTTTTGAAACTATTTTTTTTTGTATTTCAATGATTGTAACTAACAAAAAAAACTAATCATTTTGAAAAATGTCTAATTTTTACACCACTTGACCTATAAGTTCCGTTCTCAGAACTATGTTCTGTCGCTGGCGACACCGTTTGACACTTCAAACAACCAATGAAAGCTAAGCTAAATTTAAAATTGACAGCTGTTTGAATTGTCTACTAATCTGGTTGGTTCTTTTGACTTGCCGCTTGCGACAATACGAAGTTCTGAGAACGGGGCTATAGTCTGTTCAATGAGAGAAGGTTTTCTATCAGTCTATTCATTACATAGTCAACTTACGATCATGTATATGGAACTCTGCGTACCTATAGTTCATAACCAAATTTCCAAACCAAACCAAACCTACAATTAATCTAATATGATAATAAATATTAAATAAACTTTTTGTCACGTAATTAAGCTTGACTGATACAGTGTTGCTCACTTTTATATATTTTCTTTTAATCAAAGTATTTCAGGAAACAAAAATAAATTAATTATAAATATATATATATATATAATGTCTAGATTCTAGATACAACATTAAATTTTATTTTACTAAATATTTAACATTAAATCTGACTAATATTAAAGTTTGTTAAGATTTTTAATTAGATCTTCCTATTTAGCTGAATGGCCTAATATGTATACTACTGTTTTTTTAACTAAAATATGTTAAAATAATTAATCACATATGTATATACATACCTAATCGGATCTCTAGGAAACAGAAAGAAACTTTTATTGCAGTTTAGTCCTCTACTCGGGCAGTTTTTGCTGCACAACTTCATAGACATTTTAAAAACACGTAAAATTAACGATTTAAAAATGTTCAGAAAAACAAAAATAAATTATATAACACAAGAAACGAAAATAAACTAGAAAAAACAAATATATAACACAATAAACAAAAAATAAAACAACAACTATAAAATATAACTCAAGAAATAAACAAAATAAATTAATCCGTACGCTACTGACTCGAATCAGCCGAAAGTGTGCGCAGTCGATGAAAGAAACTACGACACTGGTTACTTTCTGTTGATGGAAACCCTAATGGCGGCGTGCGCGACGGTATGCGCGTAGCGTTCCCGCCAAAGAGAGTTAGCCTGCCGTGTGATTTATATGCCGTGGTAAAGCCGTAAGCGTGATAGGTTAAGAAATAATTATTCCGTGGGTAAATTTGCGGTGAACAGGCAGTTCTAAAAAGTTTTCTAAAATATACAGGAAAATTTAAAAATAATGCACGATTTTCTATATCTTTTTTGCAAAAAAACTCATAGACGTGTTTCTGGGGTCGAAATATATCACCCTTAAAAGTATTTTCACTTTTTAAGACTCACCCTGTATAAGCGTTTTCAGGAAACGCTGGTCGCGTTATCAATTGAAACATAATAATTGTAAAGGCTGTAAGTCTACAAAAAATTTACGGTGCAGATATCGACTCAGAGGAAGACTTGTTTGCGAGGGCGGAGATCTGCAGTACGATGAGTCAATGATACAAATAGTGAGACAGAATAGTAAATGTATGATATCTGTTTTGAAATAATAAAAAAATATATTTATAATATAATGGTATACATGTCTATACTTAAATGGGTGAGGCGGCGAGCGTTCCCTGAAAGCGCTAGATTAATATTGCGCTTTCGATAACTTTCTGCAGCTGATTTAGCCACGATCTTTTTGTCTGCCCTTTTGCATACGGATTTTAAAATAAATAAATATGACATTCCACCAATCGGCATGCATGTATGCCATAATGTTTTTCATTCTTCAAATTTCATTTTTTAATAATTTTTAGAACTTCATGCCTCTTTCGCGTTGTCTGTCAGCATTTTAGCGACTAGAAAAATGTCTGCCAACAATTTTCCACGTTTCTTAAAAATAAATAAAAGCTATTTTCGCAATTATAACTCGTGTACCCTATAATATTTTCAGTATAAAAATTTCACCCTTTCGATTAGCCGCCCCCACTTTAAGCCCTGGGATTGCGCTGGCAGACATGACTATTTCATAATGGCTACATAAAAGGATACTTCACACAAAAAATTAGCCATGTAACGATGATAAGGTTTTTTATGTAGCCAGCTCTTAGACTATTAGGATGTCTACCTATTCAGTAAAAAATTGTGTAAAATGGTATATTTTTTATTCATAGGATTCTTCATTCATTTGGATAAAGTTACAAATTGGGAGTATAAATCTAAAGCAGTTAAGTTACTAAAGATTTTTTATGACCATCGCATACACTATGGTCCAAATGTTTCGGTGGCTATTCTTTGTTGCATCGAAGTACTGTGCAAGGTAATATATCTATTATTATTTCCATAAAACGCACTATTATATATTATTAATATTTCTATTACATTTGTAGATTGATCCAGATTTTCTTTATGCAAAATGGAATAATAAAGAAATTGTTAAGTTCATTCCAACATTTCTTTCAGATAATTATCAAAAAGTTCGATATAAGGCAATTGATATATTAGTAAATTTTATTAAAGAAACTTCAGGAACCATTAAATTGGAAACTTTTCATAAATTAGAAGAGTTATTTTGTGTTATCTATGAAAATGTAATAAGTTAACTTATTTTTATGCAAATTATACTACAACTTATTTTTTTTTTTTAGAATATTAAAGTTTTCGAAGTTGAAGGATTGTTAACTGACGAGAGAAAACGTGATGAATTACAATTTAGAACAGTTACTGCACTATATATTTTTGTATCTATTACAGTAAACTGTCCAGACTGGATAGAAGAATCATTGTTAGCGTTATTTAAACTGCAACGTGATAAAAATTTATTTGAAGCCGTAAATAAAGGTATATATTTTTATTGTTTTTCTATATTTTCTATATTTCCCATTTTTAGCCGACCATACCAACAAAAAAAACAGGCTATTAAGATCGAAAAAAAAAGTTTTTTTAATTTCACTCAAAATGAGTTATTTGGGACATAAATGACCTAAATACAAAATATTTTTATGGTGTCTGTCTGTCTGTCCGTCTGTCTGTAACACAATAACTCAAAAACCGCTAAACCGATTTATTTTTATTATATACGTTATTATAGGTTTTTATTATATACGTTATTATACACGAGCTAAGGAGAAAAAAACTGGTAAGTCAATGGAGAAGTTGAGATGGGTCTTTGGAGCGTCGCAACTCGGTTCCTATGTGAGCTAGGGGGTTGAAACGTAGAATTTAGATGGGGCTCTTCTTTGGTATATTGATAGATTGGACCAAGACCAACTTGACCGTGTAGGACATGTGTCAATGTGACAGTTAGTTTTGACGTAAGAAACGTCAAAAGTTGATGTCGTCCGATCGCAACCAAATTTGGTGGGTAAGCTATGTGAGCGACGCGACGGTGCACACGGTCCCACCCTGCAATATTGGATACGACGCCGACGTTTTGTTTACATCTACATCAGGGTGGGACTAAGGATTTGATACTGAAGAAAAATATGGGTTCATTTCGGCATAATTGGGGACGGGCTACAGGATCACGTCCTCGACGTTTCGAACCGATGCCTCAAAATGGACGAAATCATCAGGGTTTTTCTTAATTATGGATCGATTGGAATCAAACTCGGCTCGTGGATAGAGGTACTCGAATGGAGTCCTCAGACGGACAGACAAACCGACGGAAGTAAGAAGTTTCACTTCAAATATGCGCACATAGTGCACAGATAATTTTTTTTAAAACTAGCTATTTTAATGCATAACAGTGTATTTTGCTTGCCGTTCTAACCTAAATATTACTTTAATTTTGTTTTTCTTTTAGAATATTTAGAGAAGATTATTGCTGCTTTTGAGTTGCACTATAAGTTTGATAACTTTTTGGCCAACTATTTAGAAAACACATTAAGCAAATGGATTAACTTAGGATATGACATCAACCGTTTTCCGATAATTTTTTTTAACTGTACTGACAAATTGGAGTTTTATACAAAATATTTTAATATTTGTTTGCCGCTTTTGGTCATGAAAGATAGATCCGAATTGGTTAAGGCTGCTAATCAACTTCAAATAACTGAGAAGGAATTTTTAGAGGTAAATGGTTTGCACATTATAAATAAGAATTTGTTCGTTCTCTATCTCTAAAATTAATAAGGGACATTAACTACATACTAAACATTGCTTTTATACAGAGTGTCTCAGAAATAAGTGCAAGTATTTTAAGACGTGGTAGATCTGGCTAAAAGAAACATTTTCTCATTACCATTTTTAAAATAAATTGAAAATAGTCGAGATATTCAACTTTGAAATTAAAAAAATAATGCTAACATTTTGACAACCGCTGGCTACAATCGATTTTACCCAATTACCACAAAATATACAAATATACAATACAATCGATTTTACCCAAAACCGCAATTACTAGTGATGGGATAACTCGAGCGAATTTACTCGATTATTGAAATAACCGACATCGCTCGATTATGAACGAGCGATGCAAGTGACGAGTACCAAGCGACGAACGCAAGCGATCCTAGAATGAAATAAATTGAAATCCAATTTTAATGTGACCTACTCGATAAAAAGCCGAGCGAATTTTCTACATACATTGCAGGTAACAAATTTATACGACGCCGTATATACCGGGTGCATCTCAAAAGTGGCTCACACCTATTACTTTTTTATTTTTTTAGATAAAAAAATGAGATTTGGTATGTTAGTATAAGACATAAATTAGGATTGATTGACGTATTCAATTGTTTTCTCTCGCTTCCTGGTTCACCGGAAATGACTACAATTTTTGATTTCTAAATGGCACTATCGGTATTTTTTTTTTACTTTATTTGATAGAAAATGACATTCTAAATAGAATGACGTATCATATGTCAACTTTTGATATATTCGCTTAAAAACAAATTGTATTTTAAATTTCAATCTAGAGTGCCATGGCTGTGTTAAAAACACTAATTTTTAATCAAGGAGCCTTGGAAAAATAGATTTGATTGTCTAATGTTTTTAGTGTCTTGCCCTGGCCGGTTAAAAGATATGATACCCAAATCTATTTTTGATCATATCTCAATTTTTTTCAAATGGAACGAAGGTGGATCATTAGCATATTTCGAAAAAGATTTTTTTTATGAATAATTTGATACCACACACTTGGTATTTCAAGTCAAATTGTCGTTGAACCACATGTTACAATTTCAAATAAACCATATGCGAAAATGTCAAAAGTTGACATGTGATATGTCATTCTATTCAGAGTGTCATTTTCTACCGAATAAAGTAAAAAAATACCGAGGGTGTAATTTAAAAATCAAAAGTTGCAGTAATTTCCGGTGAAACCGGAAGTGATCGAACAATTGAATATGTCAATCAATCCTAATTTATGTCATATACTAACATACCAAATCTCGTTGTTTTAACTGAGAAAATAAAAAAAAGTTATAGGGGTGATCCACTTTTGAGACGCACCCGGTATATTTATCCGTTGCGTATCTGAGAGACAAAATTTTACGACCTACATCGACAATGCTTCGAAATAAATTAAATCAGGCGATCAAGCAAATCGCTCGCCGCTTACTACTTGCCGTTCATTACCGAAAGAATATGTGCCCTGCGCACGCAGCTTACTGCTTGGCGCTTGGCGTTAACAAGTACTTACAACATGCGACGGACAAAAAACCGTATTTTTAAATACAAGCGATATTTCGCTCGAGTGATCACTCGGTTATTGCAATCGCTTGATACTCAAGTACTCGATTATTGAAATTAATCGGTTTTTCCCATCACTAGCAATTACCCGGATCTCTACTTCTTCGGCGGCCTGTGTTGCCACATCGACAAGAAAGTAAGTAAATACTTGGCTTATTAGTATCATGGTAAAATTTTTAAAACACATTATTCATGCGTTTTCTGACTATTTAATGAACTATCAACTTATATTATTATCAAATATATCAAATCAATTATCAAGATTTGCTAGTAAAAAAATTTAAGCTTAAAATATCACAACACAATTCATTTAAACCAAAAACCCGTAATACCAATGACTAAAGAATATAAGGACATGTAACGCCCATATACGGGCTGCAGCAGAATTTGTGACCTTAGAGACCATTCTTTTGATGACAAACAATGAGTCATCATTTGGTCACCACGACAATTTTAGCAATTTTTAGTAGTTTGTGTGTAGTAAACTTTGTATAAACTTTATTACAATGGTGATTAGTTGTTCAGCTTTCAAGTGTAAAAGCATCAGCGATAAGAAAGAGCCAGGAGTTACGTTTCATAGGTAAATAAACAGTCCACTCCAACTTTTTTTTTGAATTCGATAATTATGCTTCAATTTCAGTTAACATCTATATGTACTTGATATGTGCTATACGTCGATACTAGTTTTGTACCTTATGTTAACATTTTAATACGTTTTTTTTTTCGTAATTAATTAGTATTATACACCATAGGCGTAGTCAAAACAATTATGAAAAAATATAAATATTGCTTCGAACAGCTAGGTTAAGAAAAATATGTGCCACGGCACTGTTTGGTAACATCGACACAATTTGCTCTCGGGTGTTATTTGTCCTTGGATTCTTTAGTCATTGCGTAATACAAAACTAAAGTGTCAAAACGAATGACAATGTCAGGAAATAAATAAATAAATGTGGCATATTGACATTTTTTACAGCAGAGCTACTACCTGAATCCCCAGCGTGAATTTTAAATTCCCGTTAGTGAGCCCGGCGCCGAATATGTCCATGGTTGGCAACAATGAATTTAAAAATCGCGTCCTCGGTTATGTAACTAAAAGGTTAATTGGTGTCGCTTGTATATGATAATATTTATTTTTCACCAAATTTATTGTTCACCAAAAACTAATTGACACTTTATAACACTGTATTATCCCTGAACAACATGGATTTATCCCTAATCGCTCAGTCGAGTCAAACTTGGTGTGTTATTCCGAATATATAATGTCTTCTTGGTTTGGTTTGGTTTTGATGTCAATATGACTCCCATTTTTAGGTGGCGCCACCTACATGTGTTTTAACTGTTTTGAAGAGTAATAACTTTTCGTTGGTACCTGTATAAAACTACTGAGTAAAAAAATATACATTTTCGACTTTTTTCACTTAAAAAAGGTCTCTTGGTAAAAATCGCTACGAGTAATGGTTCTCGAGATATTTGAAATCGAAATTAGCAATACCTGTCATCATTGACATAAATTAAACATGTTGACTAAATAGTTATTAGACTGAAATCATAAATTTGAAATCTTTTTGTGCCAAAAGTTCAAAAGAAACTGTTTAATTAAATTTAAAAAAATAAAAATTTATTATTTCAGTCAAATAACTATACTCAACGTGTGCTTATTTTTTGTCAATAATGGCATGTATTGACTATTTCCATTCTAAATATCTTGAGAACGGTTGCTCGTAGTGATTTTTACCAAGAGACATTTTTTACATAAAAAATTATGGAAATGTATATTTTTTTAGTCAGTGGTTTTATACAGGTACGGTCGAAAAGTTATTACTCTTCAAAACAGTAAAAACACATGTAGGTGGCGCCCCCTACAAATAGGAGTAATTTTGACATCAAAATCAAATTTCTCGTGTCACAAAACACCCAGAAATACCAATTTTCATCCAAATATTGACGTTACTTCAGAAATTATTTGGAAAAAATCAAAATAAAAATGAAACTTCTACACCCTGTATCTCCTAAACCAAGCATTTTAGGACATACATTTATACGAACTTTTTTAGTTATTTTGATCTGTAGAATATGCTGCCGAAGTTTCCGGAATACAGTTCGGACCACCCTGTATATATCATTTTCATGAAACAGGCATAATTTTTTGTATGATTATAACTTTAATAACAGTCTCCTGCAGCAAGTACGCAAAGTGAGGAATCTCGGCGTCATTTTCGATCAAAAACTTATTTTCAATGAACACATTGACTATGTTGCTAGTAAATGTAATCGCTTCTTGGGATTTGTTATAAGATCGTGCGAATTTATTTCATCCCTGCAATCTATAAAGTCTCTGTACGTTGCGTATATTTGTAGCAGTATGAATTTTGCTTCGGTGGTCTGGTCCCCGCAATACTTTGTATTTAAAACAAGATTAGAAATTATACAAAAAAATTTAGATTTTTAGATTTTAAGAAAAATAACATTTATAATTATTATGCGAACACAGATCTCTTACGTCAGGAATTTGGGTTAATTACACTTGAGCAGCGTCGCACTTGTGCTGACGTTTGCTTTTTACACAAATTAATCAACAGTAAATACGATGTTTCAATTTTGTTGGAAAAAGTTAATTTTAACGTTCCCCAGCGTAATTTTAGAGGAAATTATTTGTTTTCTAAGAACTTTTACTATACTAATTTAGGTAAGAATTCACCACTGAACCGAATGCAGACTGCGTATAACGAATTATTTCATAACATAGACATTTTTATTGTATCCTTTCCAGTATTTAAGAGTAGAGTCAAGAGAAACATTACTAATTTTTCTAATGATGCTTAAGTAATTGCAATATGGACATTAAGTTTTTTTTTCTTTTTTTAGAAGTTAAGGTTTAGTAATTAAGTATTAATAAAATTGTGTTGATTGGTATACTACACTATTGTAAACTGAGGTGCCATAATATTGGGTCTTGGACCTGTTTGGCATCCTTTAGTCTTAAATATTGTATATATTGATGAGAATAAAAACCACTTAAATTTATTAAAAAAGACTTAAAAAAGTATAAATACTCACAAATGCACCGGTTTTTTTTGTTTTGTTTGTTTAAAAATGTTTACTTTTCAGAATAATTGTACCAAAGTATTTGCAAATGCGCTAACTTGCAATGCTGCATACATTGGAGATCATTTTTTGAAAACTAACACAGAGATAAAATATCTAGTATCTGTGGTGGGTGACAAACTGAAAGAACTATGGTTGGAAAATGTAGAAGACGTTTTTCTTAACCTGTTGACTGGTATATCCGATAATAAGCTTTTTTATGAAACATTTGATGAAAAAGTCATTTTTATATACCATGGAATAACTTATGCCGAATTTCAAAAGTGTTTGAAATTTGTAGAGGTTATTATTTTATTAGCTAATATCTATTTATTGTAATTATAATATATTTTTATTTTAGGATCTTCTTTGTTCAGGAAGCAGCTTAATCCATCTATTTTGTAGCTCTAAAAGCTCCAAATTGCAGAAAATATTACTTCAGTTGCAAACAGAACCATACACTGCAATAGCTGAAAAGAAAAAGCTGAAATACTTTCATCAGTATTCAATATGCATTGATTTGTTAACTACAAATATTAAATCAAAAGATAAAATAATAACTTATTTTTTGCGGGACACAATTTACTACCTAATTAATTTAGCCAGGAGCAGTGTAGATAATTTAAAGTTGAGCAAAATAGTTATAAAATACTTGGATGTATTTTTGAAACGTGTAGTACCTGAAAGATTTATAGTTTTTGAAGAATTTTTCGTATTTACTGTAAATTCTGTAAAAAGTTTAGCTCTAATCAACCACCAAACTTCTCAGCTTTGTTTGAATATCCTGGAGTTTCTCATAGTGGATAATGCCTCGAAATTTACCGAAATGATAAAAGGATTAGACACATTTCCAGACAAGGCAGAATTTCAAAAAATAAATGAAATCCATCATAAAATCAAATACGCTTTTAAAACTGTTACATTAGAGGACGAGATAACGTCATTCTTGGATTTTTCCAATGACATAGCGTCTAGACAAGATAATCTAGTTCATTTAAAGAGGTTGTTAGCCACTGAAAAAGCACAACTGGGTAAGATGTACAGCAAGCTGACTGAATCTAGTTCAGAAGAATGTTACAAGAACAGTGTGCTGCATCGTTTGACGTGTGTTCTTGTTAAAATGAGCTGTTTTCCTAACAAGAACATTAGCATTGAAGCCATTAAATGTCTGGGTGAATTAGGCCCTGCTAATTTGGCCACATCTATACTTCAATCCAAGGATAAGGTTTTAGATATTAAAGCGAAACCTCTTAAACTACTAACCGGCCAGATATTATCACTTTTAATACAGTATATTGTCGATCCCGATATTAAAGTTGTCAAGAGAGCTACCGATGCTTTGTATGCAGTTTTGAAATATGAAGAAGCAAAGGGGATTGCAGGTAAGTTAATGAAATGTAAATAGATTATACTAAGGGCTGGCAAAGGTTAGTCTTGGGTCGAGATTTCCGTATGTAAGAATATGTAAGAGTACAATGCGTTTATAATGTACTGAACAAAGAGAGGACAGTAAACACGTTGCCAAACGTATGAAATAAACCGAGAAACTGTGCACATCGCTAAGAGACGTGGAAGGGGATATAGCAGATTTGTCGCAGCATTTGTCGACCCATTCAATACCTCTGTCAGTACTTAAAGTTCCAGGGAAAGGTGTACGTCATGCCTTCAACTTCACGATTAAATACGTCTCGTGATACTTGATTTGTTTATTTATTAACGAGTCGTTGTAATTTTCCCTATAGCTTGAATTTTTTTAAGTGCAAGCTAGAAACACTTGCATTTTTGGTAAAAATAAGTGGAATTGAGTGGGTGTTCGATAGTGGTCGCGCTATTAGAACTCTGAATTCAAAAATCGATATCTCGAAATCTATTAGAAATAATAGATTGTAGTTTTTCAAGAACTTTGTTAATATTTCTGCTGTATTTTCTTTGTAGACAGTATGTGAAAATCTTTATCAATAAAAAAATTACACGATTGCTGAAAATTGCTATGCTCTAAAAGTAAATGGATGGATTGTTTACAATTTTGGAATGGAAAAAACAACCTTATCGAATTTTTCTTATGTAAACATATTGTAAAATATCCGAAATTAAAAAAAAAGTTTCAATATCTAAAGTGGTTCTTAAGTTATGGCCTGTTATGTGTTAAAAAGTTGAGTTTTTAAATTATCGCGATTACTGACGTTTTCTCGTTATAAAAAAAATGACACCCTAACGATATCCTTATAATTCCATTTCAGATGCTCAGAAACATGTCTAATGATTTTATCTAGTTATCTCTTGAAAGAAAGTCTTTTAAAAATAAGCGATTTGCGATCGTGATTTTACTTTACTTGATAGGGAAAGGCGTATCGGCAACGACACAATAGAACACCGTCGCGCGTCGCGTCGGTCGATCGGTCGCATTTCTCTCACTCCGACTTAATAAGATCCCTATGCGATTTACTTCCACACATGTAAATGCCGACCCAAAAGTAACAGTTGCCAGCACGGTATAATACTTGTCGTGAACTGGTATGAAAAATTCTAAGTCCACGTTGTGTTTGTCATTTCGGGAAAATCAACCAATCTCTCACGACCGGTTTCTGGGCCTTTACCGTTCATCAGGTGATCTGGTGTCACAGGTGGTTATTGAAATGTTTATATTTAATAAAATATTAAATTGTTTCTGTTCACCCCTCTTGTTTCTAGAGATCGCTTGACCATCTTGTGAGATATATTGTCAAACGCCCCCGCATTGTCTAAGAAGGCACAAATTGCTGTTGCTTTGCTATCCAGGCTTGCCTGTATTAGCTCGGTTAATTGGTACAGAGCAGTTTCTGTGGATCTGCCCGCTCTATATCTTCTTCTTTCTCAGCTTGGGTTCATCCAGTGTTGGATATAGGCCTCTTCTAGGTTTTTCCACGCTTCGCGATCTCTAGCCAATCTTATCCATTGTCTTCCCGCCACTGCCCTGACGTCATCGACCCATCTGTTTTTTGGTCGGCCCACACTTCTTGTTGTGCCCCTAGGTCTCCACTGTCTTGCCACATGTCCTATCCATTGCCACTTTAGACTTGCCACTCTTTTAACAACATCTATTAATTTTACAGTTGGGGGTTGGAACCTTTGATGTTACACAGCAAAATAAAACACTAAATCACCACAATACACCAAAACACTTACTTTTACACTGGACGCGCGTTTCGCTAACCATGTTAGCATAATCAGATGATTATAAACTGAAATTTTATTACAGTTTATAATCATTATTACAGTTTTTACAATAAGTTTACAATAATCAGTATTACAATTTATAATCATCTGCTGATGATGCTAACATAGTTAGCGAAACGCTCGTCCAGTGTAAAAGTAAAAGTGTTTTGGTGTGTTGTGGTGATTTAGTGTTTTATTCTATTAATTTTGTTTTTTGACGTATGTGGGTGTTCCGTATTTTTTCCCTAATGGTGACACTCCCAACATGACTCTTTCCATGGCTCTTTGTGCTACTCGTAGTTGTTCTGCTGTTTTTCGGGTAATTGCCATAATCTCTAAGCCATACGTAAGCACAGGTAGAATGCAGCTGTCATAAGCCTTTTTCTTTAGGTTGATGGGCACCTTTTTATCCTGAAAATATGGCTCATATTTCCAAATGTATCCTGCGTTTGATCTCCGTATTTTGATTCTCCTTACCCAGCTTGATTTTATGACCTAAATATATACAATGGTCTACGTTTTCAATATATATCCGCTCTATATACAGGTTGTTAATTTGCTTATTACTCGCGGCAAGAGCTTTATGGTTGAAATATGGCAACCTCGGCCCGCTCTTCGGGAGACGACGCTACGGGACGAGTCGGCAGGTTAGTATTTGGAATTAGATGCAGTGTTGCCATTCTGTTCCCAATAAGTATCCATCAGTTAACAATCTGTATATGCTGACTTTCGTGCAGTGGTTTAACCTTTAGATGATTTTCTCAAATATGGTTGTCCACTATTTTCTCCATCATTTTTAGTATAAACGATGTGTAACTAATAGACCTAAACGATTTAGTGTTAGCCCAGTCAGTAATGCCTATTTTTGGTATGAAGATTACTTTCGCTCTTCTCCAGATGGTTGGTATCTAAGCTGCTTCTTGTAATGTTTAATAGATGGTGAGTAGCTATTTCCTGGCTCTTTTTTAGGCAGAAAAAATCCCATCTGGTCCTGCTGCTTAAAAGGCTGAAAGGTGTCAATAGCTCCATTTCAGATTTTGTTCTGTTATTACTAGCTTGGACATCTCCCACTCTTCCCTGCAAGGATTGTACGGTTCAGTCGGAGCTGGTTGTGTATCAATAGATTGCTACCTGGAAAGTGTGTATGAAGTAGAAGGTTAGCTCTCTCTTCATCTTTTTCCGTATAGCTTCCATCGGGTTTCTTAAGAGCCATATTATAGGGATGGGCCCACTCTTGGCCATAGCTGTGTGTAGTCTAGCTGCATAATTAGTAGAAGTGATGTTTTCGCAAAAAAGATCTGAAATCAGACCGTTTTGTCCTTCTAATCTTATTATACTCGGTTAATTTCTTGGTGTAGAGCTGCCATTCGCCGCTGTATTTCGCTCTGTTGAAGAGTCGTGGGACCTTCGATCTAATACTGGCCAGCTTCTTGTTCCACCAGGGCTTGTTACTTTTTTGAGTACCCTTACTTGTCGGGCAACTAGATTCATATGCATTCAAATTTTCCCAGTACTGCTTCGCTGGTATCTGCTTCCGAGATTGAAGTTACGGGTGGAATTAATTCTTTGATGGCTTCCCGGAGGTCGTCGGCGGTATCGTTGTTCCCTAAACTCCGCACGTTCAATCTGGTCATGTTGTTTTGCTTTTTACAGTGTGGATGTTTGGGTTTTAACTGGATTTTTACTTTTGAAATTAAAAGTCGGTGGTCAGCACCAATAAGCTTATATGCTATTAATGGAGAGGCAATACACTTAAATGTTTTTGCGTAGATAAATCAAATCATAAGATATAGTTTTAATAAATTATTCATGAATTTATCGTTTGTATTGTTTTTATAAGATATTAACTCGTAAAAAGTTTTAACATTAAGTTCACTGGTTTAAATGTTTCAGCATCAGGTGAAGATTATGGATACGGTCCAATTAATAGATCTTATATATTTCCTTTCACACTTAATACAAGTAAATCTTCAAGCGTTCGAATAAATTCAACGTTGCGTTGGCAAAACGACATTGAAATATGGTGTCCATCGGATAGCACTGACAGTAACGGTTGGATTACCACGCTAGTTGTGGAATTACTAAACACCTTTAGTAACGGAAGTTATTTTAATGATTTAATACCTTTATGTAAAGTTAAAGTAAGTATGGTTTAATATTATGTAGTAGAGGTGGGAATTCTAGTTTTTTTGGAGGATCTAGTTTCTTAGTTCTACTTCCTCCAGAGAAATAGTTCCTTACTTCTAGTTCCTCCGGAGAAATAAACTCCAATCAGGGTTTAAAAAACTATTATCACAAATCAATAGGAGCGAATTTCCTGTTTCCAACGACGATCACCTCGTATACGGGAGCTTATATTACTTATAGCATAGTTTAAGGAAAAGAGTAGTTGCACTCTCGCAAATATTTTCTACCAGTTTTTGCAATCTGTCGAATATCGGCAGATTGCAAAGCATTTCAGTTGAATTCCGTCCGTCGAGCTGCGAGGTTCGAGCGTTGCGTCCCAGCACAGAGACGGATTGACAAAAAATTAGTGCCTTACTGTGTGCTGCTATTAAATGTAGTAATAATTCAAAAAGTTGTTCTTTCAGTTTTTTTAGATTTCCATTGGATGAATTTTATAATAGCATAATCTCTTATAAATTTAGTGGACTGTATTTTGGCTTTATTATAGCCAGTGTTATTAAAGAAAATAGAAAATATAGCCAAGTGTTAGGCTATACTTTCCTAAACAGGGATAACAAATCCGCGTAGAAAAATTTACATTATTCTATATGTATAGGGTATTTTTTATGGCGTCACCAAAATCGGAATATTTAAAATGGTATATCTCAATTTTTTTAAATGCAACATTCTGTATATTATTTTTCTGTCAGATGCAGAATTTAAAAGTGAACATTTTTTATTTAAAGTGTTTCTAAATTTTTAACGGTTTTGCAGATATTCGCAGTATTATATTACATATGGCTCTTTCAACAGTAAATTTTTATCAAAACCACCCCCACCTAATATGATCTTTGTCTGATATTTTATGGTTGAAAATCCCATATGTAATGAAATACAGAAAATATTTGCAAAACGGCTAAAAATTTAAGAACACTTTAAATACAAAAAATGTTCACCTTTTAATTCTACATCTGAAAGAATAATAATATACAAGGTGTTGCATTTAAAAAAATGAGATACAACATTTTAAATATTACGATTTTGGTGACGCCATAAAAAATACCCTCTATACGATAAAGTAAATTTTTCTACACGAATTTATTCTGGTATCCTTCATGTTTAAGAAAACATAGTTAAGTATTAATAAAGTTATATTCACTCTAGTTTTTTACCACTTTTTGTATATAATGTACAAAATATCACAACCAAATAAGTTTTAGTAAATAAGAAATAGAATGGCAACACCGCAGTGTGCTTTAAATAAAAACAGTGTACTATATGCAGATTAAATAAAAACAGTGTACTATATGCAGAATTTTATGCCGAATCCAGTTATCTACAGAAAATTAAACTTGTTTTAAATCAGAAAAAAGTTGTAGAAAATCTATGAAATAGATTATAATAATATAAAAATATGGCATTATATATTTTTTCCGCATTTCTTCCCATCAGAAGATTTTCAGATACAGAAGAATTGTTACCTACACGAAATAAAATTCTGTTTTCAAGCAAGTTTTTAGTCGATGATCATTTTTTTTTATTTTATTTTATTGTGAACTCATATTTTCCTAAATACATATCTGTGAAACTATGGCGAGTGCCACGACTATACTTTGCCTAGTTAATAGAGAACAACGGCTTACGGTCGAGTCCGCCGCTGCTGGCACGTATACGTAGACGTAAAGAATCTTTTACGTGTATAAAAAAATAAAAAATATAAGAAATGCGCATGCGCACGTAAACGTTTACGTGATTGTAGTGTGTGCCGTTGTTCTCTAATAGCCCACGACTATACAGCTACGTCAGTGGTCACGAGAGGCGAGAACAAATTCATATAAAGTGACAGAAGATGAACAAAGGATTTGACAAGGAGTAAAACTACTAGTTTCCTTATACTATGCTTATAGTTCATTCAAAAAGTTACATGTTAACAGTTTTTCATTTTTAGGTCAAATTCTGTGAATCTATTTTACCATTATTAATATATCTACTATTGCATTTGAAAAATAAAACACTGACGGTGGCTATTTCGAAACAAATCAATAATTTTTTCACAAATCACTGGAGTGCGACGGTCACATGTACAACAGAGAAAACGAGCATAGCAGTGAGTAAGAAGGCAGTAAAATGTATGGTCGACGTTATTAACTTTATACGACAACAATCAAGCATTTTACAAGAGTAAGTCAATAAAATATACTTATATTCATTAATGTCAAAACTAGTAGTAAACCAGCGGATTTAGTCTGTGGATTTAGTCGACCGAGTTGACTCGTTATGTACCAAATTTCTCGTATTTTGAACGGCCCAATCTCGACTGCCGACTTAATCTGCCGATTAGATCTTTCGACGTTTTATAATAGCGTTACCAGTCCACGGACTTTATCATTCGATCATTTTTAGGGTTCCGTACCCAAAGGGTAAAAACGGGAACCCTATTACTAAGACTTCGCTGTCCGTCCGTCCGTCTGTCACAAAGGTCTATCTTATGAACCGTTATAACTAGACAGTTGAAATTTTCACAGATAATGTATCTATGTTGCCGCTATAAGAACAAATACTAAAAACAGAATTAAATAAATGTTTATAGATAAAAAAGTACTTTCACTAAACATTATCTTTTAAGTAAAAATTTTGCATAGAATCTTTCAAGTCCTCGGTGGCCGCGTGGTTAAAGCGTTAGGACTTTACGCTGCTATGACGTTGGAGCTGTAGTAAGGCAGGTTCGAATCCTAGTCAAGGCGACTTTTTTTAATAGTTTTTTTTTAATTTTTACATATTTTTACATATTTATTTTTACTTTTTACATATTTATTATTGATTAATACAATTTTTAGTAATGTATTTCTTCATTTTTTTTAAATTACTTATACGCGCATTCAAAATTTCAGCTAAATCGGAAAAAAGTTTATAATAATATAGTGTCTGATGTTATATGATAATGAATGGTACGGAACCCTTCGTGCGCGAGTCCGACTCGCACTTGACCAATTTTTTTTTAGACCAATGACCAATCTAATCTGACAGATCGAGCCTGCGGATTTGGGCTTTGACAGGCTTCGTCCGCCACAGGCTGATCTGCCACACAAAAACAAAGTTTTTATCCGCGGATGTGTCACGTGCCACATTAAACTAGTCAACTTATATGTTGGTGTATGGAGGCCATTAAAATATTAATGTACACATGTCCCTGGATTGTCTTTACAAGAGAAGACACTTTTTATATTAATATATTTTTAAGAATAAATCTTCTTACACAAAAGTTTTTCAATATTTTTTGAAAAACATGAACATAGTTGAATTTTTTCCCAAAAATCAAAATGCGCATCATGATAATACCATTTTTAAGTTTTCATTCCTTATTAAACGGTTGTTATTAATTTTGATTAACGTCGTATTTTCTGCTGTTTTAATATGTTAAAGAAGTACAAAATTTATTTGGTTCAATACTATGGAAAAGGTGATTTTATATTTTGTGCTTCTTTAACATTTTAAAATAGCAAAAAATATGACGTTAATGAAAATTAATAGCAACCATCATGCATAGCCATTGCCTGGAAACTTATATGGTGAAATTTTGATAAAATAATTTAGTACTCACTAAAAACCCGGTATGTCGCTAGTGGTAGGAAAAATAATTTTTAGAGGTTACTAGTTTATGTGGTTGCCTGTGATATGCATATACAGGGTGTTTCCTAATTAATCTAAAAAATAAAGAATCGTTAGAAAACGGCTTAAGGCGGGCTCTTAATAAGTATATTTTTTTTTTCTCGGCAACCGTTTGATGAACAAGAAAAACTCAAAAGATCAATTTTGTTGAAAAAGTATGGCCAGTCAAGAAAAAAATATATTTTCTTTAAAAAAGCAGTAGTGTACCATTTATGTTAAGCAAAATATTGATTTTTTTTTAATTTTTAACACCCTGTAGATCAGAAAAGAAGTACTTTAGACCCAATGTTTATATAAAAATTGTTTTAAGACCACATGAGGAATCACACCACAATTTTTTAGACTCATTAGAAAACGCCCGGTATATTGTCAACTTGACAATGATTGTTGATAAATCAAAAAATACCTTTTCTGTGAAAAAAAACGATTTTCGCAGGAAAAATTTTGGTTTTTATTGAATGTGGGCCTGCGTCTGCAAATACCGGTATGTTTTTTAATATTCTATCTATCTAAATTTTAAACATCATAGTCAGAAATAGTTTTATTATTTATTAACTGTAAAAATGGTATACTTTTAAGTTTTATCAAATATTGTGATTTACTTTCTACCTTGCAGTCAAAATTTATATTTAATAAACTGTAAAATATATATATATATTCTTATGTTTTATTAAAGTTACTCTGATATACTAATATATTAGTGTAACTTTAAAACTAAATCCTGTGAAATCAAATATAAACATAAAAAATATCTACAGCAGAAAAGGCGAAGGTGCTGGGTTAAACGTAGTCTCTACTACGAACACGGAGGGGCGCTTTGACCCAAAATTTTACTATTAAGTTTCATATCTATCTTAATAGAAGATTATTTTCTTTTATCTATTTGCATAGCCATCATGGAAACAAAATATTACCATAGAAACGCGTTTTGATTTTTGAATAAATTCAACAATAGCTTTGTTCGGGTTTTCGTTATTACCAATCCTGAAGCTTATTAGAATTCTACAGCGCATGCGCAGCTGAAAAATGTAGTCTGAAATTTTGAATTTTATAATAATAATAATAATAATAACTTTATTGCCCAACAGGTATTTACCCATACAAAAGACAATTTAGACATATTAATATGAAATACAGTAATAATTAATAAAATAATAACAAAAAAAAATACAGAAAAAGAAAGTGTATATATGTGAAACAAAAGATAGATGAAAAAATAGATAACAATTAACGTTTGAAGAAATGAGTGTCCAGATGCCCTTTAAAACTTTGGATGGAGTTGTGGAAGAGATCCAAATCTGTCTGTCTACTGATGTCGTTGAAACTGCAACAGGCACGATGTAGTGGAGCTCTGCTTGCAAGGACGGTACTTTTGTGTTTTTAGTATAAAACGTCGTTTTCATTCTTAGTATTTACGGACGGTACATGCCAGCAAAGTTCACCGAGAAGAGAAGGAGAATCCAATAGACAATTAGACAACTTATATAGGAATATGATAGACGAACGAAGTCTATTATCCTTTAACGAAAGGAAATTCCATCTCTTCAACAATCGGCCGTGATCATAACCTTTGAGGAGGATATATTCCATCCTCTTTAAAAACAATAATTTTAAAAACAACGTTGGACATTTTCCAGACGTTGCTCAAAAGGCTACTATAAAATGGAGACCACACCAATGCAGCATAATCCAGCCTTGACCTCACAAATGCGTTGTAGAGAGCAATAAGACACGGAATATTGTGGAAGTTCTTAGTTGTGCGTGATATAAAACCCAGTGCCTTCAGTGACGCTTTCTTCTTCTTTACAGATTTCCTCTACGTGATAGTTAAAACTGAGACGCTTGTCGATATAGACGCCAAGGTCTTTTACCATATCGCAATTTCCCATTGTAATGCTGTCTATTTTGTAGTCGTATATGATTTCTCCGTGCTTTAGTGTTATGGACATTTTCTTACATTTCTGTATATTGAGTGGTAGATGGTTGCGAACAGTCCAGGCAAAGATGGAGTTAATGAATTCTGAACTCGTATACAATCTTCTGAGTCGGTCACAACAGAGAACAATTTTAGATCGTCGGCGAATAATAAGGATGGACAGTCAATTACGTTGAATATATCATTGATGTAAATGGAGAATAATAGAGGTGCGAGGTTACTACCCTGAGGAGCGCCACTTGTTGGTGTAAATCTGAAAGAACGGTGGCCATTATATTCAACGTATTATGATCGGCAAGAAAGATATGACGAAAAGAATGCTACGAGTTCTTCTGTAAACCAAAATTTTCCAATTTATGAAGCAGTCATGAGTGACTCAACTTGTCGAATGCTTTCGAGAAGTCCATAAAATTGCATCTACCTGCTGGTGTTCTTCAATAGCTTTATAGGTATATTCCATAAATGTAGTAAGATTTGTTACAGTAGATCTTTTTGGGAAGAAACCATGCTGATTGGGGGAAAGTTCGTTTTGGATTTGTGGAAATAATTTCGTAAATATGCACATTTCAAAAGCCTTGGCAAAGTTTGATAAAATGGCAATCGGTCTGTAATTACCAATGACGTTGACATTACCGGACTTGAATACTGGACAAATCTTCACATTCTTCCACGCATCGGGGAAAGTATTAGTAATGTAGAGCCAAGTTAAAAATCTTAGTAAGCGGTTTAGAGAAGACCGCTGCACAGTCTCTCTAACAATGAAAGAGGGGAACACTATCGGTCCTGCAGTGACTTTAGCTTTCAGTTTTCGCAGCGCGTTGAGAACATCAGATTCATCAAGTCCAATCAGGGAAACACAATTTAGTGGTAGCTGTAACAGGACAGCCATCCCAATTGTCCTGCTTCTGTTCAGTATACACTTCGGAAAAATGATCCAAAAGCATCCAGTATTTGAGATGTGTCGAAAGCTGAGTGTTTTCATATTCCATAATGCCTGGTATGTGGAATGTTTGCGCTTCTGGTCTCTACAATCTCCAAATCTTTGAGGTTGGGTTTGCAGATTGTTTTGGATCGTCTGTTCATATGTTGAGTAGGCCTCTCTTTTGATTTGTCTCTAGTGAGTGCGCGAAGACGCTTGAAGGATTCTAATGCAATAACGGAGTTGGTGCACTTGTAAATTCTGAACTGTCTGTATTTTTCTTTTAAGTTGTTGATTATATCCCTTGTGAACCATGCTGGAAAAGTCCTGGAGGTGTTCTGTTTATCATAAAGTGGTATTACTGCATCCATGATAGTAGTAATGTATACATAATAATATGCGTATAATATACCGGGTGCGTCTCAGAAGTGGCTCACCCCTGTAACTTTTTATTTTTTCACCTAAAAAACAAGATTTGGTATGTTAGTATATGATATAAATTAGGATTGATTGACGTATTTAATTGTTTTCGATCACTTTATGGTTCACCGGAAATGACTACAACTTTTTATTTTTAAATTGCACTCTCGGTATTATTTTACTTTATTCGATAGAAAACGACACTCTTTGAATATAATGACATATAATATGTCGACTTTTGACATTTTCGCTTAAAAAATCGTATTTTAAATTTCAATATATTGTGCCATGGCTGTATTAAAAACACTAATTATTTGAGCCTCGGAAAAATAAATTGGAAAAGTTTATTTTTCCAGTCGTTATTTGATCGTTTTATTTTTCGTTGTTTATTTAATTTGATCGTTGTGTTTTTTTCGTGTCTTGTCCTGACCGGTTAAAAGATGTCCAAATCATATTTTTAATCATGTTTCAATTTTTTCAAATGGAACAAGGGTGGCACATTAGTATATTTGGAAAAAGCATTTTTTACCAATAATTTGGTACACTTGGTATTTCGAGTTAAATTATCGTTATGAACCGCATGTTACAATTTCAAATAAACAATATGCGGAAATGTCAGAAGTTGACATATGATATGTCATTCTTTTCGGCGAGTCTCATTTTCTATCAAATAAATTAAAAAAATGCCGAGGTTGTCATTTAAAAATCGAAAGTTGTATCACAGAATATCTAGCTACGCAACAGAAGCCTCGTTACATGTATAAAATCGTAGGTCTCAAAAGGAGACAGGCTTTTAAAGCCTGTCTTTAAATCAGATATTTTGATGTGGTAGTTTCGCTACTACATAATAGAGGTTATCGCCCTAATTTAAAAGAAAACAGTTTTCTTCAAACAAAATTTAAAAGAATTTTATGCAGTGTGCCATTGTGTAATTTATATTGTAAAACTTCCTGATAAAGCCTACCTTCAAATTTGCTACATCATTTAAACGTATTAAAATATATATAAGTATTTAACTTGCCATGTTAGTTGGAGTTAAATCTTACGAGCTGAATTAAAATCATTACCTGATGTTTGATTCTAACGGAATCCTGAATTTTGATTGTAATTCGACTATTATGACACCACTTCCTGACGTTCGATTGTGTTCATACCGTATGATCGGGAAAACACGGCCTTAGCGATGGCTATGAAATGAAAATCGCTGTCATTTTATGTGTAAATTTATATGGGAAATGTCATCGATCGTCTTTTCCCAGCCAACTGGACGCCGTTTTTTTCGGTATCAGACGGTATTTGATATATACTTGCGTATTTTTCATGACATTGCAATATTATGGTACCATGAAGCATATAAAGAGGTACCTTCTATAGTACCATATTATGATACCAATTCCTGACGTTCATGTGGGCTCATATTTGATATATATTTGCATATTTTTAATGACATTGCAATATTATGGTACCATGAAGCATATCAAGAGGTAGCATAATAGTACCATATACGATACCATTTCCTGGCGTGCGATTGGACTTATACTTGATATAGTAAGTATCTTCGGTGACATTGTAATATGATGGGACTATGGTGCATATAAAGTGGTACCTTAATATAGTACCATATTACGGTACCACTTCCTGACGTTCGATTGGGCTCATATTTGATTATACTTGCGTATTTTTGATGACATTGCAATATTATGGTACCATGAAGCATATCAAGGGTACCATAATGTAGTACCATATTACGATACCACTTCCTGACGTTCGATTGAGCTCATATTTGATTATACTTGCGTATTTTTGATGACATTGCAATATTACGCAATACCATGAAGCATATCAAGGGGTACCGTAATGTAGTACCATATTACGATACCAGTTCCTGGCGTTCGATTGGGCCCAAATTTGATATATAATTTATGTTTCTTTATATAAAGATTTGTTTAATTAATAATTTTAATTTATTTTACTTAATTTAATTTATTGTAACACGATGTCGTGACAGCAATTTTTATGCCAAACTAATATATTATTAATTGTACCTGTGTCACTTTTTAAAATCTACCTAGGTCTATATAAATAACGTGGCAAACAGAAAAAAATTGTTATTATAGTATTTTTTTAGGCAATTAACATTTTTTGTACTGCATTTTAATAAATCATTTCCATTATTATTAAACGTATATTTCATTACTAACGTTTCAGCAGTAATAAATATCACTATCAATCGCCCTGTATATTATTAATTTTAAAGGTAATTGAAGTTATTTTCTTAGTTAACATAATAAAGTAGTGTATATTAAAAATGTATTTTGAGAGCATATGTTATCCAATAATATACTTAAAATTAAAACTATTTTAAAAGCCCAACGAATAATTAATATATGTAAGTGTATCTGACAAGAAACGAAGAATAGAAAGAAATTATTATACACCAGAAAAAGAATGGGATACCAATTAAAGTCTTTTTGAATCTGGCAACTGTGCATATTTAACAGAGCTTCAAGGCCGTCGACGTGCCGTCGATCTACATCGATCTAAAACCGAAAATTTCCAATTATATTCTGATTATGATATTGTCGCGCCATCTAGTATTTTATTTGTGCAATTTTAGCTCTTTCATTTCGAGTATTTTTCTGTTGCGTAGCTAGATATTCTGTGGTTGTATTCATTTCCGGTGAAACAGGAAGTGACCAAAAACAATTGAATACGCCAATCATGTCATATACTAACATACCAAATCTTGTTTTTTTATCTGAAACAAATAAAAAGTTATAGGGGTGAGCCACTCTCGAGACGCACCCGATATATTCTTTCTATATTGCCCCCCCCCTTATTTTATATACAGAGTGGTCCGAACTGTATTCCGGAAACTTCGACAGCAAATTCTGCAGATAAAAATAAGTAACAATGTTCGTATAGACGTACATATGTCCATTTTTATTTCGATTTTTTCCAAACAAGTTCTGCAGTAACGTCAATATTTGGATTAAAATTGGTGTCTGGGAGTTTTTTGACATGAGAAATTTGATTTTGATGTCAATATGACTCCTACTAATAGAGGGCACCACCTACATATTTTTTAACTGGTTTGAAGAGTAAAAACTTTTCGTCCGTACCTATATAAAACAACTGAGTAAAAAAAATATACATTTACGACGCTTTTTACGTAAAAAAGGCTCTTTGTAAAAATCGCTACGAGTAATGGTTTTCGAGATATTTGGAATCGAAATTATCAATACCTGTCATCACTGACATAAATTAAATATGTTGACTAAATAGTTATTAGACAGAGATCATAAATTTGAAATGTTTTTGTACCAAAAGTTCAACGAAAAATGTTTTATCATCATTTTTTTGCAGAAAAAATATGATTAATTTAAAAAAATTAAAATTTCCCAAATTTATTATTTCAGTGAAATAACTATCTACTCAACGTGTTTATTTTTCGTCAATAAAGGCATGTATTGACTATTTCCATTCTAAATATCTTGAGAACGGAATTTCTCATGTCAAAAAACTTCCAGACACCAATTTTCATCTAAATATTGACGTTACTTCAGAAATTATTTTGAAAAAGTCGAAATAAAAATGAAATTTTAACACCCTGTATCTCCGAAACTAAGCATTTTAGGACATACTTTTATACGAACTTTTTTACCTATTTTTATCTGTAGAATATGCTGCTGAAGTTTCCGGAATACAATTCGGACCACCCTGTATATAAAAATATAAAAATATATGATTACTATTTAAAATTATATTTAAATTGAATTATTTAATTTTCAGCTTCAAATTCGAAGATTTGAAATTGAATTATTTAGCTATATCTAAAGCAGCTGCGTTTTGTTCCGCCCATTTCTCAGCTCTACTTTATGGCGAATTATGGTGTAGAAAACAAATATCGAATTACGAGCGAACGGCCTTAACGCAACTGAATTCTGTCAAAAGCGGAAACACCCTTTTGGACTACGTGTACGAAAATGAGTCTGAAACTGATGGAATTACCTTACAAGATATCCTACAAAATGTAATTTCTACTTAAGTCTTTTTTTTATAAAAATTTTATTTATGATTATTTTAGGCCTACAAATCGATAGGTGATTTGGACTCTCTCTCAGGTTGTGGATTTATGTTTTTACTTAATCCAGAATATAAAGTGGAATATTATAAAAAGCTAGATCAGTGGGATAAAGTTATGAACTATTATAGTTCCCAGTCTTCGAGGTACACAGGTTCCTCTTTAACAAATTTAATTGACAGCTTTAAAATGAACCAGTTTTACCAACTGCCAGTATTATATTCGGAATTATCATCGGAACCTCAGTATGAATGTTTGTGGAGATTGGGCCAGTGGACTACAAATGAGAAAAATGCATTTAAATGTGAAAAAGTAAGTAATACTAATATACAATAAATACTATATAGATACAATAAGTACAATAAAATAATTTATTTTAATCAAATAATGCAGTAGGAAAACAACAGTTAATGGAAATGAACTCTATACCAGAATTCAAGAAACTATCTAAAGTTGTTTCCGACACATTGCGAGAAATTCGATTTTTTTTTATTTTATTTTTCTTAAAAACATTATGAGGAACCACACCCTGAATATTTTTAGACTACTTTGGAAGCAGCCTGTACATGCCACTAAAAGTGGACAAAATTGTTATTTTGGGAGAACAGTAAAGCTTCATTCAGAAGCTCGCAATTAGTGGTTTCAATTAGCGTAGAAGTTTGTTCCTCTAATTTGAACGTAAGCATTCAGAACGTAAAAACATTATGAGGAATCACACCCTGAATATTTTTAGACTACTTTGGAAGCAGCCTGTACATGCCACTAAAAGTGGACAAAATTGTTATTTTGGGAGAACAGTAAAGCTTCATTCAGAAGCTCGCAATTAGTGGTTTCAATTAGCGTAGAAGTTTGTTCCTCTAATTTGAACGTAAGCATTCAGAACGTCAAAATTAGTTGGAGGAATTTTCAATTAGTGGAAAAACGTTAACAAACTTTCAACTTTTTCACTAATTATGCTTCAAAATTTGCGGGGAATGTCATTTTGGCCTTTGATTGGCATCTGGCAAGAGAAAAATGTGGTTAGAAATCAAAAGTTGATTGTTTTATAAGCTAAATAATAGGCACTTTACTTTTTTTTATACATTTTAGTTTACGATCATTCACAATGTCTAAAAACACAATTAAAATTAATAGGATATCCTAGCAACAGCTTGCGGTAAACAGTTGTATCCATAGCGAAAGCCGAATACTTAGCTTATAAAACAATAAACTTTTGATTTCTAACCACAATTTCTCTTGAGGGACGATAATCAAAGGCCAAAATGACATTCCTCGCAAATTTTGAAGTACAATTAGTGGAAAATTTAAATGTTTGTTACCTTTTTCTACTAATTGAAAATGACTACCACTAATTTTGGTGTTTTGAATGCTTACATTGAAATTAATGGAGCAAACTTCTACGCTAATTGAAACCACTAATTTATTCCACCTATTGCTAGGTTGAATGAGACTTTAGGATTATTACTATGGTCATATTCTGCGACTGTTGTTTTCCTATCTATTATTTTTTTGGAATAACTGTTGCGAGCTTCGTGACACAACGACCTCGATTTCACATCGCAAACCATCGATGTCAGCGTGTTATTATTTTTATATCTGATATTCGTCAGAACTGTTGTGAGCTTGTTAAAATTTTGTGACTAGGCGTTGCCAACATCATATCACGAGCCGTCGACTTCCAGTGCACTTCATTTTCATAACTGTTACTTTTTAGAATTAACAGCTGTTGTGAACTGATATTTATATCTTAAATTTCTGTAATAACATATCGTCAATACACACCCAGACTCTATACCACTGATTATGAAAAAGCTTGCGTCACTTAAATAATTTTTATAACATTTTGTTAATGAATAACTAAAATGTATAAAAAAATATAAACAATATTTATATTGTTTTATATTTTTTCTTACAGCATTATCTATAAAAAATTGTTAATAACTTCTCGACCAAAAAGTACAAATGAAGAAAATAAATCATAAAAAAATCCCAGTTATTACTAGTGATAGGAAAAATCGTATTATTTCAATAATCGCATTATCAGGTTATGAGTGATTTTAATAATCGGATTATAATTCGAATTATAAATCACTCATATTATAATCAATTCTCAAGAGTGCACTTGCAACGTCGCAAGGTCGTCACCTATAATTCATCACTCAATTCTCATTATTCGAAATTCGACTAGCTACTACGTCCCACTAGTCAACTCGCATACCCAACGCTTTGTTGTCCCTTAATTTCGCAGTTCTGCACGCGCATAAACGATAATCGGTCGGGTATTTCGCGTGCAATCTAAAAAAAAGCGACGGCCTTACCAATGGATCTACAGCTGCTCTTGCAAAATTGGCTGTAGCTAGGCGTTACTTTCCGTCGTTCTTAAAACCGTTCATAAAATTAGGGACAGCAAACGGCAACATTGTTGGGTATGCGAGTTGACTAGTGGGACGTAGAAGCTTCTGTCATCATAACCTCTGCAGTGAAATTGAATTAAAACAGGTTAAACAAACACTCAAATTATTAATAGCGAATTGGGTTGTTTCTCTCTCTCTCAGTCTCTATTAGTTTCTCGATAAGGATAAAGAAAGAGATTACCGATCAATCCCGCCGAAACATTGACTACTCGTATTGCTGAGTCATCGCAAACGATGCGATTTTTTTTATCATTCATTAAAAAAATTTGAATTATTTTTCGATAATCGGATGATGACGATTATTTTCATAATTGAATTAAGAATGATTTTTAATTTGAATTATCCCATCACTAGTGAAATCTAACCGGATAAAAGCAAACCTTATGATGAACCTGACAAATTTTTAGCCGACCATACCAACAGGTATGGTAGGCTATTAAGATCGGCAAAAAAAAGTTTTTTTTATTTCACTCAAAATGAGTTGTTTGGATCATAAATGACCTAAATACAAAATATTTTCATGGTGTCTGTCTGTGTGTCTGTCTGTCTGTAACGCGATAACTCAAAACCGCTAAACCGATTTTAATGAAATTTGGCACAAAATACTGTGGCACCGAGAATCTGGCCATTAGTTTTTGGTGGGGTAAGGGGTTTGTAAGGGGTGGGAGGGTCAAAATTTAAAAATCGTAATTCCAAAATTACAGTAGCTAGCGAAACCGCGGCTTTCAATTTAAAGATTAGGGAATAATATTTGCAACAAATTTAGCCGTACTTCAAGTCGTAAAATTCGTTTGAGATATTCCGTGTTGAGAATTCGGCGTCCATTAATGGAGAACTCCAAACTCCCATCGGATGCGACCCCAGGTGGCGTATAGGGGAAATAACCGCGTATCAAAATTGGAAAAATTTCTTTACTTTGAAACTAAAGAACTGCCTACCACCAAGCTTTTATTAACATATTTTAGTATGAATGACTGGCACGTGCACCTCCGACGTCATTTTGTTTGTTTTTATTTGAAGTTATGGCGGTAGGTTAACACCGGGTTTATTAAGGATGGGCTCCAGCGTGAATTAGAAATAGTTTATTTTTTTATTCTCATTTTATTTTATATTAAAATACTTTTTTTATTTCTTAGGACACCCCAAGGAATTATGAAAATTCAAATTTAATTCCTTAAAGGCCTTGTGCGATGGCGACAAATATACATTCTATAAATCAAAAGAAGAATTAGGATTGTGTGTAATAGAAAATTTAAAACACACAAGTTTAGAAAGCAGTAAGAACTTGTATCCGATATTAGCACAATTACAGTCCCTGGTAGAAATGGACGATTTCATGGAAGCCATTGAACGACAAGAATTCGATTCATTGTACGTAGATGGAACTAAAGATAATATTATAGGACATGAGTTTCCGGTTTGTGGAGACCTATAAGGACACTCAAAAGAATAACTCTTTTTGAAGTATTAAAATATCACAAGCGTCAAATATTTTGGTGGTGTTAATTTGCGGAGTAGGTTGAATTATTTATTCGCAATATTTACTTCTAATATTATACACTCACCAGCAAAAAACAAGGCCACTAAAAACTAGTCATAATTTCAAAGTTGGATTTCTCATGAACCACTCATTGATTTTTGATGATTTTTTGTCGACATCATAAGAGCTAGAATCCCAATTGGTTGTTTTACATAAGTGGCTGAACTTTTGAGCATTCTGTTCTGAAAAAATACGGCATAATTTACGAGGAGCATTTTTGGATTTTGGACTTTATCGAAAATTCATTTAAACTGCTTCATGATCAGAGAGACCCGAGCTAAAGACGTTGCAGGGGATGGAGTTAGGATCAAAATATGACACAACATAGTCTGTAGTACTAGAACTGGTATTTGATATTCTGGTAGGTGAGCATACATGCATGGCCATTCCAAACAGAATCAAAAATGGACTGAAGAAGCTCCTGAGCAGCACATACAAAGAGAAAGTCAATATTTAAGATCACACACAACCCCCTTAATTTGCTTTTTAAAGGCAGGGACTCAAGCAAGCTTAGTAGATTATGACAGAATAATGCACGTCAGAGATCAGGTGTTTCTATAAATACCAAATAATGTAAAGGTCATATGCATTATGGTGGACAATGTAAAATTCGAATACTTTTTCAGAACAAATCATTGTACCTAATTACCTCGGAAAAGTCGTTATTTAAAGACATTATCATAGTACCTCCATGAGAAAAATTTTTGTTCTATCAGAATCTGGCTTTACTGTGGTATATTTTTAACAAACACAGGCTCATCAAAATTTAACCAGTGTTCAGTTATGGCAATGATCTGGAAATTCTTCTAGTAAAAGATATAATTCATCTGTTTTATGTCTTAAGGGCTGAATATTAATAAGGAATAGACCAAGCTTGCTATCGCTTAATTTTTCAGAGGGTGCTTGATTCTCTGTTTTCGCGTCAAATTCAAACTAAAAATTTTTTACTCTTATTTGGGGAACCACTGGAATAATATTTGCCATGACTTTCCCTAATCTTTTGAAGTCGTAGAAAGCTCTCCGCAGAAAAGAATGACCTGAAAGTTGAAAGATCTGCATCAACTTCGGTTGAACCAATACCATAGGCATTGTGGAAGCGGTAGTACAACTTACGCAAGGGGTCCAGGTCACTAGGTAGCCCTTCTGATGCAAGCATCAAATTGATGCTGGTACTAGTGTGTCCTTCAAAACACACACTGGAGGGTTGGTCGTGAAGATAGGCAAGGAATAGCCTAAGAGATTTCAAAATGGAAGGGTCCCTCAACCTGGCCAACACGTAACGTCCATTTACCGCATCTGAGTCCTGAGACAGCCGTACTATAGGTGGGGTCATCGGGTCCATAACTACCAAACCATCTCTCTTCGCACTTCCCTGCACAATAATTTCTGGATTTTCCATCGCCAGGGACTTGCAAGCAGATATAGCTTCCCTGTCAGACCCAATCTTAATAGCTCTTACCTCCCTTGCCATAGTTCCATGGTGGTCAAGTAGGTACGGTAGTTGCGGTTCTCCAATGATGTTTTACTTTGAGTGTTGAGCAGTTTCACGAAGAAGTAAACGAAGCTTGGCTTAAGAATGTTGAGGTTGAATCTATTATGGTTCCCGGCGGCCACATATTTATGTCTTTAAGCTGCACTAAGTGACACCTCTTTTGCTCTCCAATTTTGAAATCGGAATGGGAACTGTCCTTATTTTTCAGCATTGTAAAGCATCTGATGAAGTCGGTGGTTCCTAGTTTTTCTTTAACATAGTGCGCAAGTTGAATCGCTGTGTAAGGAGGTGGAATTCTGGACACCACCACATAATTCCAGTCTTCTCTTATGGCGGCCTTGGGAGGTTGCGATGACACTATTTCGGGTGAAAACTTATTTTTTTTGGCGATCTATAAAAAGCTAACATTTAACTATCTTAAAGTACTATTTTGGTTGATCTATAGGGCCCGTCTGCGTTGAAATGGATTTTTTTCCGCTGCATATTATTATCTGTACAGGTCTTATCCCTTGTAACAAGCTTTTCCAATGTGAGCGACATTTTTTTAACGCTCTGCCTAAGGTCAGCCATTTCCTTCGCCATTTCTTCCTTAGATGGGTCATGAACTTTGACTTTAACAGACCCATCATGGTTGTCCATTAAAATTGATGATAAATTGAAGGTGTCTTGCTTTATCTCATTCATTTGACTTAAATAAGGATTATTGTGTGGTATCTGATATCCAGGATATGTCATCAATTTTCCTGAGTAAAATTTCCACTTGGAAATTCCGTTGGTCACGCAGCATGTCAACATTTCAGTTATACTGGAAAAATGTCAATATTTTTTAAACAGAATCCTAGTGCTTCCATGATTTCTGGTTGGACCTGGCATTCTTGAAGCTGTGTAATTCTATCATGAACATATTTTAATGTAGGAGAATCGCAGACAGTGCAGAAAAATCTAACGTTGTTGTACTTTTGTTGACATAGCACCATTGTTGTTGCCTTATCCAGTCATGTACAGGTCATACAAAAACTTCTACGACACTCTCCACTACAGCGAACCTATATAACTGCTCATTGGATTTTTTGACAAGAGTCGCACTTAAACTCAGCCATAATAATGTAAATATTAATTATATATAATAAAAGATCATGAGACAGCTGAATAAAATTCGGAAGTATAACAAGCTAAAACTCACGCACAGCGGAAACAAGTACGCCGAAAAATTATCTATTAATGTTGCAAAAAACTAACACAAATAAACAAAGTCAAGTTTAAACGAACAGTAAACTTTGAGATTGATTCTCGAGGGCAAGGAACAAAAACAAGCAAAGTCAAATCAAAACAAACGTTCAATAACTGGTAGACAAAACGCACGATCGTTAACACAACCTTCTCGTACGACTTCTAAACTGTTACTGAATAATGCGGGCCACCTATCAGATCTATTTAGTAACGCTAATAGCGTTACTAAATAGCGGACGCGAGCAGAATTCTTTCCGATCCAATAACTATAAATGAAGAGAGTTATACCACCTCACGTAAAAGAAATAACACCATTATCAACGTCCATGCACGCTATTCGGTTTAGAGATATCTCTCTATTACGCTGTTTATTGTTATTTTACGCGAGTTTATTTTTGCGCACAGGAAATTTGACTCGTTTGCACATCGTCATAAAAAACAATTTTCGTACCACGAATTAGGGATAAGATTTTTATCTGTATACATATATTATACCTAATCTGTGACATAACGTTGACTTCGGCCATCCTCAATTAAAGCCACAATACGAGCAACGTCCGTTACAGATAATGGCATTTTTTAATTTGACAACCATTGTTGTCAAATTGCAAATACTCATAAATCCGTTTTCGCCTATGTCTCCTTTTCGACTATTTACACATAAAATTTTCTGCCTGCGAAGCATTTTTCCGAGACGTTCGTTTTATAGCAGCGTGATTAAAAAACAAAATGCTCACAAAAGAAGAACCTACAATGTGATTTGATTTAGAGAGCTATTACAGCTGCTGCACCCTACAGGGTGTTACAAAGTTCGGGCAAAAAACTTCGTATTATTGTTGTGCCCCGTATATGCTCAAAATAAATTCGGAATAAAAATTTCTGACGTAGCATCCGTTAAGAAGGAATTAATTTATAATTTTAAAAAAAAATCATCAAAATCTAATGAGTGGTTCGCGAGAAGTCCAACTTTGAAATTGGGACTAGTTTTTAGTGGCCGGTTTTGTTGCCGGTGAGTTTATGATAAAAAGTAATTCTGTATAAGTCCACTGACTCTAAATATTCTATCTAGTCGTCCTGCGCCCAGAATTGAACATAGAACCCCATTCTCCCCTAGTCCTCTTCATTATGTTCTGTCTTGAGCAGATCTCGTCCATGCTAGTCCAGCTACCCTTTTGATGTCATCATACCAGCGTGCAACAAATCTTTGACTTATCCTGCATAGTCCCATTTCAGCTATGTTGCCCAATCTATTACATCTGTCACTTTAGTTTGGTCTCTGATGTATTCCTTTCGTTTTTCTTTGTCACGCAGTTTCAGTATCTTTCTTTCCATAGATCTCTGAGATACTCTTAGGGTGTATTCCGTTGCTTACCTTGGTTATGGTTTTATGTTCCGTTTCTATCGGTTTCCTGAAAGTTTTCTTATTACGGAACACGGTTCCTGAAAAATTCGGTTATAACTGTCACCAAACTAACCAGCGCGAGGCTGGTTTTGTTTGTCAATCAATGTCATTTATGTGACAGAAATCAAGCAAATATGGGAAGTTCGAATGAAATTCTCATTTTATTTCTAAAATTTGTAATAATATTTTGTATTTACATCTAAACTAAATAGAATTACTTTTTAGGACCATTTAAACTTATCATGCAGCCATTATTTCTTAAAGTTAGGAACATTTAAAGAAAACATGAAAAACAAGACAACAAGTAATCGTGAATGTTTTGTGAGCTATAAAAATATAAATATTGATTAGATTTGTTTATTTATTATTGATCTGTTTTAATATTGGACCTGCAAATCTTCACTTGAGCTGTCTAACGAGTTTAACAGTTTTTAATACAGTACTTTTCAATATTAAACTCCATTGAAAAGAAGAAGCAAACGTAAAAGCAGAGAATAGGTACATTAAAAATGCATAAAAGATAAATTTCATAATAGAGGTATTGAAATTTATAAAACGTCAACATTTGACGTTTCCAGTATTTTACCAAACTGTTCCGTATCAAACCGATGTTTTTCAGGAACCGCTCTTTACCGTAGTTTACCGGTCTGGTTCGCAACGGAATACAGCCTTAACTTGTTAACTATTTGCTAAGTGAAGGTCCATGTTTGTGGGCCATATGTACCGTATGATCGAATAAGAACGTCGTCCAGTTGGCTTGAAAATGAACATCGATGGTATTCCCCATATAATTTTACATATTAAATGACAGCGATCGTCATTTCGAAGCCATGACGCCGTTTTTTTTCGATCATGTATTTACTCGAAGCACGCACTGATTATATAGCCTTGATCTCGGATACAGTGGTATTTTTTTTGTTGGTATCTTTTTTAGTTTTTTAAATGCCGCCTATCCTAGCCAAATTCTTCTTTCGATTTCTGTGTCTTTATTTTCTTTGCCTATATATTTTCTTTGGCCGAAGTATATGTAGTATTTTACGTTTTCGATTTTCTTGTTGTTTATACACGACATTAGTTTTGCTTATATTCATTCTTAAGCCTATTGCGCTGTACCGTTCGTGTCGCTCTCAGGGGTCGAGGAAAGCGGATGTGTAGCAGAAGGAAAATATATACTATATTTAAGAAATCTGCCTAAGGCTTAGTCCGATCCTGTCGTTAAGCCACATCGAAAATTCCAAACACACGTGCTTTTATTAAAGCTTGATTGAAGGTTTGTAGAGCTTCAGCATTTGCCATAAAATAGCGAGAAATTTATTACGAAACCATATACATTATATATCACTGTAATCACAAAACTTCAATCTATTTCCGTATTGTAACGGAATCTTAATTATGTCTTTATTTTCGAGAAAATTTAGTCCAAACATAAGGAATATTTTCTTGACGTTTGACCATCAAAATCTTAAAAATAAAGAAGTTGTCTAAAAATGTGCTACAATACGGATATAGTATAATCCTTTATCTTTAATTTCCTTCTTCATTTGTGTAAAAATACCTAGCCAGTTTTACATAAAACGTTAAATGCCGAAAGTTTATTTTGCTACTTTTTCGGTCTAGTGGACTATATTGTATGGAATAGGACCATATTGTCTGCAAAAGTGCATGCCATTGTTCAGTTATCTAAGCATGAGTCTTCAGTTTCTAAGCATTTATTGAAAACTGTTTTTAATTGTAGAACTATTACTTCTTCAGATTCCTTGATCATCTTTATCACTATGCCCTATTTCCTGTCTAAATAAATTACTCAAAACAATTATCGCATATTTTCTAAAAAAAATAAATTAATTTGAAAAACAAGACACTTTGAATTTCCTGGCTTACGGTTATAAATAGTTTGGATACTGTGACTGAGTAATTTTTAGTCGGTCGACTATTTAGTTGCAAAAGTGAAAACAAAACATACGTATGGAGCCGATCGGCCGACTAGTTGATTGCATGTGAGCGCGACTCCATAAGGATATAATGGTTACAAATATGCAACTAAATAGTCGGCCGATTAAAAATTGCCTGCCAGCGCATAGCCTAAGGCTACGCAATGCAATCAAATATTGGACCGATCGTCTCCATAAAAATGTATTGTCTTCACTTTTGCAACTAAATAGTCGGCTGACTAAAAATTACATGTCGTACCCTAATTATTTTTAAAAAACTCACAAGAGAAAGGCAGAAAAATGTATGCTTCATTTAGAAATGTGTAATAATTACTTTTATTCTCCCCCCAAATATGCGATAATTGTTTTGAGTAGTGTATTACTTCCTGGACAATAATCATATAAAACTTTCTTAAAATAGAAACAAGAAATTGTAGGGAATTACAAATTTCGACAAAATTAGTACACAGAATTGTGACAAGCACAAACCGACTAAAACGATTGCCTGTTACTTTATTTAATCTTATCTTAAAATGCTAATATAAATGTATTTTCACTAATTTCTTATTGGAATTTTTAGATTATGCTAAGGATGAGCATCACCTAAGGGTAGCTGAAAATTCAATAATGCATATAAAATTGCAGCCACATTTAGATGATAATATTAAGAACGAACTTCAATTTAGAGAATCTCAATTTGCGTGGCTAACTAATGATAAGATGATTGCCCAACAGCTACTTAGAAAATTATCAAATAGCAATCTTAGACCAAGGTACGTTTTTCATAAATACTCTCTCGTGCAGCAGATAATATCTAATACAGGGTGTCCCAGGCTGAGCGTTCATTAGAAGTTTCTAGAGAACTACAATATTTAGATCGGAGATTTTTTGCACATCAGTGTTTCACAACGAGATCTATCGATTAAAATATTTTCAAAATGGCGGCACTTCCGGAAATACCGAAAGTTGACAGCAACTTTCTTATTTTAAATGGGTACCCCCATTTTTTATTACTTACTTTGATGTCAAACACTCTATACCTAACGTTAACCGTTTTTGAGAAAAAAATATTTAACGTTTTTGATGGAAAAACTGCATGTCAAAAGAATTTGTAAAGCTTTAACGTCAAATTTAGTGATTATCACAGTTACTGTGACATAAAAAGAAAACATGTGGCTATCTATTTCAAAAATTAAATTGTTCGAATTTCATATAATATTGGTCTTAGCTGTCATGGAATTGAGCGATTTTAAAATTATCATAAATCATTTTTTTTTCAAATTGACACAGCCACTTTTTTATTTCACTAGTGACTTCGTTACTTTTTGATTATACATGTTCCTATACCTAAAGTAAATCGTTTTTAAGTTATTTAAGATTTAGTTTTTTAAAGCCTATATTTTTTGATTTTATCTAGCTTCCTTTGACATTAAGTGACAAACAATCAGACAATTTATTTCCTTCTGTCTGAATACTAAGTATTTGATTATCGTATATTATAAATACTGCTGCTTAAAACTTCATAAAGTGTATTTATAATAAAATATTTCGAATTTTCGCTCTTTATATATAGTGATACCTAATAGTTGATATTAGTAATAATATACCGCATGACCGAAAAAAACGGCGCAACGTTTGCTTGGAAATGACGATCGATAACATACTGATATTTTAACAAAGTGTCACAATATGATATGGTCAGGTGTATTGTTTTACGTAGCTTGACGTTTAAAGTCAAAGGCTACTGGATAAAATAAGAAAATACACGCTTTAAAACTGAATCTTAATTAACTTAAAAACGTTTCATCGTAGTTTAAGGAAAAGAGTAGTTGCACTCTCGCAAATATTTTTTGCAAGCTGTCGAATATCGGCAGCTTGCAAAGCGTTTCAGTTGAATTCCGTCCATCGAGCTGCGAGGTTCGAGCTTTGCGTCCCAGCACAGAGACGGATTGACAAAAAATTAGTGCCTTACTGTGTGCTGCTATTAATTGTAGTAATAATTCAAAAAATTGTTTTTTGAGTTTTTTTAGATTTCCATCGGATGTAAATCGGCAAGCTGATAGTAATTAACAATAAACATTTAATTATATTTGTTTATTTTAGAAGCTGAGATACTATGTAATTAATTAAAAGTTATTATTTTTTTTAGCATGTGGGCAAATCTTAGAAATTGTTTTTTAGATATACAGGTTGTCTCAAATATGCGCATGAAAATATTCTTTGGTCAGGGGATTTGCCATAAACTTTTCATTCCAATAATAATTTACGAGATAATTTATATAGATTGGTTTTTGAAACAATTTCAGAGTAAATATTTTGTAGATCTAAAGTCTCCGCAAATTATTCATATTTTTTAAATGAAAGAATTTTATAATAGCATAATCTATTATAAATTTAGTGGACTGTATTTTTTATGTTTTTTTTATTTTATTTATTTTTTATTATAAGTGGTCGTAATATAACAATATTCAAAATATTATAGACAAAATATTGAGTTTATATGTGAGGGAAGAAAAGTGCCACACCTAGCTTTAAACCACCGTAAATATACAGGGTGGCCCATTATTGCGAGGAAGTCCAATATCGCCGTTCTTGTCGAATATGCGAAAAAGGTTTTATTCATATGTTTCAAGGTTTATATCCTAAAATATTTTGTTATATACAGGGTGTCACAAAAAAGTTATGGTAGAGTTAATTTTATTTTTTTTAATTATTTTACATCATTCTATATGCATTATTCTATATAGGGTATTTTTTATGGCGATGGCGTCACCAAAATCGGAATATTTTAAATGGTATATCTCAATTTTTTTAAATGCAACATTCTGTATATTATTTTTCGGTCAGATGCAGAATTAAAAAGTGAACATTTTTTTATTTAAAGTGTTTCTCTAAATTTTTACGGTTTTCGCAGATATTCTCAGTATTATATTACATATAGCTCTTTCAACAGTAAATTTTATCAAAGCCACCTAATATGATCTTTGTCTGATATTTTATCGTTGAAAATCCCATATGTAATGAAATACAGAAAATATTTGCAATACGCCTAAAATTTAAGAACACTTTAAATAAAAAAATGTTCACTTTTTATCTGAAAAAAAAAATAATATACTAGGTGTTGCATTTAAAAAATGAGATACAACATTTAAATATTACGATTTGGTGACGCCATAAAAAATATCCTGTATACGATAAAGTAAATTTTTCTACACGAATTTATTCTGGTGTTCTTGTCATGTTTAAGAAAACATAGCTAAGTATTAATAAAGTTATATTCACTCTAATTTTTGCCACTTTTCATATATAATGTTTTTAACCAAAGTTTTAGTAAATAAGAAATAGAATGGCAACACCGCAGTGTGCTTTAAATAGCATCCAGTATCTACAGAAAATTAAACTTGTTTTAAATAAAAAAAATTGTAGAAAATCTCTAAAATAGATAATAATATAAAAATATGTCATTATATATATTTTCCGCATTTCAATTGTTACCTACACGAAATGTGAAAACATTCTGTTTTCAAGCAAGTTTTTACTCGATGATCAATTTATTTTATTTTATTTTATTGGGAACTCATATTTTTCTAAATACATATCTGTGAAACTACGGCGAGTGCCACGACTATACTTTGCCTAGTTAATAGATCACAACTATACAGCTACGTCAGTGGTCACGGGAGGCGAGAACAAGGTCATATAAAGTGGCAGAAAAAGAACAAAGGATTTGACAAGGAGTAAATCTACTAGTTTCCTTATACTATGGTTTCATTTTAGGTATACGCACATGTATATTCAAAAAGTAACGAATTGGAAAACCTTTTCACTAGTGCTAGTGAAATTAAAAAAATCCAGGTTTCCATTGAAAAAAATTATTTATGATAATTTTATAATCGCTCAATTCCATGACAACTACGGTTAATATTATATGACATTCGAACAATTTAACCATAGAAATAGATATCCACATATCTTCTCTTTATGTCACAGTGTCAGCGGTAATCACTAAATTTGACGTTTAGGCTATACAATTTTTTTTGACAAGCAGTTTTTTACCTCCAAAAAAATTAGTTTTCCTCCAAAGTTTTTTTTTCAAAAGCGGTTACCTAATGTTAGATATAGAGTGTTGTGCATCAAAATTAATAAAATTTTACAGAGAATTTAAGTTTGTAATAAAAAATTGTGGTACCCATTTAAAAGAAAGTTGCTGTCAACTTTCGGTATCACCGGAAGTGCTGCTATATTGAAAATATTTTAAATCGATTGATCTCGTTGTGAAACTATGATGTGCAAAAAATCTCCGATCTAGATATTGTAGTTTTCTAGAAACTTCTAGTGCACGCTCGCCATGGGACACCCTGTATATCTCTAAAATTTACTATAATTTTCTTTTATAAATTTCAGACTGAAATCTAATGTTTTGAAGATGAGAGCACAATATATGGCTGAAATATACTCAGACAGAAATAATGTTTTAACTAGTTTTTCTGAATCTGTAAATTTATTAAATAGCCTAAAGGGAAGTGAAACTCCAAGTGACCTTAAAAATCTTGAAGACACTTTTGATAAAATTGCTACATTTGCTGACAAAGAATATCAGCAGGTGAGTTCTGGTTTTATTATTATTCTATTCTTTACGTTAAAAAATGTATTATTTTTAGATTGTAAATCATATGAAATCTGATCTATTTCAAAAGAAAGTGTCAAATTTAAAATTATGTAAAGAAAGGTCCGCGACAAGTCTTGACAACAAAAAAATGACTCTTGATGAGCAAAAAGCTGCGAGCTTTCAAAAAAGGCAAACCAAAATAGAAGAAAATGAAATAAATACTACAAAGGCCGAGAAAGATATTCTTTTACGTTTAGCTATAGAGTAAGTTTACAGTTGAGGGTTGGAACCTTTGGTGTTACACAGCAAAATAAAAACACTAAATCAAAAAAGTAAAAGTGTTTTGGTGTATTGTGGTGATTTAGTGTTTTTATTTTGCTATAGAGTAAGTACCAATTTTACATATTGTTTGTTCAAGGATCGTTCAACGTCACGTCATATATTGTCGAACTCTCTCTTTCACTTGACAAACAGATGAAACAGATTGGTGACGTCATTACGGTATTTCGTAAATTATTGCACATTGTTTTTAGTAATTGTCATTTGATTTGGGGTTATAATCTTATTGACGGATATGGATCAACGAGTCGCTCAATATCAAGTTGATTAGTATAGTTTGATTAGACTGCCAAACAGTTTTCAATTCTGACTTTATGATTTTTAATTAGAATTGTTTTATTACTAAAATGTGTTGCCGTTTTAGCGAGAATTGACAAGTTCTCATGGCAAATATATGTAATAATTACTTATTTCATTTACGCGAAAAAAGAGACACTAGTAAAACACTTTTGCCCATTGATGCCGTATATTAAGTAATTACAATACAAATGCGTGTATAGTCTGTCCAACGACAAAATTCTTGATAGTGATAGACGTGTCTGTCATTTTAATTTCGAAGTTGTTTATTTTATTCTACAAAGAAATAAGTTGGTACAATTGGAACGCGTAGCAGGAAATTAATATATTTAAAATTTGAGTAATTACTTCAAAATATTATAAAAAAAAGCTGTATAAAACTGAAAAAATCTAATGAGTTATTTTATTTAAAAAAAATAAGGTATGTGTTAATACAAAACAAACAAGGGTGTATATTAAACAAAACACCACATGCCAAAAAAAATATAAAAAAGAAATAATATTTCTTACTTTCAAGCTTAAAGAAAGTTCCTGCATTTATTATTATATTTATCAATATAATTGATGTACAAAATAAAATAATATAGCATAGGAATAAATAAAACAGAACATAAATAAAACAAAATATTTTATTAATTTATAATATTTTTGGTTTTATATTATATTTATAATATAAATGTTTTAAATGTAGAAAATCGGCTTTTTCGATCCCTTAGTGTTTAACTATATTAAATAAAACTCATTTGTTTTTAAACTCAATATTTCGATATAATTTATATCTTCATCAGGAGAATTCTACAACACATTTTTAAAATAGTACCAACAATATTATTTCTGTACTTACAAAACTAAAGTAATCCTATTATAAAATAACATTTAAATAAAAGATGACACATTACACTAACAACGTCAAATACAGTACTAAGAACAAACATGATAAAGGAATCCTCAAAAAAAAATCTTTTACAATCTTTATGCACTTGCAAAAAAAACCCGCAAATTAAACAAACAATTTTTTTTATTAACAATTCTTTTTCATCTTATAATTAAATTTATTTATCAGTATTAAGTCGTTAGTATAAATTATTTTTTTGTTAAAAATTTAATATGTTGCAATAAATATTACTCAAATTGTTTACATCAGACCTAAAGTTTATTGAATTTTTATGTCGTTTGATTTCCACCATCGCCCGAAAAAGCCTACTCCTATAATTTTGCTCACGAGCCACAATCCTACATTTGAATAGTTAAAAAAATGCCCAGTTTTTTGGCAACGGTCGACAATGGCACTCCGATTTTTGTTGAGTTTCATGTCACTCTTATGTAGCGCAACTCTCTGTTTCAGCCATTGTCCTGTCTTTATAATATAATATAATAAATATTTTTACGCGTTATTTTTAATTTAATAATTAATATTTAGTAATTAATTTATTTATTAACAGTAGTCACTATCTTAACTAAATTTAAGGCAGCAGCTACTCGCGAAATAAGTAGAAATAACTTTGAAAGTGGTATAATAATGTGCTTACCAATCAAACTTACTTCTCTGACTGCAGTCAAGGGTAATAAAGGGCCTTTAGAGCGCTTGCACACACACCGGCAAAATCGGTGCCGGAGTTGCACCTGTTCCGACAGTTGTATTTAATTCTATTGGATTTGCCGGTCCCCGACTATTTTGCTATTTTTTTTTTAAAAAGGAGTAAAAGTAACTTTAACATTCATAAAAATAGAAATATTTCCTGTTGTAGATTCTCAGTAACAATAAAAAAGAGTAATTTATATTGTAAACGTTGAAATAACTGGAAGCTAAACTTTCTACCTGCTTATATTTAGTTTTTTAGTGTCTGACAACTTTTTTTTCGATGGCCCTAATATGTTTACTTCTAAAGTCGATAAGAGCCATCAGTAGAAGTCCATATCAGTAGAAAAAGAAACAGAATATATCCCTTTTTGTCGGTCGCGCGTACACAATACTTTTTGTTCGGCCTATTTGTTCTGCTTGTTCGTACGCGCTCGGTTTGTTCGGGCTAAAATGCCAAAGTCTGGACGCACCTTTAGGAACAATACTGTTTTTGTTCTTTATTGATATAATGCTGAAAATCTCACGAGTTACATGTCTCACTCTACACATATTACTATGAGCTAATTTATTTATATTGCAATCGATTTCATGACCGACACTCTTATTGTCACGTTCTCGTTCAAAATAGTTTATTAGGAAGGCTACAAGCTCTTTGCTTCGACTCTAAATGATTCGGCATATTTTGAACACACAATTTCAAGAAATGCAATACAAAAACTCGAAGATTTAGTTCTTAAAAGAACTGTTTGTGCTTAAAAGTACAATTTAAAAAAAAGACTATGACTATGGGCAAAGAAAGAGGATTACTTCCAAAGATTCAACAACACGATATTATACAAAATAATGACTGACGTTATGCTAATTGTCAAATAATAAGCGACAACGTTGCTGATCACGGCGCAATGTGACCAACATGGCGATAATGAAAATTGCTTTAAACTAATTTTTTCAGCTTTAATCTAAATAAAATATCTGTTAAATCATTAGCTCTATAAAATAAAATGAGAAGCTGCTCGGTATCTTAAATTATACAACAAATTTAAACATTTTTGCCAAAATTTTATTTAATCAGGTTTATGGCTTTTGTGTCAATTTCGATATCATTGATGACGTACATCAGAAATTGTTTTGCGATTACCGTAGAATATTTTTTAAGTTTATTTTTAAAATAGGTAAGATTAACCTGGAAGAAACTGGTATATGCGCCTAAAATTATAAATTGAAAGACAGTCAAAATGAATAAAGGCCTAACATACCTACTTGAATTTAGTAATAACGGAACTCACCCGAACTCACCCAATAATTTCAGAACGTACTTAAAATTTTCTAACTAACAACTAATCTTTGACACACCATAAAAAACGCATATTTGACAATGATGACGTAACGTTGAACGGTGGCTGAACAGACAGTCTCATCTATTCAATAAATTACAACATAATCTAACTTTTTTAGAAACTATTTTAAGAATCTACAAAGATGTGACACAAACAACATAAAAATATTTAGAGTTATGTCTTTGCTATTGGATAACAGGGACAATGGCAAACTTAACTCGCACGTCACCCAGTATTTATCTTCATTGCCAACTTACAAATACGTAACGATGTTGCCACAGTTAATTCCGCATATTTCCAACGAGCCGGACTTTTTCAGCGATCAAATTAATAAAATAATAGAGAGATGCGCTATTGATCATCCCCACCATACTTTGCCGTTATTGATGGCGCTCGTTCACGCAAATAAGGATCAAGGAACCTCTCGTTCCAAATCCAAAACCTCTTCGAACGATAGAATATGCACTGCTAACTATATCGTTAATCGATTATCGAAAAATAAGAATATGGACGTTATAATCTCGAAAATGAAAAAATTATCAGAAGCTTTAATAGAATTGGCTTATTATTCTAACGATTCGCACGATGAACCGAACAAAGCATATACAATTCCAGCGACGTTAAAAATTCATAGAATAAAGAATTATGATGATATTTTAGTACCGACTTGCACATTGCCTGTCAGTAAAAACAACAAATATGACGATATTGAAGGTAAGTTTATATCTGCAATCCTACTTAAATTCATTTTACAAATAATATTTTGTTTACCTACTAACAAATGAGGGGTTGAGAATCAAAACTCGTCTTCTCTATTTTTGGTAATTTTGCTATGACAGGTTTTGCTACCAATATGCGCGTGGATAAGCTTAGTTTTGAACAAATGCACGACTTTGATATGTAGCATTTTTGGACACATTTTAGGTAATCTTTCTAATAATTGTGTCTGTTTCTTGACACAAAATAGAAACGGTATTTCACAAATAATAAATATTTTCGAACCCTCTCTATTTTATACTACGGTCGGCATTTTTGATCTTGGGTGCCGATTTGATCTTGTGTGTACGAAGAGTACGGTCAACACGCTTAGTAAAATAAGATGTACTAAATAAAGACAGAAGACAAGTATTTTCCCAAGCGCATGGAATCTAGCGCCAACCAGATTAAGGTATTATGTAATAAATACTTCGTATTTTTGCTCTCTCCGACTTAGTCATGGGTAACACCACAGATAACACATAATCCAGATGGCCATTGCTTACGGAACACCATGTTTTCGATGAGACAGTTCCCTATTAATGACACAGAGGGCGCCTATAGCCAAATCTAATAATATTTTTAAAACGAACGAATTCGAGCCACACCACGGCCACGCGATGTGAAGCGACGTAGCCGGTTGTTCATATTTATAAGCAAATTCCCGGTCAAACCCAGGGAAAATGTATATTCGGACTTTAATACTATACAATTGGATATGAAAATACTAGTCGCAGTGGATGTTTGAAAGTCAGAATTTCTAGATGAATATATATGCTATTTATAGCCATGAAATTTATAATTTAGATTTTATTTTTATTATTTGTCTCTTAATATTCATTAGCTGAAAATAAGGGTAAAGAGTTATCTATATAGTAATAAATAAAATTTGGCACATAGGTTCCTTAAGTGATGTAAATGAGCACTAAGAAGGGATTTTTGAAAATTCGACCACTAAAGGGGTGAAATTAGGGATGAAAAGCTGCATAAAAATTTGTTAAAATCTGGTTTAAGAGTATGAAATTTTTCACGAGTGCTCCTTGACTGACGTAATTGAACACTAAGGGGCAATTTTTGGAAATTCGCTCGTTAAGGGGGTGATATGGGGGGTACTTTTGTATACAAAAAAAGCATGTCCTAGGACTACGAAATTTTGCACAGAGGTGCCTTAAGTAGCGTAACTTAACAGGTCGATTATACAAAGCATTTTAGGAAATTCTTCTACTAAGGGGTGAAAATTAGTCCGAGGAGTTTGAAATTTGGAAATTGTTAATTAAGCGACGAAAGTGAGTACTCAGAAACGAATTTTGGACATTCATCCCCTAAGAAATAAGGGATGAAAATTGGTATAAAAATTTGTCAAAATCGGTTTTAGAAGTATGAAATTCTGCGTAGACGTTCCTTATGTAACTTAATTTAGCACTAAGAGGCAATTTTAGGAAATTTTCCCTCTAAGGGGGTGAAATGAAGGGTGAACGTTCTGAAAAAAAAATCTGTCCTAGAAGTATGAAAATTTGCACAGAGGTTCATCAAGTGATGAAAGTTATACTCAGAAGCGAATTTTGGGCATTCATCCCTTAAGAAATAAGGGATGAAAATATGTACAAAAATTTGTTAAAATCGGTTTTAGAAGTATAAAATTGTTCGCAGACGTTCCTTATATAAGGTAATTTAGCACTAAGAAGCAATTTTTCGAAATTTTCCCTCTAAGGGGGTGAAATGAGGGGTGAACTTTCTGAAAAAATCTGTCCTAGAAGTATGAAAATTTGCACAGAGGTTCCTCAAGTGATGAAAGTGAGTACTCAGAAGCGAATTTTAGGCATTCGCCCCATAAGAATTAAGGGATGAAAATTTGTACAAAAATTCATTAAAATCGGTTTTGGAAGTATGAAATTTTGCGCAGACGTTCCTTATGTAACGTAATTTAGCACTCAGGAACAATTTTTGGAAATTCGCCCTCTAACGGGGTGAAATGAGGTGTGGACGAAAAAAAAATTGCTTGTTATTGCTAAATTACGTTACATAAGGAACAAACAGAATTTCATACTTCTAAACCCGATTTTAACAAATGTTTGTACGAATTTTCATCCCTTATTTCACTCTCTTAGGAGATGAATGTCCAAAATCCACCTGTACAAAATTCCACACTCGTAGGACTGTTAGTTTTAACTAACAATTTATTAAAGTGCAACTATATAAAAATTATACAGGGTGGCGCCTCTCATACGACCTGGAGGCTCCAAGGAGAATGACCAGTTCGTATTGAAATGAAATTTTGTGAGCATATGTAAGTTAATTCTGCGCACGTTTTAAAAATATAGAGAGTTCTACAGGGTGTCCCCAAAAAAAGTTACACATCAAATTTGTGTTTTTTTTGTAACGGAATACTCCCCCTTTATTAACTAATTTTTAGATTCTAAGAGAAAAATAAAGGTGTGTTTTATTAGGGAAGTATATGACTGAAATGTAAGGTTTTAGACTTACTTAAGATTTTGAAGAACAATTTTTAAATTTCAAGAAAAACTACCTAAATTGAATTTACTCTATTGCACTTTAAATCAAATTAAAACCTGACCCATAAAGTTATACAGGGTGGGGCAAAATTAATGTTGAACATTGGTATAACCTGTATAACTCCTTTAATACTCCACCCTGTATAAATCCTTTAGTTTAATTGAATCACCCAGAATATTATTCCGATATTCAATGGGAAATTCATGTCACTTCCAAATACTATTAAGGTTGCCGGCCTACCCCTCAAACAAAGATTTTCCTAGATATTTTCATTTCTATGATTTAGTGTGAATAGATCTTTATTATTTGATAAAATCTAGGGTGGCTGTGATATGTCTGACGTTACTTCAACATAGCTGTCAAATTAGTTCAACTTTAGCAACTAGTTATTATTTTGTGTCAGTTCGTCAGTTGAAACAAAAAAATCTAAGAAATTTTCCGAAAATAGAAACTTATCCTACATCAGAAAGAATTGATATGATTCTACTTTTAGATTCAAATTTTTGTTATATAATTATACATTTATATCTAATTTTAATTCTGTGATAATTAATATATGTTTTAAACGTATGTTTTTATTACAGTATTTTATACTACATCCTTTAATTTTTGATAAATTAACACAGCCACCTAGATTTTTTCAAATAATAAAGATCTACTGACGCAAAATCATAAAAATGAAAGTATCTAGGAAAATCTTTGTTAGAGGGTAGGCAACCTTAATAATATTTTGAAGATATATGAATTCCCCATTGAACACGGAAATAATATACTGGGTGTTCCATTTAAAATAAAGGAGTAACTTGCTTTTCAAAGTGATAAATGTTCAATATAAGTTTTGTCCCACCCTGTATAACTTTTCCTGTCACATTTTAATTTGGTTTAACATATTATGGTTATTGTAACTAAATATCAGGCTATACAGGATAAATTACAATATAGATAGCTGTTATTGAAATTTAAATTTTATTCTTCATTTTCACAAAATGTGAAATATGTCAAAATCCTTACATTCTAGGCACATGCTTCTTTAATAAAACACACCTTTATTTTTTCCTGGAATCCAAAAATCAATTAATATATATAGGGTATTCCATTACAAAAAACAACTTTAATGTATAACTTTTTGGGGAACACCCTGTATAACTATATATTTTATAAAATGCTTTCAATTAATCTATATATGCTTCATTTCCAAGCCCACTCCCACGCCGTTTTTTTTTTCGATCGTATGGTATATTCAATAATTGCATTACTTATAATTTATAACAGTTTATGTTCACTGATTCATTTATAATTTATATCCACTTAATTACTTGATTTATCCATCATAAACTTTGCATAGATAAAGAAATAACGATGGACAATTCTTAATGTGTTAAATTATACCGTATGATCCAAAAAAAAAGGCGTCCGATTGGCTTGGAAATGATGGTCGATGACATTCCCCCATATAATTTTACATATCAAATGACAGCGATCTTCATTTCATAGCCATCGCTGACGCCGTTTTTTTTTCGATCATACGGTATATGGTAAAAGCCATCGATCACCATTTCTAAGGTAACTTAACGCCGTATTTTTACATACAAAATGTGCAAAAAAATTCTATATGAATGAACTCACCACAATTTTCTATCCACTTTGTACATAAATCTCTTGACGCAGGAAACTTAAACATATGTACACCTGATTTCCGAGAAATCCCACAATTATAAAATTGGCACTTATTACCAGACATTTTAATAATAATTTTATTATCACTAATCACACACAGTTATAATCAAAGACAATCAAAGGTAAATTACCCGCCTTTTAAAATATCCGTTAAAAAACAAAGACAGTAACGACATATCTAAATCTTCTATCTTTGTCGCATATGGTTCGTTCCTTTATTATTCCGTGATAAAGGAAGGAATAGAGATTTTCTATGATAAGTGGTAAAGCTAGGTTTTCATATGTACAAATTTGAAAAACTTTCCAGGAAATTCGGTCATATTATTTTCATTAATAAATTGTTTATCATAAATAAATTTATTAAAAAAATTTTTGAACGAATATTCAAATTCTAAACGTTTCAATTAACAAAAAAATTGGCCAAGTGCGAGTCGGACTCGCGCACGAAGGAGTTCATTATCATTGAATGTACCATTCACACATTATCTATACAACATCAGACATTATATTATTGTAAACTTTTTCCGATTTAGCTGAAATTTTGAATGCGCTTGTAAGTAATTTAAAAAAATGAAGAAATACATTGCTAAAAATTGTATTAATCAATAATAAATAAGTAAAAATATGTAAAAATAAAAAAAAGATTAAGAAAAGTCACCTTGCCTACGATTCGAACCTGCCTCACTATTGTCTCAACGCCTTCAAATCCTAACGCCTTTAACCACACGGCCACTCGAGGACTTGAATATTCTGTGTAAAATTCTTACTTAAACGATAATGTTTAGTGAAAGTACTTTTTATTTATAAACATTTATTTAATTCTGTTTTTAGTATTTGTTCTTATAGCGGCAACATAGATACATTATCTGTAAAATTTTCAACTGTCTAGCTATAAAGTTAGTTAATAAGAATTAATAGGTGTAGCATATTTCAACATTATTCACTGGTTTTAAAAAGATCAAAAATATGCATGTGTGTTTATAGTATAAATGAATTGCTCCTTACGTTAGTTCTTATTGATATAATAGCAAAAAGTATAAAGTATAAGCGCAATTTTATTAAAATATGTTATTCTAAGTTAGAATAACATAGAGTTAAAAAATATGTGTTACAATTTCTAACACATATATTTTTTTAACTCTAATGTTCTAAATTAATTGTTCAAAATATAATTGTTATTTTTTTCCTAGGAAAGATAAAACTTCATTAATTTTCATAAATAAATTTATTTCTATTAAATTTTATAGAGCAATATGTACTACAGTTTTATTTCACATTTTGTAATACTGCTTCAGTGCGGTGCCCCATTGCTATCTGTGAGTTCATTCAAATTATGAAAAATCACTACTGATCTAGAAGATAAATGTACCTAAGTACCATAATATTATAATCAAAAATGACTAATTTTGTAAATTATTACCTATAATGGTTAGATGAGATGCATGTAAACTTCTTTAGGCTGGTTTCTTAAAGTTAGGTGATTAATTATCTTCGCATCGTCATAGGCTCTAATCAATTGTAGATTATTCTTCAATCAACCTGAAATATGTAATATTATTTACTTTATATCTATGAAAAATTATCATTTTTCTTTTATGAAAATTTTGAGTTTAAATTTAAATGTGATTAGAATAAATATACGTCACTAATTAACATTTTATCACAGGTAATATTCTATATTACTTTATGTTTACTTTTGTGAAAATATTACTTACCTATAATATTTAAACGAGTTCCTGAATGTACAATTTTACTTGTTTATCGCGATGCCGAGTTCTGAATCTTGTATTGGTTGTCTAAAACTGTTTGATTTTGCTTTAGTTATATTGTATCCTATATTTTATTAAACAAACTCAAAATAATGTTTATAATTACCTTCATCAGCCTTTATACCATTAAAAGTCATTATTATCAGTTATTATTATGTAGTATGTAGTTATTTCTTTGAGTTATTTGTTGTTGTTTGTTTTCAAAGATCATTTTTGAGGTTAATATCATATGAAACTTTTCGTAATTAGGCAACTGGTAAATGACGTGTGACGATAAATTAATAAAATAATAATGTACGTATTAAGTTAAATATTTATATATTAATTTAACATCCGGTATTACCTAACATCCATATCTATTTCATGTTTATAAATTACATAATTTTTAATTTTATATATTCATAGTGAAATGAAATATATTTCGATATAACGTTTGGCAACCACGCAACTGAAGTGCAAGCGACATCTGTGCAAGAGAAGCAAAACCTCCCAAAAAAGTTAGAAAAGGAATCTAAAAATTTCAGATTATTCAAACGTCACTCCAATATTTTTCCAAATTGGAGTGAAATTGGGGTGACAATTTTTAACACGTAAGGAGCCATCTGGATTATGTGTTATCTGTGGTAACACTCTAATTTTTCGTGTGTTGATACAGTAACACTGACACCTTTTCCGGTATCAACACAGAGTATCAGCACGATTGTGTCATATGGCACAGTAGTGAATCAGCGTTATTTCAGTTAAACACACGTAAACAAGCGTTTCGTGTTTGCGGTTTCTCGCGCTCACTGACGAGAGGCCCGACGGCTGACGCGGTACTTCATGTTGTCAAATGATGAAAAATTGCGTACTTTGAAATACAAGAAAAAATAAACACACTTTTTTGATAATTTAAGGGTAGTTTTATATACAATGTTATCTACTGGTATACTCTTAAGCATCTTGAAGAGGTAAAGTGGTCTTTTAAATTAGAACACACATACTCATTAAAAGGATGATGGCAACATTGGTTTGCAAAGGTAGTTGTTACGCAAAATCGGAGATCGGTAATTCCCATAGCACTAAGCACACCAGGCGTTTTGTTTTAGTTTTGTTTAGTTTACAGTATTCGTATGCATAAACGATTAGTCTCTTGAATATTTTCCTATAATTATTCTCCCCCTACTAACATTAGCATTGGCAATAACGCGCCGTGACGATGTGTTGCCTAAACAAAACCGAAACTGAAAGGCATTAAATCGAATCCATATTGTAGGAAAACCACTTTTTTATCAACAAAATATATATTTTCTCCACGATAAGAGACAAAAAATTAATTATTATTTACTATCAATTTTTTATTACAATAACAATCGAGAAGACTACGCGAGTCTACGTCAGATTTAGCTCTCCATCCTCCCATGAACCAGGAACCATATATTTGAGACGTCGGTAATATTTATTTCATAAACAATAACAAATTTATCGTAGATTTCCACTAATATTGTGTCTGCAAAACTGCAAACAATTATCGATGCTCGTATGCATATAACAAGAAATCGAATCACATTGGCCTAGCATGACACAATAAAACTGTTTTATTGTATCATGTATCATGCTGGCATAGTCACCTAACAATGACACCGCGCCCGCCTCTCGATACTATACTCCGTGCGGAAAGCTTGCAGCGTTATATTAAAAGTGTCAGTGTCAAACAATTCATTGACGCTGTTTCAAGACCCATGACACACTGAAATGTATCAGCACAAAAGTGCCATACAACACAGTGTTACACATGGCTACTCCGACTTACTAGATTGCCATAGCGATTCACTCCTATACATGTAAACGCCGACCCAAGGTGTCGCTTGCCAGCAGGGTATGGTTTTATTACATTGTGTTGCCAATGTGGTGGCACTAGCCGTTTCCTGAAATGTTTGCGGATTCAAAACTTTTAGAGGAAATATTTCGTAACATTTTCTGCAATTTGTGTCCAAGATGTTTTCGTTTTCAACTGCTACTATTTCTAATTGTGAAGAAACAAAATACCAAACTAAAACAGTCTATGGCTGTGGGTCAATTTCAAAATGAAAACAACCACCAACAATGTCGACCACCACCATAATTTTTTTGTCTTAAAATGGGTTTTCTCGCACAAAAAATGTTTGGCAAAAGCAAATTCATCGTTTAATTTAATAATGTACTTTCTTATTTTTAATGCCCTTTCTATATATCATTATTTGTTGCCACAAAATATTTTTGTTTGAAATATAGATTTTTATTTTTATTTCTATATGATGGTTCTAAAAATAAAAAAAATATAAATCAATGTAAGTAGACCGCGTTCTTATGAGTTTAAAAGCTCAACAACTGATAGAAACATATATTTTTAGTTAAAAACGCTACAACTAGCCAACATGGTGGAATTTTAATTCACTGTTTTATAAGATTGACATCGAGTCGGACACAAATCATCTACATTATATCATATTTGTGTCTAAAAAGAGAGAAACTCGTATTTCTTCGACAATAAATAGAAACCTTGTTTCTAAAATGTTTCAATTTAGCGCTATCTGTGTAGAAATTTCGAACTAGTCACCTGTCAACAATGCTAATCAAAACTTCAAATCAAAAATCAAAATAATTAAAACATTTTTATTTATATGTTTGCAGAAGAGAAAAAAACGTTTACTAGTAACCTGTTTCTTCGGTTTCTTGTTGGGTATGGGTAGTGGCTTATTACATTTATTGCTAAAACAAAGCATATCTGTAATGCGTATAATAAATAATTATAAAATCGCATAAGAAAAATATCTGTATTTGTACTCACCATATGTTCTTCCTTCTGCTTTTTTTAATTATAGTAACCCAAAAACTTGAAGAATGCTTAAATGCAAAATAAATAAAAAACTATAAAGTAAGGTTATGTTCTCATATATGCCAGAACATCAAATAAATTATGTAAACTTTTCAGGTACAAAACGGATACGAAACCTGTAAATGTGGGCCACATCTGTTTCTTAAAAGTTTCGAAAAATTTGTGACTCTAAGATCTTTATTGCTTATGTAGCAAAACCATATTTTGGTAAAAACAAAAAGCGATTTATGTTACGAAACATATGTATCAAGAATGTGACGAAACTGTGTCGCAATGTTTCTCAGCCGAGATTTTGTTTCGATTTTGTGTCTAAAAATGCTTCTTGGGTAGATTACAGCATAGAATGAGCTACATAAATTATACTGAATATTAGGGTGAGGGTGATCGTTATATTTTTCCGACGCCCCAGTAAAAATCTTTCCTTTTTGTCGAAAAACTACGGGTAATTTTTTTTCTGGTTTCAAGCAAAAAAAATACGTGCCGACGGCCAATTGAAGTTTGCTATGAAGTGGCAATTTCAGTTGGCCGTCGGCGCGTGTTCTTTTTGTTTAAAACCAGAAAAAAACAATTTACCCGTAGTTTTTCGTCAAAAGGAAAGATTTTTACTGGGGCATCGGAAAAAATTTAATTTTTAACGGCAACCCCACTGAATATTGTGCAGGGCTACCAAAACCTTTAATAAATTATAAATATTTTTACTCAAGATTACCAAAAATTTTTGATCCTCAGCCCCTCAAATATACTATTAATAAATAAATTTTCTTAATTGTATGAAATATCTAAAAAATTAAAAGCTAATTTGTTCTTAATTTCTTACAAATTTCTAATTTGCAATTTTAATTTGGATATAGTAAAACTGAAGAGACGCACTCAATACTTTTTATTTGAAAATTCCAAATTAGTTTGTTACTAAACTATATTTGAAAAAGAAGACATCTTGAATTTTCTTGGGCATAACCTGCTGGATTCATCTTATAAACTTTATTCCCGAATAAAACATTACATAATAATATACAGGGTGGTCCGTACTGTATTCCGGAAACTTCGGCAGCATATTCTGCAGATAAAAATAAGTAAAAAAGTTCTCAGAGATACAGGGTGTAGAAGTTCATTTTTATTTCGATTTTTTCTAAATAATTTCTGAATCAATATTTGGATGAAAATTAGTGTCTGGGAGTTTTTTGACATGAGAAATTTGATTTTGATGTCAATATGACTCCTATTTGTAGATGGCGCCACCTACATATTTTCTTACTAATTTGAAGAGTAATAACTTTTTGTCCGTACCTGTCTAAAACTACTGAGTAAGGAAATCTACATTTACGACGTTTTTTATGTAAAAAAGATCTCTTTGTAAAAATCGCTAGGAGTAATGGTTCTCGAGATATTTGGAATCGAAATTATCAATACCTGTTGACTAAATAGTTATTAGTGAAATCATAAATTTAAAATGTTTTTGTGCCAAAGGTTCAGCGAAACTGTTTTATCGTCATTTTTTCGGAGAAAAATCTATGATTAATTTAAAAAATAACATTTTCACAAATTTATCATTTCAGTCAAAAAATAAGTATCTACACAATATGTTTATTTTTTGTCAATAATGACGGTTGTTCGTAGCAATTTTTACCAAGGGACATTTTTTCGTAAAAAATCACGGAAATTTATATTTTTTCACTCAGTAGTTTTATACAGGTACGGACGAAAAGCTCTTCAAAAAACTCCCAAACACCAATTTTCATCCAAATATTGACGTTATTTCAGAAATTATTTGGAAAAATTCGAAATAAAAATGAAACTTCTACATCCTGCATTTACGGGACGAAGCATTTTAGGACATAAATTTATACTAAGTTTTTTACTTATTTTTATCTTCAGAATATTCTGCCGAAGTTTCCGGAATACAATTCGGACCACCCTGTATTGCATGATTAATAAATCAATTTATAATGAAGCTTACCACAAATTGCCAATAATAGTTATTTACAGTACAAGTGTGTTTATGAACATGATTACAACAACGAGTGCAAACGATTAGAATGACAAGGTCGTACTTAGACCGAGTTGTTCTAATCACACGAATGTTGTAATCATGTTTAAACGCACGTGTCATGTAAAACGTTTTATCTACAACCGAAAAATAAGAAAATGCTGTTTTAATTTTCGTTTATTAGTCGCCCACCTTTAACACCTTTAACTATGACATTTGCCACATAGTTGTTTTTCATTATTATAAAAACTAGTTGTGTTATAGATTCATAACACAGTTGTGTTATATACTCATAACGTAACTAAAATCCTAAAAAAATAGTGATGTATAAACGTTATAACTAAACGGTTGTAGATAAATAAAATTATGCACTAGTAATAGGTAAAAGTAAACAACAGTAACAATTGTTTTCTATCGTTATACTTCCAAAGTAAATTGTTTTTATTTCATTTTGTAGGTATAGCGAAATTTAATAATAAATACAAGAACGTCGGCGGTATAAATTGTCCAAAAAGAATTGAATGCATTTCCACAACGGGTAAAACTAAGTTGCAACTAGTAAAAGGTCAAGATGATCTAAGACAGGATGCTGTGATGCAACAAGTATTTAATATAATGACAGATGTATTGGCAAGTAATAAACAGACCAAGAATATGCTCATAAGGACATATAAAGTGGTACCACTGTCAATGAGAAGCGGCGTTCTGGAATGGGTAGCTAACAGTATGCCAATTGGAAGCTATCTTGTAGGAAGCAAAGAGGAAAATTACGTTGGTGCTCATAGAGACTTTCGACCTGATAACTGGACCCCAGGTCAATGTAGAACTAAGTACAAGGTAAAATTATATTTACGATTATTTGAACAACTATAAATGATTTGTAATGAGAATTGCATGTTTAGGCTGCACTTTAAACTTAGTGTTGTTACCTTAGAGCAAAGTTGATACTTTTTTTATTTTCTTCCAAATTGCATTAACTAATACTTTTCAAATAATATTACAAACATTTTTCGTGTACTCGCTATTTAAGCTCGTGTATTTGGTTAACTCGGTTGTTTACAACAGCGTCTACGTCCCGCTAGTCTACTCAGGCATCCAACAATGTTGCCGTTTGTTGTCCCTTAATTTCATGATTTTCAATTGTTATCTAAACTAAAGACGTTTATTTTTACGGTTTATTTCAAAGTTGGATTGTTATTTGGTTTATTTTGTTAGCACGATTTGCGTCTAGCCGGACCGTGCAACTTTACATCCCGCAGTTCCACATGCGTATTTGTCTTCGGTGGAACGGCAGAACAAAGTAATGCTTAGCTATAGCCTGGTTACAAAAGCAGTCTGTGGCTCCATAGGTGAGGCGGCCGCTTCGGGATCGAGGGGTCCGAGGTTTAAATCCCACAAATATAGAATCTTTTTTATTTTTTTTTACAGCTGTTTTATTTTTTGCAGCTGTCGGTAATAGACTACGGCGTATTTTTATTGCGTTGGTTAGTCTCTGGGGTAAGTTTTTTTATTTAGATTGCACGCGAAATCTGGAAATACCCGACCGAGTATCGTTTCTGCGCATGCGGAACTGCGGGTTGCAAAGTTGCACGATCCGGTTAGACGCAAAACCTGCAATCTTCACTTTTTGGCAGAAGTGACCAAATCTCCAATCTTTAATTGTAATTACCTTAAAAATATCGAAAAGATTCTCTCTCTCTCTCTCATTTTTTTGAGCTTGACTAGTGTTGGTTGAAGAAATAAGATGCGCAACCTTATGAGCGATTTCGTGGCACAAACCTGTCCGAGATGTAGCTGGCGTTACCGTCAGCGTGTCCGAGAATTTCTACATTTAGCTTAGCGCCGCTGCGCGCTGATGTCATTTACAGCGTAGTGCGGATAAAGAATACTGTACCGTAGTTCTGCTTCAGTCGACAGAGTGAGTAGTTGCCGGAGACAGTGTCGTCAGAACTACTGATTAATCCGTAGATTTACGAATTTTGAAAATGATTAAACAAAGAACGGCATCAAAGTTGGCTTGGAAATGAAGATCGCTGTTATTTCATATATAAAATGTTATGGTGAATGTCAATAATCGTAATTTCCAAGCCAACTAAACGACTTATTTCGATCATACGACATATTCAGTACCTATAGAAGAATTTTTGTTATTTATTCTATGTACTAATAACAAGAAAGTAACATAAACGCGGATTTTTCATCCAAAGATATCATGTTCGTCAAACGTATTACAAGTATTACACATTTTAATATGGCAACACTGTCGCTTTCAGATCCACACCGTCTTCGATATGCCCTCGCTAGCCGAATTAGAAAAAATAAGTGTTTTATGCGTTTGACCAGCCACCGAACAGCACTTGAGACGTAAGGGGAAATGAAATCAGCCTTATCACGAATTCGCCCATTAGATTGCGTATCTTCCCAATTCTTTCAATCAACTATTACTAGTAATATAAATATCAGAATAAATTTTTATAAGAATCATCAAAAGTCGTCCGCCATAAGCGATTCATTATTACATTATTAGAAATTTGTCTCCCCTGAATAAATACGGTGAGTGGAGAAAGCCGGTTTTGCTCATTTGTGTTCAATGAAACTTGCTAAAGTGATATGTTGTAATATATTGTTTTTCTAATATAATAATCATCTTCGTTAGTTTAAACTGTAGCCTTAGCACTTTTAGAGCATGAAATATCATTGAGTAAAATGTTTTAGGCAGCTTCGAATTCTAGTAATGAGGAGAAGTTAAGAATTTTTAATGAAATATGCGAAAATTTCAAACCCGTTTTTCATAAATTCTTCGAGACTCATTTTCCGCAACCATCTGTATGGTATGAGAGAAGGAAGGCGTACATTCATAGCGTCGCTACTACCAGTATGTGTGGATATATTCTTGGTATAGGCGATAGACATGTTAGCAATATCCTTATAGATAAACAATCTGCAGAGTTAATTCACATTGATTTTGGTAAGCTAATAATAACTTTTAAATTAAATTTAGTCAAGTTGTACTCAAAAAAGACTTTTGGAAGTTTTTCTTGCTAGGAGAGATTTGAGGTAGTTCTAATTTCTTCTATTTTTTATGTTTTTTGGTGTGCTAAATTCGAATCTGAGGTTTGGTAACAAAATTTCGTGACGGAACATGAAGAAAAATGCAAAAAAGTGGAAACAAATTGATTTTTTTTTAAATATCAACTTTTCGTAAATACTCTTTCTAAGAGTAATACTCTAAACTAGTAAATAGTAATAACTCTAAAATAGGAGTTTTCTTTCAAGTGCAGGAGTGGTTCTCCAACCAAACCACATATGTATAATGAGCAAAAAAGAAATAGAAACGTTCCAGTGCTAATCACTTTAAACTCGAGACCGGGTTCGATACTGCGGTACATTTCTTGCAAATGCAAGAAAGGCTGTCAACACAATGGACCACGGAAGTGATGACGTCACGTCGGCCATGTTTATTTATTATCTGTCAATAATTAGTTTAAAAAAAATAGATTTGCATGTGTTTTGCAATAAGCTGATTTTAAACTACTAGTATATGTGTTTACTTCCTCTAGGAGATGCGAGACCTTGTCGTTAGTGGGAAAGCTCCTGATCAGGTGCTAAGGGGAATCCCCTCTGACACTTTAGCTCGGTCTAAGGAGCATCTCATTGTCTTGTTCCTAACTGTAGTGTCGTGGCCAGGGAATTGTACCAAGACGTATAACGATGCCGGATGAGACTACCCTGTCCGTCATCATGGAGCCTTGGAAAAATATATTTGATCGTGTAATGTTTTAGTGTCTTGTCCTGACCGGAAAAAAGATGCCCAAATCGTATTTTTGATCATATCTCATTTTTTTTCAAATGGATCGAGGGTGGCTCATTAGCATATTTCGAAAAGGATTATTTTTACGAATAATTTGATACCATACACTTGGTACTTCGAGTCAAATTGTCGTGATGAACCGCATGTTACAGTTTCAAATAAACCATATGCGAAAATGTCAAAAGTTGACATGTGATATGTCATTCTATTCAGAGTGTCATTTTCTACCGAACAAAGTAAAAAAATACTGAGGGTGCCGTTTAAAAATTAAAAGTTGTAGTCATTTCCGGTGAAACCGGAAGTGACCGAAAACAATTGAATATGTCAATCAATCCTAATTTATGTCATATACTAACATACCAAATCTCGTTGTTTTATCTGAAAAAATAAAAAAGTTACAGGGGTTACTTTTGAGACGCACCCGGTATATTTATCCGTTGCGTATCTGAGGTAGAGGTAGGAATTCTAGTTCCTTGGGAGGAACTAGTTCCTTAGTTCTAGTTCCTCCAGAGGAATAGTTCCTTGAACTAGGTTGTGTAACTTAGTTCACAATAGTTCCCGGCTAACATTGACATCCCCCTTGCTTTCTAATGCGTTTCGTTGTCAGTCAGAACTATTCACAGTATGACCTGTATAATTTTTATAATGTACGGAGATATATATGTACGAGACGTGTAATTGTGTATGTATTGTTAACTATTTATTATGTGTATATGTTAAAAACATATAGGTAAGTTTTATTGCAGATAAAAAAAATAAAAAAGAAACTCAAATCAGAGTTTAAAAAACTATATCCCAAATCAATTGGAGCAAATATTACAAAAATTTTACGAAAAATTGCATTTTTCCTCACTTCAATCTTTTTGTTTTTGTCTAAAAATTCAGAATATCTACTTCGTTTTATAAGATATTTCTTAATTTTAGGGACCTAAAGTAAAACATTCCCATAAAATATTTAAAAAACAAACTAAAAATCAAAAACAGTATCCACGACAATATTCTGGGGTAATTACGCCGGCCCGGCCGTGGGAACAGACAAGACCGAATCCATCGTCGCGCGTCGTCGCGTTGTATTATATCCCGGATCTGCCGACTGAATAGATTCCCGTGAACTTGTCTTTTAATTAGTTATAATTTTTACTTTTAATTAGTTCCTCTATGTCCGGATCCGATAACATACGGCTGGCACTCCCCACGCCTGCCTAGCATCAATCGCGCTGCCTGATCCACACGTAAACTAGTCTTTTATTTAGTTCCTCTAGGTCCGGATCCGATAACGTACGGCTGGCACTCCCCACTCCTGCCTACCATCGGGCTACGCGCGCTGGCCGATCCGTCGCCGTCGCATATTATATATCGGTCACAGTCTCGATCCCGGAATAGGTCCTGAGGAACTAGTTCTTTGAGAAACCAGGAACTAGTTCCTTTCATTCCGGGGTTGGAATAGTTCATTGGAACTAGTTCGTTCACGAACTACACACCTCTAATCTGAGGGACCAAAATTTACGACCTACATCGACAATGCTTCGAAATAAACTAAATCAAGTGAATCGCTCGCCGCTTACTACTTGCCGTTCATTACCGAAAGAATATGTGCCCTGCGCACGCAACTTACTGCTTGGCGCTTGGCGTTAACGAGTACTTACAACAAGCAACGGTGACGGGGGAAAATCGTATTTTTAAATACGAGTGATATTTCGCTCCAGTGCTCACTCGGTTATTGCAATCGCTTGATACTCAAATACTCGATTATTGAAATTAATTGGTTTTTCCCATCACTAGAAAAAAATATATTTTAGAGCGATAGCTCAAAATACGCTAATCTTGAACCAGCGTTAGAGCCTAATCGGATTCTCTGAGGAAAAGACATGAAGAACTGAATTTGTAAGAAATTTTGTCAACTTTTATTTAATATAGAGGGTTATTATTTCTGAAAAAAAATATATTTTTGGCGTTATAAGCGAAAAACCGCAAAAATTGAAATTTTTTACGTCTTCTGCATTTCTTTCAATGTTCCGTCACGAAATTTTGTTAGCAATCATCAGAAACATAAAGAGCAAAATAAATCAGAGTCTATCCCAAAACGTTCCCACCAAAAATACAATTTGACTAGGCTAATTAACCAATTCATTTTTTTGTGTGTTATTTGTTCTGTTTTTGTTAAAAAATTGATTTTAGGTATCGCGTTTGAGCAAGGGAAATGTCTACCGACTCCAGAAACTATTCCTTTCAGACTAACCAGAGACATAGTTGATGGAATGGGAGTGTCGGGTGTTGAGGGTCTGTTTAGAAAGTCGTGCGAAAAAACTATGGAAGTGCTTAGGACAAATTCGCAAACAATTTTAACAATTTTGGAGGTACTCTTATACGATCCCTTATATTTTTGGACTGTTACTCCTGCAGAAGCCCATAAAAGGCAAACTGAAGAGAATATGAACAAAACCAATTCTGATGATTCTGAGGATGGTATGTATTTATTTTTTACAATTTTGTAGAGGTACAGTTTAGATGTATCAATTTTGCAGATATATTTGTAATGATAAACACTTATTGAAATTATGCTTGTATAGTCCAGTAAATGAAGGTTAAAAACACGGCCTAATTCGTCGACCGGGACTTTTTAATTTCGGTACAGCTTTGGCCGAAAAAATGACCCCAAATAGCCCAAAAATCAGTTTTTCGCAAATATCTACCAAAATATACAATTTACAAACATTTTTTTGGAATAAAAAATGAAGCTTATGTAATTACCTACAAAAAAGGCCTTTAACATTTTGTACGCAGAATTAGTAGTTTTCTAGATATTCGGCATCGAAGGTTTTCTCTCCAAGCCTTAACGCTCCGAAGGTAGATTTCATCAGCGTATCATTGATTGATAGGTCAAATTGTTTAATAACTTGGCTAAAATTTAATATTTTTGATGATTGAAAATTCATTTAAAAAGTAGAATCAACAGCTATCACATTTTGGAACTTGTTTGAATTTTGTCATATTTTATGATAATAGAAAAGGCAAACTTTCCTTGACCCAAAAGTTTTCAAATTTTTACAAAGAAATTCATATTTTCACTAATAATAATTTATTTGTCAAGATTTTTTGAACAGGGTCTTTTCATCTTTAGTTCTTAGAGTATTTTTAAGCCACTCAGAAAGTTTGAAGTATTTGTTTAATTTCCGCTTTTTTTGGGGTTTCTGGAAAGTGTCGTAAAAAAAGAAAATTTCATAATAGTAATTACGAATAGGTCAGTCGCCAAGTATTAAAAAATAGCTTATGGCGGGAGCAAATCCGGACAAGCTAGAATAAATTTTATTTTGTTTAGTTTAGTGTAAGGAACCACGTGTTAAATTTGCACCACCCCCAAAGTCCGGATTTGGCCGCCATCTTGGAAAAAGTGGCTAAAATTCGGTTTAATTTTCATTATTTGCCAATAACTCGATTTCTATCAACTTTAGTGCAAAAAATGTACAGACCAAAATTAAAGAAGAGGAAAAACTCTATAGAAACGTTCTATGTACTTTTTCCGTGCGACGACCCATTTCCAAGTTATCTTGGTTTAAATATATTACAAGCAGTTATTATTTCCTCTATTATTAAAATTGCTTTATCACCGGAAATTTATTTTGATGAAAAAATGTCTCAAGAACAAATGTCGAATAATATCAATGATATGTAATCGTTTGACGAACGAGGGCTTCCGAGTCAAGCAGGCTGATGAAGATGCTGACACATTAATTGTCAACACTGTAATTGAAGAATCCAATCACAATGAAACGGTAATTATAGTCGGCGAAGACACCGATTTACTTGTCATTCTTACTGCCTTAAATGGGTCTGGGTCAAATATTTATTTTGCCAGGCAGGGGGAAGTCGCAAAGTAGAACGTGTGCACCCCATAATATGAATCTAGATGCTTCAGCTATGGACAACATTTCATTTCTCCACGCATTTAGTGGCTGCGACACCACATCCGCATTATACAGACAACGAAAAATGAAATTCATTAAAGTTTTACAGAAAGAGAAAGAATTATTACAGACATCTGCACAAACTTTCAAAGACCCAAACGCATCCCCAAAAAATATAGAAAAAGCTGGAGAACGGTTTCTTCTTCATCTATATGGATCCAAAAAATGCGACTCTTAGATAAGTACAGATACCAGTGTTTCGTAAAATCTATTACCAAAAGCTTACCAAACCTAGCATCATTACCACCGACCAAAGACGCAGCTCGCTTGCACTCCTTCCGTACGTACATTCAGGTACAGCTATGGTATGGGAATGAAAAATCACCTCTGGATTGGAGATGGAAAAATTCAAAGAATGGGTTGATGCCCATTGCTACTTCCCAAGATGCAGCTCCCCAAGCATTAATAAATCTGATTTCATGTAAATGTGCCAAAGGTTGTATTACATCTTGTAGTTGCCGCAAAGCAGGTTTGCGTTGCTCGGTAATGAGTGCACTTTGTCAGGGCAAATCATGTTCGAATAGTTTGGAAGTGGCAAAATTAGACGAAGATGAGTACGAGGACAATTTTCCTCTCGATAAAGATCAACGAAAAGAATATTCCGCACTTTATGAACCAGATCCAGAATATTATACAGATGTGGAAGACATTCAGGAAGATTATATTGAACAGCCAGTAACATCAAAAAACGAAGGAACTCTGATGAACCTTCCACCTCAAAAGAAATCTAAGTTGACGACATGTGGATTAGGCCTATTGGAAATGGGAAGACCACTCAAAAAAAAACGCGCCGGGTACTTTACCTCAAAGCAGCTCCCTGAGAGATAAGGCGGTTAAACTTGATTTTCTACCAGTCGCGCAACAATAAAAATTTAGTCCGTTATTGCGGTCATAATGCAAATTGCGTTCTTCCATTATGACCGCGACAGCAGGCTACTGCCAACCAGTAGCAAACAAGTTTTTAGGCTTTATGTCACGGGGGTGCCGCTCAAGGTGGTGTGGAAACAAGTACAGTTAACCCCGGATATATTGAACACGTACATTATATCAAACTTTAATTTTGTTTTCGTAAAATTCGATACTTTGGGTAGTCGCACGAAAAAAAACCATTTAACGTTTTTCATAGAGTTTTTCCTCTTCTTTAATTTTGGTCTCTACATATTTTGCACTAAAGTTGGTAGAAATCGAGTTATTGAAAAATAATGAAAAATAAACCGAATTTTAGCCTATTTTTCCAAGATGGTGGCCAAATCCGGGCTTTACGAGGAGTGCAAATTTAATACGTGCTTCTCGACACCAAAATAAACAAAATAAAACTTATTCCAGCTTGTCCGGATTTGCTCCTGCCATCGATGCACTTGCCGACTGGCCTAGAATAGTAGAATTGGTTTCTATTTTACATGAATGGAAAGCTTAAACGTTTGCCTTTCCAGTGGTATTTTTTCCATTTCTTTCATTTGGGGGTCATGAAAATCGTCTACATAAGTTGTACGATCAACGTAGTCGCGCGTTAGAGTTCTTCTGGAACTAGATTCTCTCCTTTATATCTAGGATCGATATCTAGTGTCGGTACAGACCATATCAATTATTCTTATTACTGATGCAGTTGTTATTTTTTTCGATATTTTTATTGAGATTCTCCGAATCGCTAAGTATCGTATTCCTTGAAGACGGTTATATGTCAATTGGACATCACAAACGCATAATAATTATAAAATACCATATTATTATTAAATAATGACAAAATAATAACATTCTACAATTGTAAGATGTTATTTAAGACATTTTGACCGAATTTGACTGGTCAAATAAGAAGTGGTCAATTGACAATCAATTGACCAGCCCCAACTTAGGTCAGGTCTTAGGTCACTATAAGATAATATTGATTTGAGGTTAAAACCAATTTTATACGACCCACACCTGTCTTCTGAAGGAGCTCAGCCTCCGTAGCCCCTCCCTAATTGCGCCACTGCCCATAGGACATTTTTGGAAAGATAAATCCGCCACAGAGGTATAAACATTTTTTATCTACGTTAGTCCAGAAATAATTGAGGCGTCAAGTTGCAAAACCCGCTTTATCCATTTAAAAAAATGGCCCAATGACATATTATATTAATAGTGGTCCCTGAAGAGGAGAAATACTTTTGATTAATATCGATTTAAATTATCAATTTTTTTCAGAAACCAAAAATATATCTGCAGAAACCGCCTTGCTACGTCTTAGGGGTAAATTACAGGGAACTGAAGAGGGTAGGCCTACCACCGTTGAACAACAAGTTGGTATGCTTATTCAACAAGCAATGGCTCCCGCTAATCTATCTAGACTATTTCACGGTTGGCAACCATACTTATAAGTTATTTAAATATATTTGTAATTCTCACTAGTTACCTGCAAATATTTTCTTACTCGTTCTCATAATTTAATCTCGTTCGTTATAAGCTTAGTTTTTCATGTATATTATATTCCTTTAGAAATAATATGATTAATATTTAGTGATATTTGACTTGTCATATCAAACCATCACACGTTAATAGTTACATGTTTATGTAACATTTTTGTTATTATGTAAGAATATAATGTATATATTTTTTATATATGTTCATTGTTTTTTCTACGTTGGTTTGTTCAAATTGTATTTTTTCCAGTCAGCTTAATGTTCAAATCTATTTTTTGTTCAAAAAGAGCTAAAAAGATATTAAAAGCCATATTAAAAAAACTTACATTATAGAGCGTTATGACAAATAGTGATGTTTTATATTATAAATAATAAAAAACGTATATTTTTTTTAAAAAATTGTTTTTTTAATCCAATGTTACATATTGAATATAAAACATGATAATTAAAAATAGTTTGTCCTTTACGTGTACCAAATATGTACCTAGGTAACGAATGCCAATGTTCATAATCCAAATATTTAATATTACGAAATATTTTATGTTTTTAAAACAGCCTCTACACTATCCCCGAAATGTTTTACGAAATATTTCGTGAAACATTTCTGGAAATACCTTTCAGAAATAAACTCAAATATAAGCCCGTGTTATAAAAATTAGTTCCCACGTTTCCTGAAATAGATCGAGACGCGCCGTGATTGGTTGTGGGTTTTTTATTGTTAACCCAGATTAACAATAAAAAACAAACAATCAATAATGGCGCGTCTCGATCTATTTCAGGAAACGTGGGATCTAATTTTTATAACACGGGCTTATATTTATCGTACTATTTTGTGAAATAGCACGAAGCAATCAAGGTCAAACGTTGTAGTGGCTTCAGAAACATAAGTAAACGCTAAAAAATGAAAGTGGAGTATGAATAAATATCATTAACTTGTAGTGGAGTGTAATGTAATATCACTATATTAAACTTATATGAAAAATCAAAAAAACATTTAAAAAACAGTTACCGATGGCCGATTAAATTGGCTGTTCTTCTAAGGTTACACAAGAATATTTAGTTTTGACACAAACTAACTTAAACAGATGCGACACCTTATGGGAAATTTTGTGTTCAAAAAGACCTATGTTCGGAAGTGCGACGACAGGGCGGCGATACCGTCGATGAAGGCAAAATATTCGGCCAAACAAACAGCCGTGGTGACTTCAAATCGTTCCCGCACTCCCCCCTTCACAAAGCTTCCATTTCTTTCGTTCTTTCTCGCCTTTAACCTTGCCTTTGATACACCGCGCCGTCTCGTCTGGCCGTCGCAGCCGCCGCACGATTATAAAGTCAAAGCGAGATTGCCAGCTTGAACTTTTTTTATGTGAGAATTAAATGTTATATGTACTTGTATTAGCGCTTTCTCCTGGATAATAATAAATAACTATAATTACATGATGTTAGGAAATATCAGCTAATATTTATTTGTAAAGTATGAGAAATTTACAAACTTTAACAATGGGTTAAGATCAATACATATGTATAAAGAAAATGACGACTTCTTTAAAATTAAAAATGATATAAAATATCAGAAATATAAAATTCTTAAAGAATAGGATCTTTGTTGTCAGCTTGCCGTTTGTATTTAGCTGTACTTCCAACTGTTAATTTCAAATATTAATCTAAAGTCTATCTACTATTAGCCAGCTTAAATTATCTTTAATTATTTTTATATCCTGCTTGTTAATAGTTTTATGCACTACTATCATTTTATTTGATATTTTAAATTGATTTAAAATTTTGCAGCTGATCTTTTATATAGCAAATAGGTACTTTTATGATACAGACACGGCATATTGTTTGCATGTGCGGTGATACCGATATAGTTTATACAAATTGCTAAGTAGAATTGGCAACATTGTCCTAGAAAAAGAATATGGGAATCTAAGATGGAAATATTGAAGGTTTTCAGAGGATTTTTAAGTCAGTTTCTTCAGTTGTTTCACATGGATATTACATACATCATTATTATTAGCTGTTTCCGATTTAAATTTTCTGTTGGGTTTTTTTGGTTTACATTTAGTTAGTTCACGGTGTTCTTAGTATTGTTTTAGTTAATTCAGTTTAAGTTTATTTTAAATATGCTTTAAAAAAATGCGCTTTCAATGGATGAGAAAACATTTTACTAAAAACTGAAGAAGATTTTTTTTAGATTTTCTAGGACTAAATTATATCAAAAACTGTGGGTGTTTTTTCCGAAAATACCTATATTTTCTAATACGAAAAAAGCGAATTTAAATAGACATACAGTTCGATCAAATAATCGACTTATTAACTACATAAACTTTGTAAAAATATTATACTTCTATGCCAGGTAGTAATAAATTTTCATGCCAACTTTCACCCCTATCATCCCGGGGATGAGGAATTTTCAAAAATCGTTTCTTCTACTTTATACTATTGCTTCCCAATTATACTTAAGCATATTTGGCCAAATTTTAATTCATATATATTATATACTTCTAAACCACATAGTAGTAACGAATTTTCATAAAATTTTGCCCTTAATTTTACCCCTTTAGGAAATGAGTTTCGAGAAAACGCTTCGTAAGTATGCCACACCGAAATATCATACTTCTATATCAAATATTAACGAATATTTGCAATCATTTTTTCCCTTATTTTAAGGGATGGATTTTTTTATTGAATCCCTAGAGAAACCTTTATTGTGTAATGTTTTGAATGAACAGGTTTTTATTTTATGTTTTGCTTTATAATTGTTCAGCCCTAATTTTACCCTCCTCGGGGATGAATTTTCATAGTCGCCTCTCATATAGTCATTGCGTTACTTAAGAAACCTTTTGAAATTATTAATAACAAAATTATTGTATATTCTTAGGACGAGATTTTTACAAATTTTTATATAAATTTCCACCACTAATTTCACCTCTTTAGGGGACGAATTTACCTTTGTGCAAAATATTAAACTCCCAGAACCAATTTTTACCGAATGTTTGTACCGACTTTCTCCCTTTTTGGGAGATGAAATTTAGGGATAATTATAATAATTATAATTCGTTCCAAAGATATTTAAACTCAACCATTAACATACAAACTGGATAAAATGTTCTCACATTTATGTCCTGAGCCTGAGAAAAAAACAATATGGCGATATTATTATATAACTTGGTAATATTTGACGGGTAGTTTCATCTCGTTGGAATTTGACTTTCGAAAAATCTGTTTGCCAAAAATATTTTTTTTACGTCAAGCAGTTTAAGCAGAATCGTAGTTAATCAATTACCCAACTTTTTGGAACACCCTGTATGATTTTTTAAAAGAAATCAAAATATGTAAAAAACAAAATAAATTATGCGTGTCCAAGCGTTTTCCCGAAAGACTAACCGTTTTTTAAATAACAAATGTTGTAATATTTGAGGGGCATTTTTACCCTCTTGGAATCGAGAAACCCCTCCTTATCGAATTTCTACACCCCACAGTCAATTTGCCAAAAATCAGCTTTAAACGTCAAGCAGTTTAAGAAGAATCGTGATTACTCAATGGTCATATTTTATGAAACGCCCTATATGTATAAATTTTTAAAAAATCTTAAAATATGTAAAACAAAATAAAATATACGTTTTGAAGAGTTTTTTCCGAAAAACTCAACGGTTTTTAAATAAAAAATATTCTAATATTTGAGGGGTGGTTTCACCCCCTTAGAATTCGAGTTTCGAAAAATCCCTTCTTATCGAACCTACACCCTAAAGTCAATCCGTTTTCCAAAAATCAGCTTTTTACGTCAAGCGCTTTAAGCAGGATCGTGATTAATCAATGACCAGATTTTTAGAAACACCCTGTATACATTTTTAAAAAATCTTAAATTATGTAAAAAAAAACAAAATAAAATATACGTGTAAGCGTTTTTTCGGAAACTTGACCGTTTTTTAAATAAAAAATATTGTAATATTTGAGGGATGGTTTCACCCCCTTGGAACTGGAATTTCGAAAAATCTCTTCTTATCGAACCTCTACGCCCTAGAATCAACCTGTACGCTAAAATTGAGCTTCTTACGTTGAGTGGTTTGAGCAGGATCGTGATTAATCAGTGAGTCAGTCACTTAAGAATTTTATATATTAGTAGGTATAGATTGTAATTGTATCAAAAATTGAAAAAAAAAACTAATGAAATTAAAATCATCTCTATTTGATTCCGAACTATAAAATTCCCTCTCTATTTTCTACACAAAGGAGGCGTGGCTTCTTAGTAAACGAATGGAGGTTACTTTGCTGGTCCGCTGTAAAATTCGCCTGTATGACAAATCTAACGTAAAAATTTGCCTGGCGCATTCGCCAAAATATAATTTTCACATTTGCATTGTTTGTCGCATCTGTTTAGGTTAGTCTGTGGTTTTGATCATTGTCTAACGTTATTAATTGCAATATAGTAAAATATATTTCCAAAACTTAAAATCGTAAAACTGCAGGGCAATACGCAGTGACTAACTGTTTTAACTGTTAATCCACGATGTTAAACTATTTAAAAATTCGTCTAATCGTTTCTTATTTTTGAATGGATTTATATGAAACCATGTTATTATTATAAATAAAAGTATATCTTTTATTGACATCAGGTCAATCAATAATTTTCCCAATCAGCTTGATATATTGATGATGTTGCCAGTATTACTCATCAAGCAATACTACTGCTATATTAATCAATTAAGGCCGCGTAAACAAACATAACATATACAATTTTATATACTAATTAATTATAATAAAATTAAATAATAAACATATTGTAATTATATTCCTGCAGATTTAGTGAAAAGTTTTGTTCTTAAATATCTAATCTTATTATAAACGTGTGTCCAAGTATTAATCTTGTGGAATATATATCAACATAAACAGTGGCGTATCCAGGATTCATGCCTGGGGGGGGTCAATAACTCAATATTATACCTAAATATATGTTTTGAAGTGAAATGAATAAAATTCTTAGAACTTTAATGTATATTAATAAATAATATTTTTTTGCCTTTAGCTGTGTATTTTTTCTAATTTCGAAAAATCGAAAGTAGAGAAAAAAAAAGTAAAAAGAAAATTGTTTTGCTTGTCGTAAAGGGTGGAGAGATTGGTTAAGCTAAAGAGCTTAAGAGCTTGGATAGCTGCACAGCCTGTTTCTGGGCCTCCCACAGCCGGTTTCTGGGCCTACCCTTCATCAGGTGGGCTGTCCAGTGGCTGGTTCTCACCGATACGGCAAGTAAAACTTTTTCAATATCAACAGACAATGTCGTAAAGAGTGGGTGAGATATTAGTGAATCTCCGTCATATTAATATATGTTTTTATATTAACAAGTAAGTACCTACCTAATTACAGCTAGGTACTATGGTAAATAATAGGTATAAATAAATAAAAATTATTTTTTTAGGAAAATGGTTTAATAAGTAACATTACATCACAAAAGAGCAAAAAATAATCTTTAACACAAAGAATTAACCAAAAATTAAAGAAACAAATAACAAAAAGAAGAAACAAACAAAACGCCAAGTGAATAAAGAAAAAACGCAGATACAAATAAAATTAAATAACAATATCCAGCTTTCTGGCTTTGGCCTGCATTTCATTAAGTACCTCTTCTGTAGGGAGAGTGGGGCAAGTGCGGCACCTTAACGTTCAATGATGTACTATTTTTTATTTTAAGAAATAGAGAGAGAAAAACGTTTATTACATAAATACTAACTTTAACTGTATAAGTAGTAATCTACCTTAAAAAAATAAACAAAAAATTAAATATTTGGTTAAATTTCAGATTTACAAAAAAAAATGTCAAATGACTCACTTGCCCCAAGGTATGGGGTAAGTGAGTCATCCACAGACTTAGCTAAGTTTTTGCACATGATTGACAAATTGACACTTTCCGGATTGGAGTTCTTTTGAAGAATGACCTTAACAGACGCTCTTTTTGAATTAATGGATTCTTCTTGAAGAATATTATCGGCCACGTCGCTTTCTTGATTGGATTTTATGGTCGCTCTATTCTATTTCCAGTATTCGCAATTTTATGTTCATTTGTGCAGTGAACACGGGTTTAAATCTGCCTAAGTTTCTAACTTTAATGAGCCCTTGACGAGTTAATCGTGAGTGTATGGTTGTTCTCGGAATATTGAAGACAACACTTGCTCTTTTTAATGACATTTCCTAATTATGAACAGCTTCTAAAGCACGGGGCAGAGCATCCTCTGAATATAACCCTCTTTGTGTCTTACGCACGTAGTTCCGAACCATCTTCAACCTGCGAAAAAGAACGAATTATTTATTTATAACTTAAACTATTGTGGGGCAAGTGAGTCATGAAAAAGACTCACTTGCCCCAAGGTGACATTAACAATTCGAATATTTCTTTAAAAAGAAACAGGTACATTTGGCAACGTTGTACATATCAGGCGTTATTACAGAGATAGTGGGTTATGTTATGAGCATAAAGAAATGTTTAAATATTGCCCTTAATTTATGAAAAAAATCTAGGTAATTCGCCTTAAATATTACATCACATGATGTGGAATACGAAAAATATTTATATTTACCTTAATTTTAGCAATCTTCAGCTAGATTTTCAATAACACTATGCACTTGTTGATAGATACGTAAACTTTACTGATTGTTATCGGCTATGATGCCAAATGTATGAATTATTTCGAAAGACGCACTTGCCCCCTGTGCCGGACTTGCCCCACTCTCTCCTACCACCAGATATTTCCGGATACATATACAAAAGGGACAAGCCATTTAGTCTGTCCTCACTTACGGTGTTACGTAGGTAGGACTTTAACAATTTTAGGGTTGAAAATTGGTAAAGTTAAAGTAAAGTAAAAAATCTTAGGTAGGTACAAAAAACGGTAAACACATTAAGAATAAGATGAATAGGGATATGTAAGAGTATTCCCTATTATAATTATACGCCTATACAACAATATAAAAAAATAAAAATAAAAATCTACCTATAATGGTAAATACATTATAGTTTTTGTGAATATGTAATGGCAAAATATAAATTGGACCGGCGCGCGTCGTGTCTGTAGGGGGCAATTGCCCCCTTTGCCCCCCCCCCCCCTGGATACGCCACTGAACATAAAACAATGTGTAATTACGAAATATCATCGTAACAACAGCTATTTTAGAAACGTCTAGGTTTACCTATTTCACTAATTTATGAAAAAAGTCCTTTACCTCGGGTACAGATATCGCCACATTTTGGAAATAGCTCAAAACAAAACAAAATTGAACGAGGCAACAGGAAGCGCCAAAAAAATCCCCCCACGCCCTCCTCACGAATAGTTTTCAGGCACTTTTAAGAATCAAAAGTAGGTCGAGGCAAACCGAAGTGGGTCAAGACAACTGGAAATAAATTGAAATGCGACAAAGTTGGGCGACGAACTTGACTTGCTTCGAAGAGTTCTCCGCATAGTGTAGAGGCTGTTTAAGACTAATGCCAATTAAGTATAATACTAAATTAATTTACGCTTGTGCAACTAATAACAATTCAGAGAAAAAATCTTTCAGTTGTTAGCTATTCGATAAGTTGAAGGATAACTGAGGTAAGAGAGGAATCACTAAAAGGCAATGAATTCAACTTCACCCTGTATCTTCAATAACAGATATATCCGGCAATGACAGCGAGAATTGGACATCCTGTATTATTCAAATATATAAATTAGGAACGGCACAGTGAGAACGATGAAAGAACGAGAAATATCTATATGTTGACGTCATAGTTGGAGTTGGTTTCATAGTTGTATACCGAATTGGAAAGTCTTGTTCTAGGGTGGGTATTTATGTGTGGAAGTGAATCGCTTGAAGATTAAAATTAAGTCAGAGAGAAAAAATGTGACGGTGTGCTGTTGCAGCGTTGTCGTATTTGTCGGAGATACAAGTGCGCCTTTCACTGTCTAGTGGAGTATACGGTAGAGAATCGCTTATTTCTATAAGTTTTTTTTCAAAAGTATAATTAGATAAAATCACTAGATGTTTCTGGGCATCTGAAATGGAGTAATAAGAATATCATTAGGGTGTCCATTTTTTATAATGAAAAACGCCAATTTTCTTTCTCAGCCTGGTTCCATCCAGTGTTGGATATAGGCCTCTTCTTTTCCATGCTTCGCGATCTCTAGCCAATCTTATCCATTGTCTTCCCGCCACTGTCCTGACGTCATCGACCCATCTCTTTTTTGGTCGGCCCACACTTCTTGTTGTTCCCCTAGGTCTCCATAGGATTACTTTTTGGGGCCATCGGTCTGGATCCTGTCTTGCCACATGTCCTATCCATTCCACTTCAGACTTGCCACTCTTTTAACGACATCTATTAATTTTGTTTTTTGACTATGTGGGTATTTCGTATTTTTTCCCTAATGGTAACTCCCAACATGATCCTTTCCATGGCTCTTTGTGCTACTCGTAGTTGTTCTGCTGTTTTTCGGGTAATTGCCATAGTCTCTAAGCCATACGTAAGCACAGGTAGAATGCAGCTGTCGTAAGCCTTTTTCTTTAGGTTCATGGGCACCTTTTTATCCTTGAAAATATTGCTCATATTTCCAAATGCTACCCATATTTCCAAATGCTACCCATTCTTAGAAAAACGCCAATAGTCGCGGTAATTTGACCTAACCTAATAACCTAACCTAACTCAACTTTTTAACGCCATAACTCACGATCCACTTTAGATATTGAAATTTTCTTTTTTATTATTTTGAAGTCTGGATCTTCGTCAAAATGTTTAAATGAGGAAAATTTGATTGGCTTTTTTTCCATTCAAAAAATTTAAAAAACGCGTCCTTCAACTGTTAGCATATCAATTTTCAGCAATCGTGTTTTTTGTTTGTAAAGATTTTCACATAAACTGTCTGGGCAGGAAATAAAGCAGATACATTAAGGAATTAAAAAAATATAATTTCTAATGGATTTCGAGATACCGTGAACTGGGGTGACTTTGCCTCTTGGGGTGACTTTGCCAAATTCCGTCCGAAAATATGTTAGACGTAGCCGTAGCCACTACTTGAAAAGAACGCGTTATGTGTTATTGGTAAATTATGGGTGGAGGGGCCCTACGTCTCGGAACGTCGCTAAACGCTTGCCGTCAGTTGCGATGTAGCATTTACAGTGCTGTGAAGCCAAATCTGTTTTTAAAGCCTATTTTGTGCGTTTCAAACTTCGACGTGGCTGCAATAGTTAACCACGCTATATTGAGGTAAGTATTATGCAGAAGTTCGTTATAATATTGAGGGTGATGAAGCATATTTTACGTAATTATGCTTTTAAATGGGGTGGCTTTGGTCTATCAATAAGAATAAGGAAGAGGGCAAAGACACCCCATATAAGCAACTAACTTTGCCCATCCAGTTTTTTACTTTTTTTATATATATATTTGTTTAATTAACAAAAAAGCGTATTATTGTTGTGTTGTCCTTATTACCACTTATAGCATAGACCATGCGCATTTGAGAAAATACAACAATTTTTGAAATAAACACGATTTAAAATTCAGAATTGGGCAAAGTCACCCCACTTCACGGTATCGATTTTTGAATTCAGAGTTAACAGCGCGACATCTATCGAGCACCAACTTAATTCCACTTATTTTACAAAAAGTTCTAATCATTTTAGAGTCGTTTAGTTTCTAACTTGCATTTAAAAATTTACAAGCTGCAAGATAACAACGATTATTTAATAAATAAACAAATAAAGTTTAATGGGACGTAATTAAATCGTGAGGCTGAACGCATGAAGTATACCCTTCCCTAGAATTATCAGTACTGGATTTCAATTTTATGATTGCTATGCGGGGCGATCATGTCGACCGCAACGAAGCTGCCATATCCGCTTCCACGTCTCTTAGCAATGTGCATAGTTTCTCGGTTTATTTGCAACGTTTTTACTCTTCTATCTTTATTCAGTACATTACAAATGTATTGTACTATTCTTACATATGGAAATCGGGACCCAAAGCTGAACGTTGCAAATATGGAATTTACATGGTATATTAACTTGGTATAAATTTTAATATGGATGATAATGATGAAGATTCCTAACGGCCAAATCAAGGATAAAAACTACTATTAACAAAAAGAAATATATTCAACAATAACATCACTTAGAAACGATATAATTTTTACCACTTAATATTTAAGGCATTTGGTGCCTTCTCAACTGCATGATACTGCGTGTGGAGAACTGTATTTGACTTATCACTATCTTGACCACCCAACCACTTTTCATATAAGTCTCTAACTGTTTTATTCTCTTTTGGCGTCATTACTGGTAAATCTAAGTACATTTTTTCCAATTCTTGAGTTATTTCCTTAGCTGTAATTCCCTCTTTTGGTCTCACTTGAGCTCCGCCATTTAAGCAGCCTTAGAATAAAATGAAAATTAGAAAAAAGGATAATAAGATAACATCAAGAAATATTGTTGTACATTATTATATACAGAAATTATATAATTAATGTATAAACTCTATTCAAAGGAACGATTTTAACAGACGTTTAACAGAATATATTATACAGGGTGTCACAATATTTCGTAGATATAGAACTCATACGTATTTTTGGCATCAAAATATGTTAATTGGATACAATTTACCTCTATATAAAAGTGCTTCGTCTGTCCGTTAGAGAGCATCAAATTTTAAAAAAATAAATATATTTTTTAAGATATTTTAAGAACCGATATTCCGATTGGAATGATGTTGGGTGCCTATATTTTACTAGACGCTTTAACAGAAAGGGTTGAAGAAGGACAAAAACTACCCTCAGTCTTAAATCAACTCTAATAGAAATGTTTTGCAACTTCAACAATGGCTGTTTTTTTTGTAAAAATGTCTTTCTGTTATTTATTACTTTCTTTGTCTATTGCAAAAAAGTGCACCCTCGCATAGTTTTTGAGAAAAAAAAAGACTTCATTTACTGTTTGCTAAAAATTGACATAACACTTCTCAAATATTAACAGTAATTATTAGAGATAGGAAAAACCGATTAATTTCAATAATCGAGTACTCGAGTACCAAGCAATTGCAATAACCGAGTGATCACTCGAGCGAAATATCGCTCGTATTTAAAAATACGGTTTTTTGTCCGTCGCATGTTGTAAGTACTCGAAGGCCAAGCGCCAAGCAGTAAGTTGCGTGCGCAGGGCACCTTTCGGTAATGAACGGCAAGTAGTAAGCGGCGAGCGATTCCTTTGATCGCCTGATTTAGTTTATTTCGAAGCATTGTCGATGTAGGTCGTAAAATTTTGTCCCTCAGATACGCAAAGGATAAATATACCGGGTGCGTCTCAAAAGTGGCTCACCCCCTATAACTTTTTTATTTTTTCAGATAAAACAACGCGATTTGGTAGGTTATAGTATATGACATAAATTAGGATTGATTGACATATTATTCAATTGTTTTTCAATTTCTGCAACTTTTGATTTTTAAATCGCATCCTCGGTATTTTTTTACTTTATTCGGTAGAAAATAACACTTTGAATAGAATGACATATCACATGTCAACTTTTGACATTTTCGCATATGGTTTATTTGAAATTGTAACATGCGGTTCATGACAATTTGACTCGAAGTACCAAGTGCGTGGTATCAAATTATTCGTAAAAAAAATCTTTTTCGGAATATGCTAATGAGCTACCCTCGTTCCGTTTGAAAAAAATTGAGATATGATCAAAAATACGATTTGGGCATCTTTTACCATACCACGGCATCTTTTAACCGGCCACGGCAAAACACTAAAAACATTAGACGATCAAATCTATTTTTCCAAGGCTCCTTGATTAAAAATTAGTGTTTTTAACACAGCCATGGCACTCTAGATTGAAATTTAAAATACAATTTGTTTTTAAGCGAATATGTCAAAAGTTGACATATGATACGTCATTCTATTTAGAATGTTATTTTCTATCGAATACAGTAAAAAAAATACCGAAGGTACCATTTAAAAATCAAAAATTGTAGTAATTTCCGGTGAAACAGGAAGTGACAGAAAACTATTGAATATGAATTTATGTCATATACTAACACACCAAATCTCATTTGTTTATCTAAAAAAATAAAAAAGTAATAGGGGTGAGCCACTTTTGAGACGCACCCGGTATATACGGCGTCGTATAAATTTGCTACCTGCAATGTATGTAGAAAATTCGCTCGGCTTTTTATCGATATGTCACATTAAAATCGGATTTCAATTTATTTCATTCTAGGATCGCTTGCGTTCGTCGCTTGCATCGCTCGTTCATAATCGAGCGATGTCGGTTATATCAATAATCGAGTACTCGAGCGAAAATTCGCTCGAGTACTCCCATCACTAGTAATTATAGTAAGATTAAAACGATAGAATGTTTCCAGACACACAAATCTATTTCCAAAAAAATATTTTTTCTCATCTTTTAAACTCCGCCATTTAAAAATCATTTTTACTCAATATAAAAATAAATTACAATCTTCTTAAGACCAACTGGCAGTAAGCACCATTAAAAAATAAAGAAGAGTGCGGGCTAAGTAAATGACGTCTAGCGCTTGATACCGTTTTTTTATCGTATGGTATTAGTTGATATAATCAAGTTTCTAAAGTCTTTCCAATGAGAGAATATCACAGTGACAGTTGTTTTCCGTAATTTTAAGTAAAACGTAGATTTTATTTTCTGTATTTTTTGGCGTTTGTCTGTTGGAATCGCCCCTTTTTGCATACTTTACTTCATTTCATAATTATGTAAAAGTATATATGACAGGAAAATATACTTAAATTTTAAATTAAAAATATTTCAAATCATATACATATAATTGAGTAAAATACACTTACCTGATGGACAGGCCATAACTTCAACATAATGGTATGGTGACTTTCCTCTTTTTAACTTTTGTACTAAATTTTGAATATTTCTAAATCCATTTGCAATGGCAAATCGAAGTAATACTTTTCCATCTTTTTCTAAAATAACTTCTTTAAAATCCGGATTTCTGAAATATCTTAAATATTAATATTTTACGTCACAACAATAATTTATGTTACCTTAAAGTTTTGTAGTCTAAATTATCACAGTCTAAATCAAATATCTCTTTAGCACTATTCCTAAATATGTAGTCGGCGTAACCTCCCGATCCGGATCCAATATTACGATGAGGAACTGGTATTATTTCGTTTTCTACGTTATCAATCCATGGTTGAGAGAACTTTGAATTTTCCAAACTTTCCAACGAAATTTCTGCTGACTGCAACATTTGTTCCAATTCAACTAAAAGAAAAATAGCATGTTAATATTAGGGCTTATCAAGTTTGAAGGCAGTGAGATGTAAGATGCATATTATTAATATAAAAAAGTATACTTTGTATGAAGTGCGAATATGTGATAAAATACAGAACACAGAAATATGTGAAAACCCTGTAATAACTAATAACAGTGGCGGTTCCTCAATAAGTGCACATGTGTACGTGAACCCCCAAAATTTAATGCTTCTTCAGAAAAAAAATTATCATTCTTTCATTAATTCTATTTACTGAAAAAATTATTCGTCAGACCTGAATGTATGCATAAAAACTTCGGTTCCTAGCGTTAATCTAGCGTTAAGGCCTTATTAGTTTCGAAACAACTCTAGAATTAAGATATTATTTATTATTTGTCCTTACACAGATGTAGGGACATTGGTTTTGTATTTGTTCACATACAACTCTGTACTTCCTCACGTATTGTCATCTTATCGTTTTTTAAATTCTTCCGCGTCTCCTGATCGCTTCGGCCACTGCTCATTCGATATTAAACTTGGTGTTTCTCAAAAGCGGCTCACCCCTATAACTTATTTTTTTTTCAGATAAAAAAAGAAATTCGCCACGCATATATAAAGGAAATAAATTTAGATTGGAAAGTCCATCAAAATATATATGTACGCGATCCGGCGCTGCTATAGCCGCTATATATGATAAGAACAACCATGGAACAACCGCCAAACAATAACAGAAATAATTTTCATAAATTTTCTCTTGTCAAAGTCAGAATCTTAAAAAAATATAAAATCTTTCAAAATTTAAACCGCCCTCATTGAAAAAATACCGAAAAGTGTTTAAAGCGTCCATTCTCAAGGTAATTATTGCTATCTTGTGAGTTTAATTTAAATTTTATTTACTCAAACCCGTGATAATTGTGAAAAAGTGGTATTGAAAACTTAAAAGCTGTGTTGTGAACTGCAAAAACCATCGTGGATCGTGGCATAACGTCGGTTTCCAATGTTTCACAGGTATTTCATACATGTCCTTATATAAAATAAAGTTTCTTGTATGCAACACACTGTATTTTATTTATAAAATTAAAAGAAAATAATAATAAATTTAAATAAATAATATTTGGCGATATAATTCCGGAAAAAGCCGAACCGATCCGAAATTATCAAAAGCTTTGAGTCACGACCGTTGCAAGAATAGCGCCAAATACTATTTAGATTTTCCTTATTGGGACTTTCCAATCTAAACTTGTTTCATTTATCTATGTCGGTACGTTAGTATATGACATAAATTAGGATTGATTGGCGTATTCAATTGTTTTTTGGTCATTTCCTGTTTCACCGGAAATCGTGACTACTTCTTTTGAGTTTTAAATTACACCCTCGGTATTTTTTTTTACTTTATTCGATAGAAAATGACACTCTGAATAGAATGATAAACAATATGTCAACTTTTGACATTTTCGCTTAAAACAAAATTGTATTTTAAATTTCAATCCAGGGTGCCATGGCTGTGTAAAAACTCTTATTTATAGTCAAGGAAGGAGATTTGGAAAAATAGATTTGATCGTTTAATGTTTTTAGTGTCTTATATTATTTTCGCATGGTTTATTTGAAACTGTAACATGCGATTCATAACGACAATTTGATTAAAACTGTCAAGTGTATGGTACCAAATTACACAGCCACACAAAAAAAGAAAAGTGGGGTATGCTTTTTACCAGACCATCATATCCTATAGTATTTTTCGACGCTGAGCACGAATCCCCTATCAGAATTACGCTATCACATCTCAGTTTTTTTCTAACCTCAAAAACTTGGTAAAAATCCGTAAAAAAGCAGGAAAATGTAGTAGGAAAAAACCAAAAAAAATTGTTTTCTTATGTATAACACTGTAACCTAATGTAAATGGGTCTGATAAACTCAAAACACCCACCAGAATTGAGCTAGCATGTTTCATATTTTTTCTAACCTTAAAAAACCTACAAGTTATGATTTTCGAGAATCGCACGGATCTTAACCAAAACCGGTATATGGCGGTTTTTTAGGTCGCTGATCATGAATCTGACGTCGGATTGGCAGATTTCAAAATGGCGGATCCAATATGGCAGATGAGAATTTCCAAATTCGTACGGATTTTAACCAAAACCAGCATAGTGGGGTTTTTGGGGTCGCTGATCATGAATCTGACGTCGGATTCGCAAAATTCAAAATGGCGGATCAAATATGGCCGACGCAAATTTCAAAAAATCACGAATCCGAACAAAATGAGTAGGTATATGGTAGTTTTTTGGGTCGCTGATTGCGAATCTGAAGTCAAATGGGTCATTTATTGCTAATCTGACGTCGGATTGGCGAATCCCATATGTCCGATCTCAAGAACAGCCTACCCTGTGGGCGCGGAACCGATTCAAATCGGACCCACACTGTTCTTCAGGTCGGCCATATGAGATCCGCCATCTTGAATTTTGCCAATCCGACGTCAGATTCGCAATCAATGGCCCATTTGAGTTCAGATTTGCGATCAGCGACCCAAAAAACTCCTATATACTGATTTTGTTTGGATCCCTGTTTTTTTTAAATTTGCGTCCGTCATATTTGATCCGCCATTTTGAATTTTGCGAATCCGACATCAAATTGTGTGGACAACGTTGTGTCACGCGACCAAACGTCGGGGCGCAACGTCGGCACAACCTCGTGCCAACTCTAGTCTGCACTAGTTTGGAGAATTTTTGGATCGAAACGACGTTGCATACCTATGTTGGCTAGCAGCCTAATTTAGTACAAACTGCAACGTTGTTTAAAATCCTAATTCACAGAAATACAAAACTATAATAATATGGCGTCTAAGTCGCGTTTTATCCTAAATTGGGATAATTATAGTAAAAATATTATTTTTATGATTTAGTTAGAGACGTATTATGCCAGATGACAGTAAAGGAAAACAAAACAAAAGTATTTAAGTGTGGAGGATGTTTGAAGATCATAATTATTGAAACACTTTAACCAACTCAGTAACTCGTTACACAAGGCAAAAAAGTTAAACGCAAACAACTTTATTGATAAATGTATTGTTTCTACTTTAAAAAATACTAATGGGCGTTAAAGTTAAAGAACTTTTAAAAAATTTCTTGAAATTTTTTTTTTAGTAAAATGAGAATAATTTATTCACAGTCGAAAAAAAATTGTTTCCGCGTGTTGTTTAGGGTCAAATATTTCAAGTTAATATATTCAAAAAGCAGGAATTGCTGTTTTAGGAACGAACATTTTCTTATTCAACAACATGGCGGAAAATTTAATTTTTTTTTTAATGTTTTTTTTCACTTTGTTGTTTTGGAGATTAAGATAGAGTAGTTCGAGAGTAGTCGCATACTGGACTAATAACGTTGGAATAGGTCCTGAAAGTGACGTCGGAAAACTCTTTATTGCCCAACATTGTAACTACGTTGTCCGAATCACTTAAGCAAAAAAGGTTACAAGACAACGTTTATTCGATGTCGCACAAGCTTTTACTTTGTTGTAGTACTAGTTCAATGTCGGCACAACGTTACAACAACGTTTACATTTATTTTAATACCCAAGGTACGGAGCTAACTATTTTTTGTAACTAATCCAACGTTGTGTTTAGTAAACATGTGGTCGCAAGTCGTGAAAATGCTACTTGGGCCCACTATGCCGGTTTTGGTTAAAATCCGTACGAACTTGGAAATTCGCATCTGCTATATTGGATCCGCCATTTTTAATTCTGCCAATCCGGTTTTGGTTAAGATCCGTGCGATTCTCGAAAATCATGACTTGTGGTAGGTTTTTTGAGGTTAGAAAAAATATGAGACATGCTAGCTCAATTCTGGTGGGTGAGTTTACAAGGCCCTTACTTACCTTAATAAATTTACATTAGGTTATATATATATACATGTGGGCATACCCCACTTTTCTTTTTTTATGTGTCTGTGTTATTCGTAAAAAATGCTTTTTCCAAATATGCTAATGAGCCACCGCCGTTCCGTTGAAAGAATTGAGATATGATTAAAAATACGATTTGGGCATCTTTTAACTGGGCAGGACAAGAAAACGTTAGGTTAGGTTAGGTTGTAATTAGTGTTTTTAACACAGCCATGACACACAAATTTAAAATACAATAATTTTTTTAAGCGAGAATGTCAAAAGTTGGCATATAATTATGTCATTCTGAATATATGTTATTCTATTCAGAGTTACATTTATTAATACATTTCATTTTAACAAATTTAAATTTCAAATTACATTTATATTTATGGCATATGTGAACTCTTATATGATAGCATTGATAAGGTAATAATGTATAAAGTATTGTTGTTAATTATTTTGTAGCAATGCTTTTTCGTTCTATTTTGTTTTAGTCTAAGTCAAGTCTTATTTTTAAAAAAAATTAAGTTAGTGTATGTTATTGTATTTATTACCACATATGTATTAGCGTATTTTAATTTTGTATATTTTATTTATGTTGACTTGTGTAAACAATTATGTATTGTATTGACATTAATAAAATTGATTGATCGATTTTCATTTTCTATTGAATAAAGTAAAAAATACCGAGGATGCCATTTAAAAATCAAAAGTTGTAGTAATTGCCGGTGAAACAGGAAGTAACTGAAACCAAACCAAACAATTAAATACGTCAATCAATCCTAATTTATTTCATATACTAACATACCAAATCTCTTTTTTATCTGAAAAAATAAAAAAGTTATATGGGTGAGCCACTTCGAGACGCAACCGGTATATGGTTTAATAAACAACTTATATTGTTTACTTATCTTGTTATGACCGAATTACTTAATTATGAAATGTCTTACTAGCTGTAATAACACAGTCAACATCTCTACTCTGAGTCTCTTGATTGAAGAAGTCCTCCCTTGCTGCTTCCAACTTCTTATCATAACATGGCATCACCGTGACATGGTAAACCCTCTTATTTTTCCCAACCCATTGCTTTATTATGGATCCCATAATTTGCTGTGGCGATTTTGTGGAGGAAATGTATGGTATAATGTAACTGCCATGTGTCTTTTCAGCATAACAAACCCAACCAGGACAACTAGATGCTAACATAGGAAGTTGATTTTTTACGCCATCACTCTCTGTTGCCCTATATCTTTTAATAAATTCTCTTTCAGCTTCAATTAAGGCAAAATCTTCAGCTATCTTCATATCTACAACCATATCTGCTCCCAACATTTTGAAATATGTGGCTAATTTGGCAGCACAGTCTTGAGGTGTCAAGTCATACTTGTATGCTAATGACAGTATGGGTTGTATAGAAACGGATACTATTATAACTTTAGCATCATCAATTTGACCCGCCTAAAATATACAAAATATGTCACTAGATTTTTTGTTAAAAAATCTTATTTTATGAAATTTGCATAATAATAATAAATACTTAATTTAAAGTAATAAATTCTAGAGGAATAGGATGTATTTCATGAAAATATTTTAACTTCTGCAGGGTGGCTCAAAAAAGTGTGAGTGGATCGGGTTGAATTTTTTTAACTGGAACACCCTGTATATTACTGCATTTTTGGCTTCCTTTCTGATCACTTTACATAATCCTAAAATATTATTAAATATGTTTTGACAGTTTCATATCTATTAATAAATAAATAAAAAATATTTTTCAGCTTTTTTTTAAAAAAATTAAAAATACAAGAAACGTCCTGAAATCAAAACTATACTACATATTTACTATAGTTAGTCTGTATTTACTTTGCTATAAATATCGTAACTTTAAACTATACAGGGTGTTCAAAATGGTACGCCAAACTATCTAAAATATAATATAATTTTTCTTCGTTTTGTTAAATGGAACATCCTGTATATTATTTTGTTGTTAGATGGAGAATTATTAAAAAATGAACATTTTTTGAATTTAAAATTTAAAGTACTTCGAAATTTTTAACAGTTTTGCGAATATTCGTGATATTATATTTCACATGGGTTTTTCAACAGTAATTTATTATCAAAGCCACCTAATGATTTTTGTCTGGTATTTTACCGTTGAGAGAGCCATATATAATAAAACTGCGAATACTTACAAAATCGCAAATATTTTTCAAGTACTCCATCTAACAAAGAAATAATATACAGGATGTTTGATTTAAAAATAAACAATGAAAAATTATTTTGTATTTCACAAAGTTTGGCATAGAATTTTGAAAACCCTGTGTAGTTTAGGATTACAATATTTATGGCAAAGTAAGTACAGACCAACTATAGTAAATACATGGTATAATTTTGATTTCAGGACATTTCTTGTATTTTAATATTTTTTTTAAGAAGTCTGTATTTAATTTGTCTGATTTTTTTTTATTAATATCTCTGAAACTGTCAAAACATATTTAATAATATCTTAGGATTATATAAAGTAATCAGAAAAAAAACTAAAAGTGCAATAATATACAGGGTGTTCCATTTAAAAAATCATCCCAATCCACTCACACTTTTTTGAACCACCCTGTAGAAGTTAAAACATTTTCCTGAAATACATCCTAATACATACTTTAGGTTTGCACTTAAACAAAATGCCTAAGTTTTTTTTATTATAAGAGCTACCAATGCCTAATGATTGCCAGATTCTGTAGAAATTTAATAATTTATTGGTGAGTGAAATATGTCTATTAATACCATACTATTGAAAAAAAAAGCGGCGTCAATGACGGCCGGGGAATGACAATAGACGATAATTTTGAAGAGGTCAAGCTCTAGACATCATTACTTGGCCCATTAGGATCTTTGTTTTTTAATGGCACTTACTGCCAGTTGGCTTAAAAAGGTTGTAGGTATACTGAGTAAAAATTACGAGAAAAATAATTTTTAAATGGTGTTTAAAATTAGACAAAAAATCATTTTTTGCAAATATATTTGTGTCTGGATATGTTCCATCATTTTTTAATCTTTCTATAATTAATGTTAATTTTTTACAAGTTTTATGTCAATTTTTAGTAAATGACGTCTAAAAATTGACTTCACAAAAATTATCATCGATTGTAGTTTGTAATCAGCCATCTTTGATCACCATTTTTGATCATACAGTATATTATGACATGTCCCATGTTTTAAGCTACACGCACACTGGTTCGATCACGTCCGCGATCACGATCACGATCAGGGCAGCGATAACATGAGCGATCATTCTAGCACACAACAACGCGTTCACGTTCACCGCTGTACCTATATTTAGTGAGCTATCCTGTAGGTATACATAGGTACAAATTAAAAATGTGAATTATGTATACCGAAAAAAAACATTCTTAAATATTTACCTACAATATTTAAACTTAAACAATAAAAATATATACATATGTACAGGGTGGGTCAAATTCGACGCTTTTAAATGGAAACACACTTTTCTATATGAGATAGACGAAAACTAATATCGGTGTCTGGAGCTCAATTTTCATCAAAAACATGATGGTGAAAACCGCACATCAATATCTGTTACCGTTTCGGAGTTACGGGGTCTTTTACAAAAATGTGCATTTTTAACAAATCGCTGTAACTTTTTTGCTATGGAAAATTTTGTATTTCTATGAAAACATTTCCAAAGCACCTTTTTACGTAGAATTTAATTGTTTTAGTATAATTTTTTAAAATTAATAATTTAAGAGTTATCAACAGAAAATTGATTTTTTTATATGGGACACCGTGTATATTTTTAATTTATTGAAAAGAATTTAAAATTACCTTTCCAAAAATATAACACACTTGATATTTTGCTCGATCCCTCTTCGAGATATAGAGTATATAAAAATTCGCCCGCTTTAAATAAGTAGGCTTTGAACGGCACCGGCTGTAATGTAAAAAAATTCTAGCTGTGAGCATCAATTAAAACGAAAATAATACTTGCTATGAGAGATGCAGAATTTTATAACAATTTAAAATATATTTAACCAACATCAACACATTTAAACTATATCTAATAACAATAAAAATAAATAGCAAACCAGGACATAAGATTTTGCTACAGGTGTTCGACATATCGACCGTCTCCTGTTATGGACAGACGGGGCAGTTTTTGAACATTTCTCGCGGAATTCATTAACTCAGTAGGGGTGAAAGATACCCTCTCATAACTGCTAAGTATTTCTAATTTTTGTCTAGATTATACTGAAGAATAAGGAACCTTTATTCTTCCGCAAATATATCCATAGGATTAGATCCATGGGCACTAAGTCAGGCGGCCTCGACGGCCAACGGCTGGAGTGCTTGGTCAGCTATTCAATTATTCTTGAAATTGGCTGCAGAAATTTGCCGATAACTTCAGCGTTCAGAAGCGGTGCGTCGTCTTGCTGGAAAAATATGTTTTCGAGTTCCATTAAGGGCATATCATCAATGAGGGGTCCAAAGCCTACTATTTAAAAGTGGCGAACTTTTAAAAATCCTGTATTTCGCAGGGGATTATAACAAAATATCAAGTGTGCTATATTTTTGGAAAGGTAATTTTAAATTTTAAAAAAAATCAAATTTTCTGTTGATAATTCTTAAATTATTAATTTTAAAAAAAATATACTTAAACCATTAAATTCTACGTAAAAAAGTGCTTTGGAAATGCTTTCATAAAAATACAAAATTTTCCATAGCAAAAAAGTTACAGCGATTTGTTAAAAATGAATATTTTTGAAAAACACCCCGTAACTCCAAAACGGTAACAGATATCGTTGTGCGGTTTTCACCATCATGTTTTTGACAAAAATTGAACTCCAGACACCGATATTAGTTTTTCTGTTGCAACTCCAATTTTGTCTCAAACTTTTTATTTTTAATTCTATTATTTTTGTATTTTGATCGGATAAATCATATAGAATTTTGTGTATTTTTACAGCCTTAATTAGCTGCTCTGTTCACTCCATTTCTAAATTGCAACAAGAAAAACACACAAAATTACGGAAAATTCCTATCAGTTGGGTCGCAATCACGCGATCAAACTCGAAAAGTTGAATCTGATCGCCACCGCAGAATAGAACGCCGCCAGGCCGCTTCGTCTCCAAAACTTGATCGCGCCAGTGCGAAACGGCTCATATGTATTCTTCAGCAACTTTTGGCCGCGGCCGCGTCGAGATCGTGATCGCGGCCGTGATCGCACCAGTGTGCGTACAGCTTTAAGACAAATTTGGAGTAATACGACGAATATACCACGAAGTAATACAGACAACATAGCGTTCGTCCAACGAGAGGATACATGACAGTGACAGTCATTTTGACAGATCTGTCGTTTTTAACATATAAATTGAATCCTCTGGTATTTTTTGGATGTTGCCTGTAAAGATCCATAGATAAATGCAACAAGTTTAGATTGGAAAGCCCGTAAAAATTTTAGGTCGCGAAATTATTTTGGGTCGCGACCGTTATATGCGATCTGGCGCTGCTATAGCAGTCGCTAAGAACAACGGCAAACAAAAACAGAAATAATTTTCCCTTGTCGTCAGAATCTTCAAAAATTATAAAATCTTTCAAAATCTAAACCGCTCTCATTAAAGAAATTCCGAAAAGTGTTTAAAGCGTCCATTTTCAAAGTAATAATTGCTATCTTGTGAGTTTAATTCAAGTTTTATTTACTCCAACCGGTGATAATTGTGAAAAAGTGGCATTAAAAACTTAAAAAGCTGTGCTGTGAACTGTGAACTGCAAAAACCATCGTGGATCGTGGCATAACGTCGATTTCCATGTTTCATAGGTATTTTATACATGTCTTTATGTAAAATAAAGTTTCTTGTATGCAACACACTGTATTTTATTTATAAAATTAAAAGAAAATAATAATAAATTTGAATAAACAATATTTGGCGATATAATTCCGGAAAAAGCCGAACATGAGCCGAACCGCTCCGAAATTTTCAAGTTTTGGGTCGCGGCCGTTGCAAGAATAGCGCCAAATAGTGTTTACATTGTCCTTATGGGCACTTTCCAATCTAAACTTGTTTCATTTATCTATGTAAAGATCTTTAACTTTTGACTTAAATGATTTTACCACTTTCAAATTTGTATTTTCTTCAAATACTCTCAATAGTTCTTCTTGGCTCTGCTGTGTTACTAATACACTTTCTGCAGAAGTTATACATCCTGAACAGGCAAGGCAATCAGCTAATGTAATTTCAACTTTCTGAAGCTTTTGAAAACTCCCATCCTTAAAAAAAAATATACACACTTAATTATACTACACAATATTATAGTTTTCATCAATATACTTCTTCAATTTGAAAATAAGAGCCATCTTCTTGAATTTTTATTTTAGATCCAGTTCCAGACGTTTTGACTTTTTGGATTTCTACAGGCTTAATGCACTCCTAGAATTGTAAAATAATAATAATATATGTCTTGATTAAAATATGATATAAGGTTGCAAAAGGGCAAAGTTTAGCTTATACTCTATCATTTATATCTGTCCAACAAAGGAAAAAGAATATATAACCAGAGATAAAGACTCTGCTAAGTTGAAAGTGATAGTCTTTTTACAAATCAATTTTTGGATATTGCTTGTTGAAATTATTGTCCGTTCTCTATTGAATAGATCGACTTACAATTTACAAAATAACATTTTACCTGAGAAGGTGTAATAAAATCATCTAGATCAGTTAATTGTAAAACCCCACTGAATCTGGACATTTTGACTAAATTTATTTATATAATTACGGTCTTTCTAGAGAAATCCAACAAATTTTTAACCAATATTTTGCAAAAATGTATTTATTTCTTGTTTAGGCACACTCTTGTTTTTTATTAAAAAAAACGAACTTTCTCTAATAAAACTGTGAATTAGTATTAACTTTTTAACATTGATTATTGCAAGAATATTACTCAGAAACGTATTATTCTGGTATTATTTTTGTTGTGATTAGAAATTTTTATAACCTCTAAAATAATTAAAAAATAAACATCCATCTTATGCAACCAAATATTCAGTCAGTCACATAATTGGGAAAAGAACATGCAACCAGACATACAACTAATATTCCCCATTTAAGATTTTCGCCCAGCTTTCAGCAGCAGACAAGGGCACGGACAAGGGCTTCCAGCTCTGCTTCCAGCTTCTGCTTAGGAAAACGTCTCATGCGGGCGACTTACATGTAAAAAAAAACATTTTCATTCAAAAAAACTGCATATTTTCAATATTTTTATAATAATATAAATTATATAATATAATAAAAATAATGATTTATTTTCCATTATAAAAATAATATTTGCATTTATTTAAGACTCACCCTGTATAATATAACTGCATATATTGTTTCCGATGGCGATTACATCGATATACAATATGATCGAAAAAAGAGGCGCCAGCGATGGTTATGACATGAAGATGGCTATCATTTTAATGATAAATTAATATGTAAAATTATATGGTGAATGCCATCGATCGTAATTTCCAAGCAAACTGGACCTGGTTTTTTTATCATACGGTATATGAAGCATAGAGTACGTAATTAAATAACTGATAGAAAGTTTAATAAGTATTCACTTTCAAGGAGTTTCAAGGAGTTCACCATGCAGAAACGAAAAATTTGAGCGCCAAAGCATGTGTCGGTTAAATAAGCATCGTAAAGACTAAAACCAGACTAAAACTGACTAAAATATTCAACTGAGAAACTGAAAAATGTTGTATTAAGCTAAATTGTTATTGCGGTCAGATTTTTAACTTAGCTGTCTCTTAGGTGTGTAAATTTGTTATACCTTAATCCTTAATATCTTTAATTCTAATTTAATGCAAACATATTCTTTATTCTTTATTTAATAAAGTTTATGTAAAGACGCGTGTTTAAAATCGCGGTTGTTATATCGAGATAACATTTTTGTAAACTATAAAAGATAATTTTGATATCTGTATGGGAGAAACTGTTATTCAAATAAATAAAAAGGTAGGTAACCACAAAGATTATTTCATAATGGAAAATAAATTCTTATCAAAATGATTTCAGTATTTACAATTTACAGGGCATTCAAAGTTTCTTAGAGTTTAATTGAATCAGAATAAAATCAACGGCAAGGCACATACAATTTATTGGCAGAACACAAATTTTTTGAGTTTTTCGAACAACAACATGAGTGATTACTCAAACGACCATCCGTTTAATTAGAAATTTGATGTAGGTATGTTACTTGTCTTATTAATTTTAATTTCTCAAATGATTTGACAGTAAATTTACGTATACCGGGTGCGTCTCAAAAGTGGCTCACCCCCTATAACTTTTTTATTTTTTCAGATAAAACAAACGAGATTTGGTATGTTAGAATATGACATAAATTGGGATTGATTGACATTTTCAATTGTTTTCTGTCACTTCCGGTTTCACCGGAAATAACTACAACTTTTGATTTTTAAATGGCACCCTCTGTATTTTTTTACTTTATTCGATAGAAAATGACACTCTGAATAGAATGACATATTATATGTCAACTTTTGACATTTTCGCATGTGGTTTATTTGAAATTGTAACATGCGGTTCATAACGACAATTTGACTCGAAATACCAAGTGTGCGGTATCAAATTATTCGTAAAAAAATGCTTTTTCAAAATATGCTAATGAGCCACCCTCGTTCCATTTGCAAAAATTGAGATATTATTAAAAATACGATTTGGGGATCTTTTAATAACCGGCGCACAGTGATGCAGAAGTTCCCAATAGCGGCAGAGAATCAAAATATCAGAAGTATTTTTTTTTAATTATAATTTCACTCGTATATTCCTGATAGTCCATATTTTCAGAATCGTGTGAAGATTTTTGAATAAAAACGGGCCCATTATGAATCCCTGATAAGAAATGTTCGAGCTTATAAGATTATTAGCTGAAGCTGAATTTAAATACCGTATGATCGAAAAAAAACGGCGTCCAGTTGGCTGGGAAATGAACATCGATGACATTTCTCATATAAATTTACATATAAAATGACAGCGATCTTCATTCCATAGCCATCGCTGACGCCGTTTTTTCTCGATCATACGGTATTTTGATTAAATAAAATTAGTGCGATTAACGTTGGTGATAAATTAGTTAAAAACTGATGGTACTCTGAGAAAGTACAATGTTTTCAACTGTTTTTCTCCATGGTAATTCTAGTTTTAACTTCTCTGGTACCATAAAAAAACCCAATAAAGACCTTGATGTAATTAAGAACTGCTTAATCTAAAATCACATTTCATGTAAGCTAATACAAAATGCTCCAAATTGCTCCAAAAAAATATGATATAGGTTACAATTATTAGCCTTTTTTCTTCATAACTACGAAGTTTCATGACCAACATTAACAAGACATTAACCCACAAATACCCTTTAGGTTGCCTAACTCTCCCGAAAACCACGATTTAGTTTCCCAAAATAAATTACGTATGACAGTATATTACTGGGTGTTTCTTAGGTGCTGTAAAATATTGTTGTTGGTTATTTTTAATTAGTTTTAAAAAGGAAACTGGTAATATATTTTCTCGTATTCAATTTAATTTTCGATATACAAAGTATCCAAATTTAAAAATAATTTTTAATATGTAATTTTAACTAGCTTTTCCCAGTTAAGCCTAAGTTTTTATTCGTTTTGTGCTTATATGACATTAAATTTAATATTATTAGAAATCTCATTCATTTTGAATAATTATTGTTAATATAAACTACAAAGACGTGTTAATGTGTTTATGATGCGTCAATATTCAGTCAGCTACTTTTATCAAGAATGTCATGCACCTTCTAGATACTAATTTTCTCGGATATAGTAAGAGATCACCAAGACTTATCCTGTCAAGTAAAATAGAACAGCATCCTGAGGCTCCAAAACTTATTATAGATTAAATTATTCAATTTTTTATCCATTTGCTAAATTCATATTAAATATATTATCCATCTTATCTAGAAGCTAGGGTAATTTTTAGTTTCTTTTTCTTGCGTATTAAATTCTCGTAACTAAGTTATAATCTAACTATAATATTTTTACCACAGGTAATTACAGATATTTCTAAATTATAGAACATTTAAAAATATAACTAAAATTAAATGGTTGTAAGTGAACAACTGGTTACATCTAATGCGAAAAGAGCGCTCAGTCTTTTAGATGTTTTGGTGTTACTCTATATATTAGTAGCTAACTAGATAAAATATACAGATGTATTTAGTGTCTTTTTTTCTCATGGAAATGAACGTAAATATCTTTTTTAAGTTGAATTTAACTAATAGTTATTGGTAACTAGTTCTAAAAAAAGGATTATATTAAAAACGAAATGCTAATTCTATTGTAAGGGGCTGAAAATAAAACCCTGTGTATTTACGTGTTTACACAAACTTTTTTTGAGTTTTTAAACTTTACAAAGAATAGAGTATTAAATTAATATGCTATTAAAGACAAAATAATATAATTAAATTTTTTACAACCCATTTTTTTATTTTTTACAGCCAATTTAAGTACACTCTGTATACATAATTTAATTTTCTGAATTCAAAACATCACTTATATATTTAGAAAACCACATTTAACAACATAATAATTTAAAAAAATGTAGTAGTAAGTTGAGAAATTATTTTTTGCCACTTTTCGCGTTTTCGGCATCACTGTGCGGCGGCCAGGACAAGATACTAAAAACATTAAACCGATCAAATCTATTTTTCCAAGGCTCCTTGATTAAAAATTAGTGTTTTAAACACAGTCATGGCACTCTAGATTGAAATTTAAAATACATTTTGTTTTTTAGCGAATATGTCAAAAGTTGACATATGATACGTCATTCGATTCAGAATGTCATTTTCAATCGAATAAAGTAAAAAAATGCCGATGGTGCCATTTATAAATCAAAAGTTGTAGTCGTTTCCGATCAAACAGGAAGTGACCGAAAACAATTGAATATGTCAATCAATCAAGTCAATTTCATATACTAATGTACCAAATCTCGTTTTTTATCTAAAAAAATAAAAAAGTTATAGGGGGGAGCCACTTTTGAGACGCACCCCGGTATACCTAATGATTGGTTGTCATATTCCAATTCACGAATATCAGTTGAGAGAGCAGATTATTAACTGAATAGAGAACGGTGTAATTATACAGAGTGAGTCTTAAATAAGTGCAAATATTTTCCGCGCTGGTAGATCTCGATAAAAGAAACATATCGTGGGCGTACGGCGAAAATCCACCAAGTCACATTTTTGGTTGAATTGGATTAAACACACCACTCCAATTCAACCAAAAATGTGACTTGGTGGATTTTCGCTGTACGCCCACGATATTTTCTCTTTAGCGTATTTCAAAAAAAGTCCAAAATAACCAAGTTATTTTACTTTGAAAATTGAAAAAAAATGATTTTTTGTTTAGATTTTTGAGAACCACTGGATATTTTTGGGTTTTCTTTTTTGTAAGTTTAATGAAGGGGTTAATCTAGATCTATATGTTATTATTATCAAGATATTATGCTTTTTAACTAAAAATTTAAAAAAAATCTAATTTTTTTTACACGAAAAAACCTCATAGATGTGTTTCTGGGGTCGAAATATACTACCTCTAAAAATATTTGCTCTTATTTAAGATTCACCCTGTATATTAATAAAAAAATTTAATGTCGTCATTCTTCGCATCTGGGGACTCGTGACCATCTACATCTTGAGATGAAGTACCAGGAGCAGGTATAAATTACTTATTCTTATAAAGCTGGGTTTTGGTAATTCTATTCACAAAAAAAATCGGGGAACTGCAGATTAACATCTCAGATAACATATATTATATGTTACCTGTGTTAACATGCATACACCACAGCTTACGAAATACAGTTCTCAGTTCCGTGTAGTACTGCTTCTCGTTCATAGATGGCTCTCGTAATGAAATTAATTACATTTGCTCTAATAATAAACTGTATTAAATAATAAGTACTGTTTGCTACAAAATAAAACAAAATCGTGGCTTTTTCTGTTCAAAATACCGTAAGTTTACCATACCAAACCGTAAATACCGTACTTTTACGCACGGTAATAAGTTTGGATCGTTATATCGTACCCATTAACGGATATATCATAAAATATATCCGTTATATCATAAAATATATCCGGTAATATCGTAAATTACCGTACGGTTGGCAACCTTGCATAAGGGCACCTATCTTTCTACAGCATTACAGTGTTGCCGCATCATTATTAGGATTTCCTATAAACCAAATCGTAGCATTCCATATGCCGAATATATGATTTAACCAATGTTTATTCAAGATCATGTTTTTGTCAATTTTACACATGTTTGGTTAGTATAATAGGAAAAGTTTATGATATGAAAGTACATAGTATCGAAAAATATAATAATATACCGGGTGTTCCATTTAAAATAACAAAGGTGCTACCACTTTCAGTATATATGTTGTATATGAAGCGGCAACACTATAATGCCTAAAATAATTTAAACAAGAAAGAAATAGTGAGGGAAATGTATAAAAAAGAAGAAAAATATTAAACGGCTCAGTCTTCAACAACTCGCAACCGTATACACCAGTGTACACCATTGCAGAAACGCACACTCACACACTCACACAACCACACACCTACACTAGTGTCTGCACTGGTGTACACTGGTGTATACGGTTGCGAGTTGTTGAGGGCTGAGCCGTTTAATCTTTTTCTTCTTTAAAATAATTTAGACAGATAGAGCAGGTGCCTTTATGCAAAAATACAAATTTAAAAAAAATCCTATCACCGGTTTCCCATAAAGTCTAACGTGCCATGGCCGTGAATCACCCTGTATATTTTGCTATTTTTGCAATAAATTTAACACCTTGCTATTTTTGTTAATACAAATAGGTCATAATAATAATAATAATATGAACGGAAGAAGAACTGTGGCCATTGTTTCAGCCTGTTAGGATTAGGATGATGTAACGTCGTATAAAAAATGCGAGTAGTAATTAAACATAATAATAACCGTCTTTATTGCAACAATTTCTTTAAATTATCACAAAAGGTGGAGTTGAAGTGTAACTTCCGATCTCTCAACCAAATACAGTACGTCTGCTCGATCGGTGTCTATGAAAGGAATGCGGACAAAAAACATTTAAATAAACAGCAATATATTTTATATGTCGACCGCAAAATCGCTCCGCCCACTCATTTTATTGGCTACTTGCAAATTTGTCGAATTTTTATTGGTGGGACGCGTCGTCTAATTTTTTACGAAAAACATCGGGAGAATATCGTTTCCCCTCTCACGGATACCCCGTAGCTACAGAACGGACAGACGTACTGTACATATATTTTATATTTTTTTAAAGTTAGTTATTTTAAACAGACATTACCTACATATAAATAAAAGAGGAATAATTCGCTAAAAAGAATAAATTAATTGCATTGTTATTTATACCTTTTAACACTCTGTAAAGTCTACGCTGATATGATGATAAAACTGTTTATAATAATAAAGTAGGCTTTAAAAGGAAAATCACTCTCATCCTTTTGTTTAGTCAGTCTGTTTATAGGTATCATATAGGAGTTAAGTAATGTAAGTAAAGTAACTATATGTATATATATATTTTGTTTTGTACTCGATAAGAAAACCAAGAATTCAAATTGTTGAAAACTTTTTTTTATTAATATCATGCATTCAGGGTTAAATGACGCTTAAATGTGTTTTTTTTAAGTGCGGAATTAATTCAGGTATCTAAAAAATAATATTTTTTTGGTGCACCTCATTCGCCTCGGTTGATTATACGAAAACGCAAAGATGTAGAAACAAAAATTTTTGTGGGTATACATGGGAAGGCAATGTGCATAATTTAAAATTATTTTGAAATTTACAGGGTGTGTCAGAACTAAGATCCATACCAAAGTTATGTTTTTTCTTATGGAATACCCGGTATTTTATTTAATTTTTAGATTTTTGGACATAAAATAAGGCATTTATTAAAAGCTTTGGTTTTTGAGATATTTAAAGATATTTATTTAAATATGCATGCTATAATAAAAAAGTTTGTCAACACCTCGTACAGTACTTTTCAAAATTAATTCTTGTGCTGACTTTCAAGCCAGAGAAATAAACTTCGAAACTTACTAATTATTACTAAGAAACTTCATTGCTTTCTTAAATTTATACAGGGGTATCAAAAATTGCTGGTCTATTTTAAATATTTATTTTACATAAAAACTTTGTTATTTCAAATACAACAACCTGTATATTTTTAAATAAGTCGAAGCAGATTTAAATGCTCTTTCAAACTATATTAGGGTTTCCTATACCTATTTGGCTCAGATTTTGAATAAAAAGCGATTTTTCAATAAAATTGTAATCAAGATGGCTGGAGTCGCCATGGCAATTTTCTAGTGACACTTAGTAGCTATTTTCAAAATCGATATTAGTTTCTGGACTTTATTTAAATTTATAACAGGTTATTTTTATTTATCTACAATAAGGTTAATAAGTAAGTATTTATTATTTTATCAAGAAAAATGAAGCAGTATTTGCTGGCCGAAGGAATATGGATATGTTACTAGTGATTTTATTTTGTGAGAACAATTGCTTGTTAGCCTGAATGGTTTATGCTCAAAGATATCCAAATAGGAATTTTCTTGACAAGCGTTCCTTTGAAAAACAACTTTCCCCATTTCGCAGAGCTGACAGTGTATTATATGAAAAACCTTAGGAAGAAACCTGTTGGAAGTGAAGAAAATGAATTTGCCTTAATTGGTTCTTTTATAGAATATCCAATATTTCTACAAGTGATCGTAATATAAATCAAAAATAACTAATTTCTTATTTTTCTTGATAAAATAATAAATACTTACTTATATTAAACTATTGTAGGTAAATTAAATAAAAATAAACTGTCATAAATTTAAATAAAGTCCATAAACTAATGTCGATTTTGAAAATAGCTACTAACTGTCACTAGCAAATTGCAATGGCGACACCAGCCATCTTGATTGCCATTTTATTGAAAAATCGTTTTTTATTCAAAATCTGAGGTAGATAGGTATAGGAAACCCTAATAAAGTTTGAAAGAGCATTTAAATCTGCTTCGATTTATTTAAAAAAATACAGGGCGTTGTATTTGAAATAACGAAGTTTTTATGTAAAATAAATATTTAAAATAGACCAGCAATTTTTGATACCCCTGTACACATTTAAGGAAGCAATAATTTTTTTTAGTAAAGTTCATTTCCCCGGCTTCAAAGTCAGCACTAGAATTAACTCTGAAAAATAATGTACAGGGTGTTGACAAACTTTTTTATCCAAAAAAAAATCCTTATGGGTTTTTCGCCACTGCACTGCAAGAAAAATCTACAAAATATAATAGTTATTTTTTGTAAACACTTCTGGCGTTAAACCTAAACGGACGCTGCTTGTCAGAAGTTGTGTTTACAGTAATAAAAATTTGCCTAACAAAGAAAAAAATGCTTAACGTTTCGGAAAGTTTTCTCTTTTCGTCGACGGAAAAAAAACTTTAAAACAAAAAAACTTTTTTATTATAGCATGCATATTTAAATATCTTTAAATATCTCAAAAACCAAAGCATTTAAACATATTAAACCCTTATAATAAATGCCTTATTATATACCGGGTGTTCTATAAGAAAAAATATAACTTTGGTATGAATCTTAGTTGTGACACACCCTGTACATTTGAAAATAATTTTAAATTATGCACATCGTCTCTCTACATATACCCATAAAAATTTTGTTTCTACATCTTTCCGTTTTCATATAATCAACCGAGGCGAATGTGGTGCGCCACCCTGTATAAATAACAAAATTTTATATTTACTTGTATTATTTTACAGTTTTTTTTTCTCTAGTTAATAATTCTGAATTGTAAAAAATGTAGATAAATAAAAATAAAAGGGAAACTTATTTGTAGCTACATTTTTTTCGACAGAAAAACAAGAAAAAAAAACAATTCTAATAATAATCTTACTGGTTTTGAAAAATGGTGTTATTTATTTAATTTTTGAGTTTAAATAATTGTAATTTTAGATCACCCCCAATATACAGGGAAAGTCTTAAATAAGTGCAAATATTTTTAAGGGTAGTATATTTCGACCCCAGAAACACGTCTATGAACTTCTTTTCATGAAAAAAATTATATTTTTTTTTAAATTTTTATTATTTTTTACTTAAAAATGATAATATCTTGATAATATGGCAACATAGGTTGTAGATTAAATTTACAAGAAAGAAATCTCAGAAAAGATCCAGTGAACGCGTAGTGTGAAAAGAACGCTATCGATTTGGTCTTAAGATCTGAACATCTGAACTGAGCGATTTGCCATGCAGATCATATCATTACCGTGTAGGGGCACCTCTAAGATAAACGTGGCAATGGACTGTGACAATGGTCAAAAGCAGAATAATAATTTTATGGCGTTTGGGTATATTTTTTTGTTCGGTTTGCTTCGCTTCTTCGTGGGAAATCTTTGTTATTTCCTGTCACATAACTCGATCAATCCATGTTTATACAGGGTGTCCCAGAAAAAAGTGCAAGTATTTTGACTGGTAGTATAGTTCAACCCCAGAAACACGCCTATGAGTTTTTTTTTTCGAGAAAATAATTTTGTGGAATTTTTTTTAGTTTTTAGTGGAAAAACATAATTTTTATAAGAAAGAGTATATGTCTGTCCCATCTCTGCCCAACGATGAGGATATATATGACAGTGACAATTACGTCTGTCATCTTACACAAAAAATGAAATTCAATCTCAAATCAAGAATAAGGTATTAAATTCGCAAAACGCAGAGTAAGTAGGTTTCTGTCAAGATTACATTGATTATCAACATTGATTTAATTAATACCGTCATCATTCGGCACATCAAATTTAAATTTTCTAGTTAAACCGGTTATAAAAAATGGCGATAATATTTGTGAATTAGGTCACCCTGTAATTAAATTTATAGGAAAACACTTGTTAATTTTTTAACTAGCGATCACATCTTATTTTTTTGTAAATTGTATTTCTCCTCATTCGCCTCGGTTGATTATACGAAAACGGAAAGATGTAGAAACAAAATATTTTATGGGTGTATGTGGGAACGCAAGGTGCACAATTTAAAATTATTTTGAAATGTACAGGGTGTGTCAGAACTAAGATCTATAACAAAGTTATATTTTTTCTTATGGAACACCCGGTATTTTATTTCATTTTTGGATTCTTGGACATAAAATAAGGCGTTTATTATAAGGGTTTAATATGTCAAAAAACTTTGGTTTTTGAGATATTTAAAGATATTTAAATATGCATGATATAATAAAAAAGTTTGTCAACTCCTTGTACATTACTTTTCAGAATTAATTCTTGTGCTGACTTTCATGCCAGAGAAATAAAGTTTACTAAAAAAATTTGATTGCTTTCTTAAATGTATACAGCGGTATCAAAAATTGCTGGTCTTTTTTAAATATTTATTTTACGTAGAAACTTTATTTCAAATGCAACACTATGTATTTTTTTAAACAAGTCGAAGCAGATTTAAATGCTCTTTCAAACTATATTAGGGTTTCCTACACCTATCTGGCTTTGAATAAAAATTGGTCAAGTGCGAGTCGGACTCGCGCACGAAGGGTTCCTTACCATTCATTATCTATACATCATTAGACACTATATTATTATAAAAATTTTTCCGATTTGAGCTGAAATTTTGAATTCGCGTATAAGTAATTTAAAAAAAATGAAGAAACACATTACTAAAAATTGTATTAATCAATAATAAATATGTAAAAAGTAAAAATAAATATGTAAAAATATGTAATCGTTCAGACAGACCGAAGCCGAAGATACTTTTCGCCACAAACGTAACGACATTCTAAAACGACTTGTAGTACGATTAGTTAAATATTTTAAATGAATTAGTTCAGCGACTCAGTGTATGTTTGACTATGCCACAAACCATGTCAAAAAAACCGTAGCTGCTTTAGTAGTCGCTTTTTTTCGGATGATGAATTGAAAGAAAGTCGCCCTTTATATGAAATGATGTCCCCAACAGCATATAGAACTCGAGGAACATATATGACGGTGAGTGTAGATATGGTTGAAAAGGCTTTAATTGCAATGAAAAACGGAAAGTCTAGTGGTCCTGAAGGAATACCAGCGGAACTTCTGAAATGCGGACCGAAAATTTTGAAAGAAATTCTCGCTTGTATTTTCGCTACATATATTAACGGGGAGCCCATACCTGATTCATGGAAAACGTCATGGATAACTCTGATCCACAAAAAAGGAAGGAAAGATATTTGCACTAACTACAGATGTATAGCTGTGTCTGACACTCTTAGCAGACTGTACGGAAAAATACTTAAAACCTTAATAGAAGATGAATTTAGCCCCCATGAGATTGAAGAACAAGCCGGGTTCAGAGCAGACCGCTCATGCATTGATAATACGAGGCATGTTTTTTAAGTAAGTACCGTTTTGCGATTCCGCCGCCGCAGCGCCACGGTCGGCCTTCCGCGCATGCGCGCTGGTTACCTACATCTCTTGTCCATGCACAGACGCCAGTACAGTCTGATTCTTCATT